CAGGTTGGAAACTGGGGATGTGATTCTCATAGCTGACCATGATAAAAGTTTACCCTATATCTCATCAACGGGTAGCGGGCCGTAGACAGGCTTTGCTAAGGGGGGGGGGTCACTTTCTAAGTGTTCCAGGGGGGTTCCCTATTGACAACTTTGGACTATTTAACTTGAAAAGTGCTCAAAGTGGTGAAAAAGTGCATGAATTTGCAATAATTTTCGGCGGGGGGGGGGGGGGGGGGAGTTCGACCCCTTCCCCTTGCCTGGGCAGTGTCCACATTTAGTGTCAGTACCCCCCCCCCCCCCCCCCCCGGCTTCAAATTCATGCAGTTTTTCAACATTCTAAGCACTTTTTAAGTAATTCTGGGCATTTTTGGGCCAAAATTCTCAAAAGTGAACCCCCTGGATTGAATTATTCAAAAAATGAACCCCCTGGCAAATCCTGGCTATGGACCTGCCTTGGGATAAAGAATTTTGAAGACAACCACCACTTCAATCTGTGATATTTGGGCCCAAATTTTTTTGATTTAATGCCAATCTTTTGATAATTTGGTCTTTTAATCTAAAAAGGAGGCCAAGTAATGCTAAAAAAGGCTCACTGGATAGCACTGACACAAGACATGTACTTATCAGAGAAATCATCAATCATTTATTTCATTTTAAGACTACAATTGTCATCAAATACAACTGATACTACACAAAGATCACACTGTGAGGTGCAAGGTGGGTAGCATCAAATCTTGTACCTTCTTGAGGTGGCTTAATTTAAGTCCCTGTAGAATGTAAAAAGCACATTTGCTTAGGCTGTCTTTATCAGTTTATACTCAATGTAATTATTAAGATACTATCGTTTTGAAAGATCTATCACATTTTTAAATAATGTTGTTTTGAAGTCCTAGTATAAGATTCTTGGTGACATGTTTTTAATCCACAAACATCCTATGTGTTTCAGGTAGATGCTGATATGAAGCTGATAGGAATGAGTGCAGAATGTGCTGTGACCTGAAAACAATTTAACAGCATTAAAGTTATGCAGGTTTTAAGAAAATTAAAGAAAAACATCTCCAATTTTTTGTTCATCTTATTCAATATCAAGCAATTCATGATTTTTGTGTTCTTTTAAAGGATGTTCCTGTTACTTTCTGTTTAAAAACAATACTGTGGTAATTCCTTGTGATCACTACTTTACTAGTTCTTTATATTATGTTTTTAGGCATTATAAGACTCGGGATTCCAAGAAATGCCATTTCAGTTTGAAGTTATACATGGAAAACTAGACTACTTAGAAATGTACCTAATTATAGCAGGCCAGGACTATAGCAGGCCAGGACTGCAAGATGCAGCTCTAAAATATGGGCGTTCCCCTGTAGCAGTCTCATCCAACTTTCAAAGATGCAATCATTACTGAAAAAATAAGTTTCATTACAGCATTAGTATTAGAAAATACATACACGCTCATTTTCTATATCAATTACACACTATACAATTGTGTCATTTTTACAAGTCACTACAGAAAATAAACTTATTTCTCCCAAAAAACATGAATAAGAGTAACATCATCAGATAAGGGACAAAGAAGGCTTTAAAATGGTTTATTAAAACAGGTCAATTTGACAAAAGTCATTAAAATTAGTCATCAAGACAGGTTTCACGTTGGCTGAAATGGGATTTGTGTCATTTTTAACAAGCCAGTTCAGACAATTTACTAATTTCTCCCAAATAAAAGTAAGACCATCAGATAGGACACAAAAAGGGCTTTAAAATGGTGTATAAACTTTAAACCAGTCATGTTTCCTATTAAAATGGAACAAATTGAAAAAGTCATAAAATTAAGTCATCGCGACAGTTTTCACGGATATGGAAATGGGATTTTGTGTCATTTTTAACAAGCCAATTCAGAAAATTTACTAATTTCTCTCAAATAAGAGTAAGATCATGAGATGGGAGACAAAGATGACTTTAAAATGGTGTATAAACTTGCTACCAGTCATGTTGACTATTAAAATGGAACAAATTGAAAAAGTCAAAAAAAGTAGTCGTCGTGACAGTTTTCACATATATGGAAATGGGATTTTGTGTCATTTTCACAAGCCAGTTCAGAAAATTTACTAATTTCTCTCAAATAAGAGTAAGATCATCAGATAGGAGACAAAGAAGGCTTTAAAATGGTGTATAAACTTGCTACCAGTCATGTTGACTATCCAAGCTGAACAAATCAACAAAAACTTAATTACTAGTACTTGTCTCAATAGTTGTCATGGAAATGGAGATGGCATTTTGTGTCAATTATAACAAGCCATTATAGAAAATATACTTCTTTCCCCCAAGTAACAGTCACATCATCACAATTAGGGCTTTAAAATGGTGTATAAACTTTATACCAGTCATGTTTCCCATTTAAACTGAACAACTTGACAAAAGTCAGAAAATTTAGTCGTCGCTACAGATTTCACATGGAACGAAATGGCACTTTGTGTCATTTTTAACAAGCCAATTCAGAAAATATACTACTTTTCCCCAAGTAACAGTCACATCATCAGATAGGAGAGAAATTGGGCTTTCTAATGGTGTATAAACTTTATACCAGTCATGTTTCATATCAAAACTGAACAATTTGAGAAAATGAGAAAATGTAGTCATTGTGACAGTTCCCACGGAGATGGAAATGGCATTTTGTGTCATTTTTAACAAGCCATTTCAGAAAATATACTAATTTCTTCAAGATTAGAGTAAGATCATCAGATAGGAGACAAACAGGGCTTTGGAATGGTGTATTAACTTCAAACCAATCATGTTTCTCATTTAAACTGAACAACTTGACAAAAGTCAGAAAATTCATTTGTCGCTACAGGTTTCACATGGACCGAAATGGTATTTTGTGTCATTCTTAACAAGCCAATTCAGAAAATATACTATTTTTCCCCAAGTAACAGTCACATCATCAGATAGGAGAGAAATTGGGCTTTGGATTGGTGTATTAACTTCATACCAGTCATGTTTCTCATTTAAACTGAACAACTTGACAAAAGTCAGAAAATTCATTCGTCGCTACAGGTTTCACATGGACTGAAATGGTATTTTGTGTCATTCTTAACAAGCCAATTCAGAAAATAATACTACTTTTCCCCAAGTAAGAGACACATCATCAGATAGGAGACAAATTGGGCTTCATAATGGTGTATCAACTTTATACCAGTCATGTTTCATATCAAAACTGAACAACTTGACAAAAGTCAGAAAATTCATTCGTCCCTACAGGTTTCACATGGACCGAAATGGCATTTTGTCTCATTTTTAACAAGCCATCACAGAAAATATACTACTTTTCCCCAAGTAACAGTCCCATCATCAGATAGGAGAGAATTTGGGCTTTCTAATGGTGTATAAACTTTATACCAGTCATGTTTCATATCAAAACTGAACAATTTGACAAAATGAGAAAATGTAGTCATTGTGACAGTTCCAACGGAGATGGAAATGGCATTTTGTGTCATTTTTAACAAGCCATTTCAGAAAATATACTAATTTCTCCCAGATTAGAGTAAGATCATCAGATAGGAGACAAACAGGGCTTTGAAATGGTGTATTAACTTCATACCAGTCATGTTTCTCATTTAAACTGAACAACTTGACAAAAGTTAGAAAATTCATTCGTCGCTACAGGTTTCACATGGACCGAAATGGTATTTTGTGTCATTTTTAACAAGCCATTACAGAAAATATACTACTTTTCCCCAAGTAATAGTCACATCATCAGATAGGAGACAAATTGGGCTTTATAATGGTGTATAAACTTTATACCAGTCATGCTTCATATCAAAACTGAACAACTTGACAAAGGTCAGAAAATTCATTTGTCGCTTCATGTTTCACATGGACCGAAATGGCATTTTGTCTCATCTTTAACAAGCCATTACAGATTATATACTACTTTTCCCCAAGTAACAGTCACATCATCAGATAGGAGACAAATTGGGCTTTATAATGGTGTATAAACTTTATACCAGTCATGCTTCATATCAAAACTGAACAACTTGACAAAAGTCAGAAAATTCATTCGTCGCTTCATGTTTCACATGGACCGAAGTGGCATTTTGTCTCATTTTTAACAAGCCATTACAGATTATATACTACTTTTCCCCAAGTAACAGTCACATCATCAGATAGGAGACAAATTGGGCTTTACAATGGTGTATAAACTTTATACCAGTCATGTTTCATATCAAAACTGAACAACTTGACAAAAGTCAGAAAATTCAGTCGTCGCTACAGGTTTCACATGGACCGAAATGTCATTTTGTCTCATTTTTAACAAGCCATTACAGAAAATATACTACTTTTCCCCAAGAAACAGTCACATCATCAGATAGGAGACAAATTGGGCTTTCTTATGGTGTATAAACTTTATACCAGTCATGTTTCATATCAAAACTGAACAACTTGACAAAATGAGAAAATTTGGTAAATATAGCCACAGTGGATTGAAAATTGGATACAAAAAGGGGTGTACTTTTGTCACGTTTTTTTCAAAAACAACGATGATTCAACATATTAAGCCTAACTTTGTGAATAAATGTGTACTCAAATGTGTCATGAATAGGTTCAAAGTCCTGAAATTCAGTGTTGAAATGAAGAAAATTGACGAGCAAAAAAAATAATGGCGGATTTCGATTTTCACAATGTAAATCAATATCGTGGCCAATTTAGGCAATTTGATGCCTATTAAACAAGTTCTACACTAAAGTGAAGTAAATGTCAAATGTCTTACCAATATTTGTGAAGGTTAGTTGGGTTTCATTGCGGAAATAAGAGTAGAATCTACGAGGCTTCAACTTCGGACATTATTTTTTCCCCGTTGCGTCAACTTCCGGTTCTTCGCCAAGCCGAGGCCACCATTTAACACGGCGCCAATGGCTCGTTGCATACCCATCTGATAGAGCCCATGATAAATCATAGCCAATATTTATAATGCTAAAAGCTGAAAATTAATGTAATCATCTTTCCAGAGAGAAAATAATGGTTTAGCAAGTCAGCCAAAGAGTATCACTCCATCTGAAGAGCTACATGGTTTTATTCCCCCTATTGAGGCCCCTATAGGAGTGGTAGGAATAGGGGCTACTATGACACAGCCAAAACATAACAATTGGTCATTATCAAATCTTGGTAATGAGCTGAAAAATACAGTGGTATCACTAAGAAATACAAAACAGGGAATTTCTGGTAAGCTACTTAAGTATATAAGTACAACAGTATTACAAAATGGAAATAAAAGAAGTTTATTTGACAAAATATACAATTCAAGAATAAGTGAGCCAGGCCACAGGAAAAGGGGTCTTATCACAGATTTTTCAATATTTTGTTTTTTTTGTTTAACTTAAAAAGCACAAAAAAAACTTTCAATGAGCCATGACTTATGATTTAACGATTTTTCCTTGCATATATAGACCAAAAAAGTCGGATTATAATTTAGCACATTTTCCTCTTAATCTTTTCATTTCTCTTAACATTTTTGGCTCTGTAGCACAATTTTAATTTTTGTGATAAGACCAGTTTTCCTATGGCCAGGCTCAAGTATTGAATGATATACATGGTCAACATTTTAGCAATGTAATTTCCAACATTTCAACTATGTATTTTACAGATGTATAGGGTCAACACTTTGGCAATGTAATTTACAGAAATACAGGGTCAACATTATGTCAATATTTTTAACATATACGGAGGGTCAATTTTAGCAACATATTTTACACATATATGAATCCCACATTTTAGAAACCATTTTACAGATATACAGGGTCAAAATGTTGAGCGTCCAAGCAGCTTTCAAAAACTAAAGTCAAAGCTAACACCAAGGGGGAAATCAGTGGATAATATTGATGTATCTGAGCCTCAACTAGGACTTCCAGAGATCTCATGCCAAAAATGTAATCAGGTATGTATTGTATCTGTAACAATCTGTAACTAGTCGGGAACATCCTGATTATCTAGAGCTTCATTAAGGTCTATAAAAAAATTAAAATACTAAACATTATTCAACTTAAAGCTATATGCATATCCTGCATCATTGAACATCCTGCTGCATTTCTGTGTTACATCTGAGAACTTCCAACGTCTCATGTTACATCATTGAACGTACAACTACAGTCATATGTTACAGCATTGAACTTACCGCTACAATCTTATGTTACATCATTGAACTTACAGCTACAATCTTATGTTACATCATTGAACTTACAGCTACAATCTTATGTTACATAATTGATCTTACAGCTACAGTCATATGTTACATTATTGAACTTCCAGCTACAGTCTCATGTTACATTATTGAACTTACAGCTACAGTCATATGTTACAGCATTGAACTTACCGCTACAATCTTATGTTACATCATTGAACTTACAGCTACAATCTTATGTTACATCATTGAACTTACAGCTACAATCTTATGTTACATCATTGAACTTACAACTACAGTCTTGTGTTACATTATTGAACTTCCAGCTACAGTCATATGTTACATCATTGAACTTACAACTACAGTCTTGTGTTACATTATTGAACTTCCAGCTACAGTCATATGTTACATTATTGAACTTCCAGCTACAGTCATATGTTACATCATTGAAGAGTGATCTCCAGGAACAATCTGATGAGATCCTTGCTCACAGGGAGATGGTGCAAGTCTTACAGAAACAAATTGATGTTCTCGTACGGGATAAAGATACTCAGTAAGGTTTCTTTCTATGGGTCTTTAAGAGGCTTGAGAAGTTTAAAAGTAACATTACAATTATTTATAACCATTTAAGATGTGGATGGCACCTTGTTACCCATTTGGTATAAAGCATACTCTCCTTGACTAAATTATTGAAAAAATGATGGTAGTCCACATTAACTTAAGAATGATTTTTTCATTATTATATATGGAATGTTAACCTTGAAGAACCCAAATGCACCTCACCTCCCTTAAAAAATACATGCTTGTGTCATTCTCACACCGGAATAGCCTGACAACGGTAAAGTCAGAAACCGTTGTCATGAGTGGTGGACACAACCATCGCTTCAATTAGATTTTCATAAACTGTATGTTTAATAAAGCACCTAGACTAAATTCCTTTGGAACAACAATCAATCAACGTGTATCTATACTCATTGTACGGTTAATAATGTTCTACCATCAAAATAAAGTCTTTAATTTAACCGATCAAAATGAGTAACGGACATCGGACAATGTTTTACCATATGCCGTTGTCTTTGTAAATTATTTCAAATTCAGATTTCGTTGTCATTGACGATACCGAAGACGAGATTCACAACCCAATTTGATCGAAATTAGGATTTCATATGATACATCATCACAAGAGCTTAATACATGCACAGAATTAGCGACGATAAAATCCCTTGAAATAAGGACCAAGTGATTAAAGAATTGAAGCGACGGTTACAGTAGTATGTCCGCCATTAGCGACAACGATATCTGACTTTATCATTGTCAGGCTATTCCGGTGTGATTCTAGGCTTTGCAATTTTACTTGCACATCGATTCAAATACTGTAAAGGTGAATTCATGATGTTATAGAGCATAATTTCTTCAACTAGTAATTGGAGCTATGTATACTGTAAATCTAATATGGATATGCGTTGTTAAATTCAGAAAGACAATACTCAGCAGTCCCATGCAATCATTCAGTGATATACTCAGCCAAAAGGAGAGACTCAATGTGGAGCTAGAACATCTTTTAACAGCCACCAGGCAGGAGAATGAACAGAATATTCAGAAAATGAGGTATATGCATGGATTACCTATTTCAAAGGCTGTGTCTGATTCTGATACAACAGCCTTTAGCCGCAATCAGTGAGCCTCTTCATACTACAGTAATCGTAATGCCTGAAACACTGATATACTGAATTTTTTAATAACATTTTCTGGCGAGAAATCAAAATGGCGCTTTTTACAGAAATTTATGAAGTCGCGTCTAAAATGTGATTTCCACATGAGAGCTATTGGAAGTTCAGCCATTTTTAATGTTCATTCTGAAATCTCCGGATGCTACATCATGAATCAATGTCAAACCGCCGTTTTGATTTCTCGCTAGAAAATGCAAGAATGGTGTTAATAATTATGCCAGGTGCATTACAATGTCCAAATAAAAGGTATACCATGGAATTGTATTGTTGTAACATGGTTGCATTGTTCAAAGCATTGTCATTACAATGTCCAAATAGAAGTTATACCATGGAATTGTATGGTTGTAATATGGTTACATTGCTCAAAGCATTGTCAGCATTGAACACACAAGAAATGGTACAATAGAATAGATGAACAAATATTTGAAAATAATGAAGATTTAAATCTCTTCCTTGCATTGTAGTAACCCTGTTTCTTGTATATCCTAGATGTGCGCTGGGTGAGATACAGGCGCTCAATGAGCAGATAGTAATGTTAAAGGAGATTATGCAGGCCAAAGATGCAATAGTGATGCAACTCACTGATAAAGTATCAACGCTTGAGCAGAAACAGGTACATATCTTTGGAAATACATGTAGTAATAACGAAAGTTACATTTTAAGATAGGTCTGAATGACTACCATTAGAGGAAGTAGATGGAAAAGAGACATTAGTTTTTACAGGCTCTCGATCTTATAATTACATCCTATTTTTTAAAATCGCCAACAGACCTGAGTTTATTTCATGTTTCTTAATAGATTTCTACGGTTACCTGGAAATGGTTCTGAGAAAGGCAATATCCCTTTTAAATACTTATGAATTTGGACATCTCTCTATCTTAAATATCTTAATTTTTTCAGAAAATAAAATTGCCATTGTAAAGAAAACCCTGACATGCTTTTTGAAAATATTGCTTCCAACATTTTATACTCGCTGTTCTGTCCCTTCTTCTTTCTTCATGGGCATTCAACTAGATGAATGCCCATGCTTTCTTCAACTGTCTGTTATTGCATGATTCATAGTTCACATTGGGATAGGTTGAGAACGGTGACTGCAAAAGCCCTTGTCAAGTTGTTTTCAATGGTTGATGTTTCCATTGATTACATGCAGATTCTTCTGTTGCATGTTTCTTACCTGAATGGCTCAAATGTTCTTGTATAATGCCTCTGATAAATCTCATTTTTTCACTGACTCATGCATGTTTGTTGAGGGAAGTTATCAATTCTTACAAAAATTGTAGGGTGTCATCGATAATACATGGAAGTACATACAGTATACGGATGCTACTTTATTGTATAAAGCCCCTTCTTTCTGAGAGGCATACAAATGAACTCATTGATTTGATATTTTGTATTATATTTTTGTAGAGAGTGTCTACTTTATCTAGTGTATCAACAGAAGATGGGGAAGATGCATTGATACACCTATCTGAGACCCTAGAATCTATTAGCAAATCCCAGGTACCCTCTGTAATTCAGCCTGCTGTCCCCGAAGAACCAATCAAGATACAACTAGATAGATACAAGGTGCAAGTTTTTCAAATTGTATGGGATGGGTCTAAATTAATGTTTGAACTCTTTTTATCCCAAGAATGTTGACCCAAACCATGGGGTTTCAAGTTGAAAGCCCATGCCCAAACATATGTATGTTGATAACTCAGTCATTCAGCATGTGTTTGAAGTCATATGTTGCACAATTAAACCTTGTTCAATTTTCTTTCCTTCTATTAAGTTTCAATGCTTTATCTCCAGTGGTCACGATTTTATGGTCATTTACAAAATATGCTCCAAATGCCAAAACGTGCCACACTCACCAGACATAAATCCAACCAGATTTTTTATCTGTGGTGCTGATGTCTGCACTAACAACCCTTAAAACCTTGAAAGAAGGAAGACATGAGCCATAATACAAGATGTCTGTGCTCGTGTAGTACACAACCAGGCCCGTAGCCAGGGGGGGGGGGTTCAATGGATTCGAGCGAACCCCCTTCTGGCCAAAAATTCTTTCAAAATCATGCAGTTTTTCACCATTCTGAGCACTTTTTAAGTGATTTTGGCCATTTTTGGACCAAAATTGTCAAAAGTGAACCCCCTAGAATTTTCCAAAAAGTGACCCCTCCCCCTTGGCAAATCCTGGCTATGGGCCTGACAACTACCCGATATGTTCAAGTTAGCCTCCAGACATGACAACAGTGTTTAAAGCATGTTTTGTAAAATATGCACAAAATGGCAACCATTAGAAATAGACAGAATAAACCATGTAAAATGAAAGGAATTGAACAAGGTGTAATTGTGCGAAACATGACACTAAACCTTAATTAGTTTCAAAAATGTGCAGGTCTACATCTGAAAATTAATTGCTATCCTGAATAGAAGTTTGGTCATTTTATGTCAATTGTTTATCCTTTACAGGACATGTGCCATGGATATGAGATGCAGAACAAATTATTAAACAAGGAATTACTAGAGCTCAATCAACTCAGGAGTTATGACGCAGCTAGGGAGACACAACTTACAATGTAAGCTGATTATTTTTTAACAGCTTTTAGGTTAACCATCTCAGATGTAATACCAATCTTGAGTAATACCAATCTTGATGTTAAAAATCAGATGTATAAAAGTCATGTTGAAGTGTATTTGGTAAATATGTACGATTTATCAACACACTACATGTAGTTGCCAATTGAAACGAATCTTACCGAGAGAGGGACACCCCTCTCTGACCCTACAGTACCTCTCATGTTTTGAGCTTGTTTCATTGCAAAGAGATACTGAGGATATAGGAATAACCTTTTTGTTCCCAGGAAAATGACAGAAACAGAGGCAAACTTCTACAAGATTCAAAGCAAACACTTGACACTGCTGAAGGATATGGAAACTCCACAAAGAGGTAAGGGACAGTTTATCATGGGAGGGGGTGCAGGCCAGTAGCCAGGATTTGCCAAGGGGGGGGGGGGGGGTTCAGTTTTCAAAAATTTCCAGGGGGGTTCACATTTGACAATTTTGGCCCAAATATGACTAAAATTACTTGAAAAGTGCTCAAAATGGTGAAAAACTGCATGATTTTGAAAGAACATTTTTTGCCGGGGGGGGGGTGTATTGCTTTATGAACATGATAGAATAAATTGTTTAATAATGGATTGATTATATTTCCACCCACTTCAGACCAAGAAGAAATCAATAGATGAAGTAAATACATTAGAAAAATCTGAATTTTATATGTTGCATCTTAAATATGTAAAACAAAAACATAGATAAACATAGATCTCTTGTGAAACAGTTGCATTTTATACTGCTTTGAATATTAGTCTGTCTTTCGCAACATTAAAAGTATGTACACATACTCGTAAAATGTGTGTCAAGATGTTATTTGAATTGCCAGGAAAAATTAGTTAATGTTATATTCTATTTTAATTTAATCAATAGAACTGTATTATTTTTTTTATATGCTATGATGACATCTGGAATGCCAATATAATATGTGCCTTTTACATTATGTGGAAATTAAATTGAACCAACAGAAATTAGGTAATGATAAGAACATTTGCATTCTCTGTAAGTCTAATATCACAACATTGACTTTTCCTAAACATGTAAACCTGACATCCCTCAAATCATTGCTCCAATGCAGTGGCCTAAAACCATATTTTGATGATATTTTTGCAAACGTGGCTGATAATGCTGATGCCCAGCCACAAGCACATGTGCATTTGTTTAATGTATTCTTTGTATAAATATATCAATAAATAAAAAAAAAGGGATATTTCACTTGTCTTATGATTTTGCTCTTTAAAACTAATAAATAAGCAAATTTGACAAAATATAAGCAAATTTGACAAAATATAAGCAAATTTGGCAAAATTTGATCAAATTAGGCAGAGATTAGCATAGAAAAAGTTTTCACCAAATTCACCATTAGGTGGCTCAAAAAATACGTCGCCGAAAATGTTTGAACCCCCTCCTGTCAAATCCTAGCTACGTCAGTGACTTTGATAAGATGTTCTAATCGATATTTATACCATACTAAGAAACTACTGTAGTAGCAGAAGTACAAATATCAAAGCATTGTGTCAACTATAAAGTAGTTTAATTCAATTAAAACTAAAAATATCGAAATCAACACTTACCGTCCACCATCTTAGATGCTAAGGTTTTGGTCGCTTGATTCCGACCAGTGTATATTGTTTAGGACAAATTCTGTCAGAGAATGCGATATTTTTTATACAGTTGGACAAATTCTGTTAGAGCCTATTATATTGTAGAGCCTGATATATTGGACAGGACAAATTCTGTTAGAGCCTGTTATATTGCAGAGCCTGATAAATTGGATAGGACAAATTCTGTTAGAGCCTGTTATATTGCAGAGCCTGATATATTGGATAGGACAAATTCTGTTAGAGCATGTTATATTGCAGAGCCTAATATATTGGATAGGACAAATTCTGTTAGAGCCTGTTATATTGCAGAGCCTGATATATTGGATAGGACAAATTCTGTTAGAGCCTGTTATATTGCAGAGCCTGATATATTGGATAGGACAAATTCTGTTAGAGCCTGTTATATTGCAGAGCCTGATATATTGGATAGGACAAATTCTGTTAGAGCCTGTTATATTGCAGAGCCTGATATATTGGATAGGACAAATTCTGTTAGAGCCTGTTATATTGCAGAGCCTGATATATTGGATAGGACAAATTCTGTTAGAACCTGTTATATTGCAGAGCCTAATATATTGGATAGGACAAATTCTGTTAGAGCCTGTTATATTGCATAGCCTGATATATTGGATAGGACAAATTCTGTTAGAGCCTGTTATATTACAGAGCCTGATATTTTGGATAGGACAAATTCTGTTAGAGCCTGTTATATTGTAGAGCCTGATATATTGGACAGTTATGTTAGGGCCTGTTATTTTGTAGAGCCTGATATATTGGATATAGAATAAATTCTGTTAGAGCCTGTTAAATAGCAGAGCCTGATATATTGGATAGAATAAATTCTGTAAGAGCTTGTTATATTGCAGTTGCAGGGCCTCATATTGGATTGAACAAATTGTTATGTTATATTGCCTTTAATTTCATATATATTCTGTTATAGTTTTATATAGGACAAATGTGAGAGCCTGTAATGTTGTGTAGGACAAATGAATTCAAATGCGTGGGAATTAATGTACAAGTTCCAATTGAAAATAACAATGAGATAAATGTGCTGTGAATTGGCTGTAAATTATATTAGTATTCACTGTTATAGCAACAGGTTGATGTTTAAATAAATGCTGTTTTCAACTGCATGTTATATTACATGGAAATTGCAACATATTAGATGATCTATGGTGCGGATACTTTGCCATATTGATGAAATAATAGCGATCAACTACATGTATACATGTACTCTAGCTGTTAATTATCACATATCGTTAATCATTTCGTTCATAGTGATCTTGATTTAGGATTTCGCATTTAAATGAAATCGACTAGATATCAACTTGACATACTGAGTTGAAAGAAAACAATAGGAAATTATTAATGCAATAACTACACAATAAGTAATTGACATTCTTTAGTTTTAATGTAAACTGTATGGATGCAGCAGCTGGATCATATGTGGAAAATATTATATTATCATAACTGAGAAGAGAACCTATTAATAATATTGTTAATAATCAAAATAGCATCGATTACATTCAATAACAACTTATTCCAAAACCATGAACTAGGAAGAACTAATCAGCATTGAACATACCAATGTACTTATAAGTTATAAGTACCATACTATAATGTTTAAAAGAGTGGAAAAGTCAACAGAGGGAATCAAAAAACATTTAGGAATTGTACATACATTTTTGAAACTTCAAATCGATGACCTCTCTGAGACTGTTGGTGAGGTTTTGGACAATGTATTGGATGATACCAATGACAGGGAGGCAGCAAAGTTTGCAATTACAACTGAAGTTCAGAGACTTTTCCATGTTAAACTCAATAGGTTAGATGATATTCAAAAGTGTAAGAATTTAGACGGCACTCAAAGTCATTTACATGTTAACACTGGGCTTGGGGAAGGAAAGAAAAGTTTGAAATGGACCAACACTGAAGATGTTAAGGATCCATGTATCAATGGAATAGATCTGTTGGATAGTGATTATGTTGAGCCAACAACATCTAAAAAACATAAAATAAGTTGCTCTAATCCATGGTTCATTTATAACCCTCCAACAAGCCCCAACAGCATACCATCTCAACAATCCAACACAGGATTACAAATATTTAGAAACAAGTCCAATGATTCCCATCATATGGTACATAGGAGTGACCTACATAATAGCAGACATGGCTCAGTTGACAGGAACAGTCTATTTAAAACTCCTTACCTGACAGATCCATCAAAGTATGACATAAGCAATGGTTGCCATGGTGATGAGTGCGTGGAAGAGATAGATGAAGGCTTTCATTTATTCCATGAAATCACTGAAGCTTTTAGTAAATTTCATCTCTCTAAAATTGAAGTGGCAAATAGAATAACATGTAAACACGTTGAATCTAATTTAGCTGTTAATGGTTAGTAATTATTAATTAACAGTTATTTTATAATGGTTATTATACTACAGTGGAAGACTTCTAATTAATATGAATACAAAAAATGTGCACAAAATCTAAATGTAAGTATATAACATACATGTTTGACTGACAGAACGATTGTCTATGGTGAATGGTACACATACTCTTATGTTGTGCTAATTGCTGTTATTGTTATCACCTAGGTGGTAGCGGAGGTGATAGTGATGACCTGGTCTCCCGCCTACTTCAGGATGCCATTAAATCAGATGGTAGAGAAAGACCACAAAGACCTTCCAATCCTTCGTGAGTGAATTAAAGACCCTCATTTTCTCTGAAATATGTTTATATCAAATCATGCCATTCACTGGTTAAAAGTATTATATAATATTATTGCTCAGTTATCTTATGAGCAGCAATCAGCAATGTATGAATCTTCTATTATTAGTTCTCAATCAAGATACTACATTTTGATTTGGTTAAAAAACTTGATAGTATTGACTGTTTTTCATACAATGCGTTTGCTGATTAAAGATATCAGTATTTTACATTGACTCATATATAAAATTCCCTCTCTGTAGGGAACACCTACCTACAGTGAAGATTTTTTGCAGCTCCGTAGGTGTTCACTATCGACAGGTTTTACTGTAATTACAAACTTTTATTATAATGTAGATTATAGCAATATTATATGATACAGAGTGGCAGAGTATGATGACTATGGCTTTAGAGTGCTACCATTCGATGCAGAAGATGCTCTTGAAGTAAAAGCCAACAGCCTCCAAAGAAAGTCTGAACAACTTGCTAATAAAATGAAGGTAACCTGCTTTACCAAAGGCCTATACATGTAAATTGTCTGTTAAGCAGGATTTGGAAAAAGTGACCAGGTGACAGTAGGGTTCTATGACATGTTGCTGTGCTCAGTATTGGTATCTTTGATTGGTACTGTGCAACAGACTGGTACCAATAGGGAGCTTTATAAAGCGTGTCATAAAATCATAAAATGGTGCTGTGCGTGATACTGATAACACTGTAAACTGCTTGTACCTGTAATTGACGCTACTGTGCAATTACATACAAGTACAAAGTGCATGTAGACCAAGAATGAATTTTTCATTATCCCAGCACGGATGTTTGTTTTTTAATAAAAAGCATGGATGGTTTAAATGACTGATACTAGCCAATAGCCATTAGTTTACTCTTATCCCTCAAAAATTGAAGGCCTTATATTACAATGTTAGAGGCCTGTCTTGAATGCAGTAGAATTGTGTGAAGACAAGACAGTCCATTGGATCCTCAAAGACCTCCCTCTATGGCAAACACAATGACTGCCTCGGAGCGAGTAGACTCATTAACTTCCACTTCATTATTAGAAATATGAGAGGCTATTTGTCTATGTCAATAATCTGCGAAAGGCTAATAAGCCCATATGAAGCTGATAAATTTATAAATATATTTACATGCTTTTTCCTTGATTTGTGGTAGTGATATGTTTTCATTTATCATATAAGGTAATATATTCCTGCACCTTGATGGTTTAGAGAACTTGAAGATGCATAATGTTAGCAGATGTTTGTTTCATAGCAGATATTATTATTACACATTGGCATATGGTGCTGGCTTAATATTTTAATGTCTCAATATTCAGTTCATTACATTTGTAGGCATACAATTGCTATTTTGACAAATGTCTCTTCAAGGGCTAGCTTAGCTGTTAGGGCTTTGTACTTGTAGTGGTGAACTTCTCACTTCACCTTAAACATGTTAAAGCAATGCACTTGACATAGTGAACCATTCAATGCTTCACCCCATGCAGACAGATCACCTAAAATTACATTTGTATGATGTGAGACTCAACATTCACCAGAAAACTTGAAATAATTTGTCACCCATGGAGCAAATTATTTTTTACTGCTTAATAAATGGTGAATGACAGCCAAATTAAGTTCTATAAGTATGAGAATACATAGCATGACGTATTGATATTTCAAGATAACGCCTTTTGAAAAGTGATGGGGGTGATTGAAATTACGATGTAAAGATAAACCGCAAAAAAATATTCGTAGATTTCTTTGGAAAACTAAGAAATATACATCACATATCGAATTTTCCGAAACACAAAAAAACACATATAAATGTGTGCAGGCCTTACTATTTATATGTGTTTTTTTGTGTTTCGGAAATTAGTTTCATGGGTGGCAAAATGTTTCTAGTTTTGTGGTGAATGTTGAGTCTTGCATCATACGAATGCAATTTTAAGTGATTTGTCTGCATGGGGTGATGCTTTAACACTGAGCCTTTCTTGAAAATTTTGGATATCTAATTGATGAATTCAGTTATGGCAGTGTTGTAATATTTACAGTTACATGTATATGGTGCATATTTTTATTTAGAATTCAGAGTATGAACAGTCAAACCAAGTAAGATGGGAGAACTATATGATGGGCCAGGGAGAGAGGCAGATAGTGCGTAATCCTGAATTGAAGTCCCTTGTGAGGGGAGGGATCTATACAGATTATAGGCCTAAGATATGGAAATTGTAAGATTTATATCATTTATGTGGCTTGCCTCAGTCATATTTGATCTACGGCAACCCTACGGTGGCCATAGCTTCCCACAATCAAGAGAAATATGCAGGCATAATAGCTACAGCCACCGCACACCCTTCGTAGAGCAAATGTGACTAAGGCTTTACTTCAAATGGGCAGGTAATCATGTTATGCATCACAATATTATAGTCATTGTGCAGTTTTCTCAATCCATGATCAGTTTCAACCAGTATGGAGAGCATTCCCTGTACACAGGTTTACTGTATATTTTTATAGTTTTATAAAATGATATTAATAATTTATTTTGGTACCTCATGATTTGCCATAATACATATTTGTAAGTGTAAAACACTGAAAATAAGACATGTATAGTATGTATTAGTAGTTATGCAGTTCTCTTTTATTCATATTGTAGTTGTACAATGTACCATGTTAGCAGACTTAAACAGAAGAAGGGAGATAACTATTATGAAAAGCTTAGAAGAGAACGAAGAGGCAGCAATAGATTTAACCCAGCAGCTAAGCAGGTAGGATTTCATGTCATCTAGCACTCTTCCCCCAATTTACCATGTCTCATATTCAGCTGGGACAATATCCTTGGGAATTGTAGACATTTATTCTCAGACAACATACAAGTACTACCAGATGTACACTTAATTTAGTAATGCCTTAGGTCAGAAAAAATGTTGCTTTTAGTCTCAGAGCTGCCTGCCATGTAAAATTTTCTCACTTTACATATATAGATTACATGTAACAAAACTTTTAAAATTTGATCTCCCATGACATCATTGAAATATGATTTAGATTCTGGTACCTGCATGTGTACTATGATTAATTCTTAATTCATCAACATTTTGTGATTTAAATTCTAGATTGAATTAGATCTTCTACGAACTCTGCCCAATAACAAACACTATGAAAAGCTTGACTCTGCTGGGGTGCCAAAGTTACGCAGGGTGCTACTGGCTTACAGTTACCACAATCCTCTCATAGGATATTGCCAGGTAAGATTTTAAGCACAGGCTTCTCATTCACAAGCTACCTGCATCCTTAACATTCATGTCCTCGTTTAAATTATTCAGTTGAATTGGTCTATCAGAACAACACGATGGAACCTTTCTTAATCCTAGAATTGAAGTACAAATATGTGCATACAGATAAAATTCTTAGAATCTCATTTGAAAAACTCTATGCTGATTGCACAAAAGAGGGTTCAATGATTATTGCCAACGTTTGTTTTCGAAAATCTAGATATGATCACTAAAAAGTGGGGATTGTACATGTTGAGTCATTGTAATGCTTTGCAATATTGTACATGTTTATAAATCTAGGGTTTGAACAGACTTGCTGCAATAGCCCTGTTGTTCCTATCTGAGGAAGATGCCTTTTGGTGTCTTGTTTGTATAGTAGAGGTGTTGATGCCTGTAGACTACTTCAGTAGAACCCTTATAGCTGCTCAGGTTGACCAGGTGAGTGTAGCCGGGGAGGGGGGGGGGGGGGGGGGTTCTGGCCAAAATTTCTTTAAAATCATGCATTCTGACTATTTTTTGAGTGATTTTTGGCCAAATTTGCCAAAGTGAACCCCCCCTAGAATTTTTTGGAAAAGTGAACCCCCCTTAGAAAATTCTGGCTACGGGCTGGTGTAGACTCTTACATCTCTTGGAGAGATGTGTTGCTGATTCCATACAGATTCTCTATGGCTCTATATTTGATTTAGCTCTCCTTAGATTTACCATTCTCTGTTTCATAGTGTCTTCAAAATATCTTGTCCGAGTTTTAGAGATAGGCTAAGATTGTCCTGTGTCATTATTGTTGCAGATATTATGGTTCCGGTTGCTAAAATTGCGATGCTCTTTTATAGAGGGTGCTGAAAGAATTGATTGCTGATAAACTTCCAAAACTTGCCAGCCACTTAGAGCACAAAGAGGTTGATCTTTCACTTTTCACATTCAATTGGTTCCTTACTGTGTTCGTTGACAACATCCCTGTAGAAATGTTCCTCAGAATATGGGATGCTTTCCTTTATGAGGGAAGCAAGGTAAGGGAAAATTTCATACTGAAAGGTTTTGAATTGAAAACTCAGATTGTAACTGTATATATGTTAAGATTAGTTATTGTACCAGTATTTCAAGTTAAATATCTGATTTTGATTTGTTCTTATTTACCATCTAATGCACAACCAGATATAAGAATAGTATTTCAGACAAAATAATCTACTGATAAATAAAAGGAATCTTGCTACATGCTTGGTAACCAAAAACAATTTTCCTGTCCTAAGTGTGATTATTTTGTTTTAGGTGCTCTTCAGGTTTGCTCTGGCTTTCTTCAAATACAAGGAGGATGAAATATTGCAATTACATGACAGCATGGCCATACATCGCTACATGCGCATCATAGGGGAACATATGGTGGATAGCAATAGAATTGCACAGGTACATGTAAATAGTTAATGTTTTCATCATAGAAAACATTTTTATTCGACCCAGTAATCTGAAACTGAAACTGAATCATTAAAACTTAGTAAACACCTATACAATGTTATTATAGTAAGTCTTCTCATTGCAGCCAATATCTGTCACCATTTTTCTGATATGGCTTGTTAATACCTTGTGTTGTCTTGTTTGTAGATAGCCTTCAATGAATTGAATCCCTTCCCTATGAAGGCGATTGCAACCAAACGTAGCTGCTATTTGTCTCAAGTTAAAGTAAGCATTACCTTTATGTTGGAAGGACTATCTTCCTTACTAACGAAATCTCATTAAGTAGTACATGTATTGCTGACATAGCAATAAACATACATCGTCGCGTGAGAATAACTTTGTACTAACTGCCATTTTCAAAAAAATTGAGATAGACATGGAATTTTACTATTTGAAACACAGGCTTTCATCTCAGATACATGCCCCATCTCAATTCCCTCTCATTAAGCTAGAATTCAGTGTGAAATTGTACCATCTCCAGACAAACAGCTGATTTCTAATTTCAAATTGTCATATCTGATATCAACTGTTTCAACCAATCAACTCTCTAAGAATTGGTCATGTGACTTGCAAAACTTGGAGTTATAACAATCTTATATTAAAACGAAGTATGCCAATATGCATGTTATTGTATCTAGAATGAAATAATGTTTTGTAACACAATACCATGCCAGTTTGCATGCCTGGCCTTTCAGTTTAGTTTTAGAACTATTACAAGTAGATCAAAAAAATAAAATGATACAGTATGTGTAATCCCATGCATATTCAAATTATATGCCCTCAATTACTCTTTGTATTATGGATGCTCATTGGATTATTCATGGCCACATGATATGAAATAGAATTACTGATTTCCTCGAAAACCTAAATCCTTGCTACCAGGGAAGATGAAAAGTACAAATGACCAGTTAATTAGATCATGTGAGCAGTCAAAAGTACCCTTTATCTTCCTTGCTACCAGGTCTTATAGGGGTTTGAATGGCCAAATGCAATAGAAATGCATATACGAAGCTGTCATCATTAAATGTTGAAAATGAAAGACTACTTATTTGTTTCTTCAAATAGAGTACATAATAATAGGTTATATACTAGATATAGTAATCAAAACAAATAGTAACTGTCATATTTTGCACTACATCGCTCAAAGGCAATCACTGTCTGTATACTATTGAAATCTCTTTCAAAATGATGTTTTATAGTTTGTGGAAAAAAAGCTAAATCTATTTAAACTAGCTTTAACTTTTACTGACCATACACTATATCAATAAGGAGTTATCTTTATGTTAGTATAGTCCCTTAAAACACTTATTTTATTTTCTCTTCATCTATGATTTACTTTAAAATTTTCACTGAACATCTGGGATCTTTTTAGTTATTTACTAGTATGTTTTTCAGATTTGTCCTTTCTTCTGCATTTTTTTGGATCATTGTTTTTAGATCATCTACATTTTCTTTTGGAAAAGTAACAAATTGGTTCAATTTCTTTAAAAAGAGCCACTCTTAGTCTCCACTTCTACAATTGCTTCAATTCCCAATTGTACTCCACAAAGTAGCAAACAACAAAAAATGAATGGATAGTGATAGCTGCATCCCAATGAACAAAATTTGATTACCTAAATCGAGGTTTCATCCCTTTCATTAATCTAAAATTAATTAGAAATTATTTTTCTATTTTCAAATTTCTTCCATGTGCATGTAATAAAAATTGGTTATGTCTTAGGCCCTAAGGATCTGAAACCTGCTGGTCAAAATGGAATTACGGACCAGTTGCAATGTTATTCTCCTATACCCGGTGAAAGAATCAACTGGTCTGTATCAAAAATAACCTGATAATGACCAGCGGACCGGCCCTTAGGACCTACATTGTAATGTGCTGGGAGGTTTAGGCTACAGGGTTTATACCGAGGGAAATATGTGGGGGACCATATTGGCATCATTGGTTTCAAGGCATTGTACTTCTGCCTTAGTTTCAAAGGCAATAAATTCTTTTTGAAGGGTGTCCTGAGATTCCAAAATTAAGAAATAATTGTACTTATTTGAGAAATTGATTTTAAAGTTTTATAAATTGAATTTTCTTTATTTTATTAAATAATATTCTTTGGTTTTTGAAGATTTTTTTACAAAGCAAAACATTATTTTTCATTCTAGATACAATAACATGCATATTGGCATACTTTGTTTTAATATAAGATTGTTATAACTCCAAGTTTTGCAAGTCACATGACCAATTCTTAGAGAGCTGATTGGTTGAAACAGTTGATATCAGATATGACAATTTGAAATTAGAAATAAGCTGTTATTCCAGTGGGAAATTGTATCAACTCCATTTCCATAGTTTTAAAAAAGGATCTTGTAAATTGTTTCAAGGTATGATATTTCATATAAAATATCTCTAGGGTGAGACCAGGTGACATACAAAAAATCAAGTTTCACATAGCAATACTAAGTAAGATATAGACCTCTAAACTTTCAAACCTTGATTTCTCAGTTCCGTAAAAATGTGAGATAGTACAAAGTTATTCTCATGCGACGACATGTAAGCCATATACTAGAACTCCTAGATCATGCCTGTAGCCAGTGCCGGTGTGAAAGAAATTATGGTCCCCCTTTTAAAGGCCCTTACTGGCCCTGATTGTGTATAAGATAATAAGGGAAAGACCACAAAGAGGTCACCATATAAATCAATGGAGAGTAGGACCATAAATTAATAGGACCTCCTACCCTTTTACACCGGTCCAGTGGGTGCAAGCAAATCCCCCTGACCTAAACTTTTTTTAAATCAAATAGTTTTACACCATTCAAGTAAAAGATTTTTCAGGTCGAATGACCTCCCCCGGAATTTTTAAAAAAGTAAACCCCCTTGGCAAAAGCTGAATATAGGCTTGTAGACAATATCTCTGAAATAAAGAGACAAAATTATACATGAACAGACAATTGTATATGATAATATGGTATATGTGTGATTATATATAATTATCAATATCTGAGGAAACTTAAGAACATTGATTTTCTTTTAAAGATGGAACTTGAAGAACTTGATGCTTTGAGAGAGGACTTCAAATCAACACAGTTGCCACTGGATAGACAAGAATTCTATAGTGATGAAGATATATAGAGATTAGAGAACAGTGCTTCAGGACCAACAAAATTAAGTTTATAGTGATGAAGATATACATTGTATTGTATAGAGAGAGGTGCCATAGGACAGAATTGAATTCTATAGTGATGAAGATACCATATGGACTATAGTATATAGAATGATGTGCCCCCCCCGGGAGTGCCACAGTATAGATGGGAGTATAGACTTGAAGTGACTCTATAGAGATGAAGATACAGTATATAGAGAAAGGTGCTACAGGAAAGATGTCATGAATTCTATAGCGTAGTGATCAAAATATATAGCTCATTCAACAGCCAGTCCTTCACTGTATTAGTCAAGGTTGTTTGTAGACAAAAATCAGTCTGTTTAAAGGCTGAAGTTAAATTGAATATGCCATGATACTCTTATGCCTGGTGAATAACACCAGGGGATATAATTGATATTGAAAAATTCCTCCTCAAAAATTGTTTTCAACTGGTTGACCACATATTAGAATCTATTCACCTGGTCATACTGGAAAATATCATATACCCTAAGTATAAATCACATATTCAATCCTTCCCAGTAAAGAAACTCAATATATTGTATACACCAAAGGATATTTAGTCATACATTTATTCCTCAAAATAATCTACATTCATTTGTATATATATATATATACACAAACATTTAAAAATGTTTCGGACCATTTCTGTGTAGACAATATTGCTCACTAGGACCGTCTTGTAGTACCGAATATCCACATGGACTACACTTTACCAGGTATCCACATGGACTGCACTTGGCCTATCCTTGCCATAGACTTCACTTGGCCTATTTTTGCCATATTATTCATTTATTGACTAATCATACTAAACTTTTTGTCAAGAAAACTTGAATGTGAGGGACTGCACATGTTACCACAAGTATATCTGTATTATATTATGTTTATACATATAGACTATTTTTTTAATCACATTTATTTTCCTGTTTGTGAAAGTATAAGTGATGATTCGAAAGAGTTAATTGGACATTTTATTGATAACAGTCAACAACTGTAAATAGCCTGCAATATACAAATTAAAATGTTTACGAGGGGTGATCCAAAAGTCTTGGACGCCCCGCTCTAACTTTGCTATTTTCTAATATAATTGCACGAAACTTTCAGATAATAAAGATCAACATCTTAACAACTTTGTGTATAAGTTTCAACAGAAAATAATATACTTTAGCTTTTTGGTAAAGATTTTTTAACACTGGGTCTCTGCCACCCGGAACGGTATTTAAATATAGCAAATCACGTCACAACTGTTATAATATGGCAAATACTTTAGGTGCAGTTGCACAACCTAACACCAGTCATTATATGAGAGATTTTCCGATTTTCAATCTGAGTGTCATCTGCCATCAGCATCTTCACCTATTAAGACCTACTTTTCAACATATTTTCCACAAATTTGATCCCATCTTTCATACCGCTTTACAAATGAATGGAAGACATTTATGAAACCGCCATTCCTCATGTGATACAAATGCTGCTGGAGTGCTACTCTAAACCTCATCCAATGAGTAAAAAAACATTTTCTTTCAACCCTCCTTTCAACTTCGAGAAAAGGAAGAAAATCACACGGAGCCATATCTAGACTGTATTGTGCATATGACATTATGGTAGCTGCTAAAGGTCAATAATAGTGATAATTTTTTGTAGTATTCTTTGTTCCACTTTGATTTCTTTCATGTTCTGCATTTCAGCAGCCATTTTGGAGCAAAAATGATACCAGAATGAGGGTTGCTTGTCTGATCTCATTTTCTTAGAATTTGACATGTATAATCATTGTCATATGTGACATTATAATTAAAATACAATTAAATGGTTGCCTAGAAGAAAGGAAGTAAACTAACATGGTTTAACATTCACAATTCAAAGAAAGACAGTGGTCAAGACTTGCGAAACAAGTCAAATGTCGGCAACATTTAAGGCTGAAAGTTGTCATGTGTGAATACCGTTCCGGGTGGCAGGGACCCCATATTAAAAACTGTCTAGAAAACTACATAAAACATATCATTTCTCAATGAAATTAATACACAAAGTAGTTAGGTTGTTGATCTTTATTATTGGAAAGTTTGAAGTAATTTTCTCAAAAACCAACAAAATTAGAGTAAGGCGTCCAAGACTTTTGGATCACCCCTCGTACATGTACATGTGAATAAATAAATGTAATAAATAAATATATATGCTGTTGAGTTATGACAGAAAAATTATCCCCCGTGTCAATTGAGAAGTATGAGCTAAAGTCTATAAAGTCTAATAAAGGACGATTCTCGGTTTGGAGAACGGTCTCCTGGGCTAATAATTTTTTTCATGAAAAGTATACATTACCCAAATTAACTATGAATATTCAAAAGAGGACATTTAAATCTACAAGATAATAAATTGGTCTGAAATAACAAATTGGTCTGAAGCAGGGATAACGCTCAATTAGACCGATTCAATAAAATACAAGTCTCGATTTGGGGAAAGAAGTTCATCAGTGTACTGGGCTAATATTTTTTGGCGAAAAATCTAGAAATATTACCCAAATTAAATTATGACTATTCAAAAGAAGACATTCAAATCTATTGTGTAAAAAAAATCAAATTTATCCGAAGCGGGGATAATGCTCATTTAGATTGATGAACTTCGTTCTCCAAACCGAGAATCGTCCTTTTGTGATTCAATAATTTTTTCTTCAGTTGATTTAATTTTTACAGCTGGAAAACAAAATTCCAATGAAAATTAACATGGTATAAACAAAAATCAAAAATATGCAAATCAGGGAGTAAGTATGTTTATTGCAGTTCATATTCTTTGTTGTAATTTGAATACAACTTGATTCGAAGTTATCCCTGATCGAGTATGGTAATATAACATTAGTTCATTGGTTGTTGTTCACTTAAATAGGTAATCACCCACTGAATTATTTTTAGATGGAAAGATTGAATTGATTGTGCCATGATAAATTCTCATTGGAATTTTGTTTTATAGCTTTAAAAATTAAATCAACTGAAGAAAAACTATTGAATCACAAATTCATTTGGGACAGAGGCATTTCTTTTGCAACATATTGCTGTTTTGTGGATAAAATTTTTTGTTGCAAATTAAGGCAAAAATGCTTATTTTTAAAGCATTGACATAGAGTTAAGTATTGCGTCTTTGATATTCTTTGAAGAAATACAAGACATGCATTAGGCTATTTCATGATCATCACACAGGGGCAGACCCGGGATTTTGTGTTGGGGGGGGGGGGGGGCGTTTAAGAATAACATTATGTTTAACATTATGTTGTGCAATCAGGCCAATTTCAGAGGGAGAGTAGGGAGGTTTTGGGGGTTCGCCTCCTCCTCCCCGGGAAATTTTGAAAATTGAACATCTTGGTGCATTCTGACCAATTTCAGAGCGTAGGATTTATGCCGATTCACTGGTCTATTTTGATTAAAAAGTCTGCCTTTTTAGGGGGAGGGGACATGCACCCCAACACCCCTCTAGGTTTGTTGGTGTCACAATGTCTCATCCTAAATAATCACCAACGAACCCTAGAAGTACAAGAATAGTCTATCTGATCATCATGATCCGATGGGAACGTTGCAAATCGTACAAATGGACAAAACCACAAATAGATCCTGTGAATTAAAAGTAACAATTATTTAAAATAAATATATAAAATAAATATAATTAATTGTTTTAGATATTGCATTAGAAGTACCATGTGCAATTGAAAAATCATAGAGAAGGACAATTGCAAAAAATAAAAAATTTAGCCTTGTGTTCCATGCCGAAACCCGGGATTGAACCAGGGACCTTTAGATTCCTGGCGTATCATGGATACCAGCCGCTTCAGTCTAACGCTCTCCCAACTGAGCTATTTCGGCGACGGCTACTACTACCGTTAATTGTATTGTCTATATACACTCCAGCATTATCGCTTATCGGCATAGTCTACGGTGGCCTATAAAATCAATAATACCCTGAATTATACCATGTTATACGCTGTAAAAGTATTCTAAGCTTCAGATAGGCGGTGACATCTATATATGAACATTTTTGTTATTCTACAATTTTATGACTGAATTAAAAAAAAACATCTCCCGATCGATTAGCCTGCCAAATGTGAGTGTTTTATATTTATCCATGGCCATGATCCCCGTATTAAAAAATAGAATACTTTTGATGTCAGATTTACAAAGATGGAATTATTAGAACTTTTGAGATGCATTTTTGTTTTTTGATCAATTTATGAAAGGCTGGAGTTGTACAATGTGCATTACAGATTTAACTATATTAGTGTGGCACTTTCAAAAGGTATAAAGAGTAAAACTTTCCAATCAAATCAAATCAAATGGTGAATGGAAATGAGTATTTTACTGAAGTGCTTTTAATTTCTTGGGAAAAGAAAATTTTGACTCATTGACAACAATTTAATGCGAAAATAATTTATATATATTTTATATAACTGTTTTTGTTAACATTTTTTGTTTTTAGTGCAATTGTTTTTTGTTCCTTTTTACCAATTCTTGAGAATGATGTATAATATCTTCCCGAAGCTTGTTGGAACAAAATACCATATGACAACAATTTCTTAGGACCTCCGTCTAAATATTATACCAGCAGTTATACGTCTTATAGCAAGGTGGGGACCAGTGTAAAGCATGTGTAAAGACAAGTTAATATGCAATAAATCAGCTAGAGGAAACTCATGACTTTATTGGTGCAGCATGTATTTCAATTTACCATTTGAATACATGTCTTATAGAAAGATCAGCAACAATACAACTTACAGCTGTACAAGCTAAATTAATTTTTACTGAACAATTCTGCATTTGATATTTCTTGTATTCTTTATGTTGCCCTTGTACACACCAAATTAATAATAATATTTATATGATCAAACAAACAAACAAACAAACAATCAAAATGCTGCTTCTGAGTATTGATTGCTATAGTGATAAATATTTAAGGAAGCAATACACTGAATCCAGTAAAAAAATAAATGACCAATTACAAGTACAGTGTGTGCCAAAAATTGATCAGTCTAGATAACTAACAACAACTTTCTAGGTTTCGGTCCTATTGTCAATTACATAACCTTTATTAAAATTCTGTAAAGTTCCACTGAATCGTTGGTCCATTTTATAATTAAAAGTTTATTTAGCTAATACACATTCATCTCTAGTTTTTGTACTGGTAGAGCTTTCAAAGATGATATAGTTTTCAAAACAGGTCAAATACATTTTACCGATTGAAGTCTTGATAAACAACTCATTTTAATAATTTATTTAATGTTTCAGACAACAATTATGATATGAAAATCCAGAGTACTGTATTGTTTTAGTACTGTAATATATTTATTACAGTAGTTATTACATAGATGTTCATTTTCATTTCTCACATCCAGTCGAACAAATGATGCATTTCATAGTAGTCTTTTTCAATTTCAGGCTTTTTTCAAGTGTTAACAAAATTTCTATCACATAGCAGTTCGGTTGGAATTCTAAAGATGTCTACTACGGAAATGCAGCCATTTTTAAAAGGAGAAAAGCCCTTAAGTTACTCCAAAGCAGGGCTAATTGGGACCGGTGAGAGTGCAACGGATGAGCCAGATGAGAACATAGATACTGACTCACACACAAGACTTCATGAAACTCCAACAATAGAACAACATGTTGACATATTAGGGGTATATGTCCCCATGAAAGCGCTGAATATTTGCTTGGCTATATTCTCTGTGCTATTTAACGTTGCTATGAACATTACCTTACCATTACATTCTCAAGCTGTTAATAGAGCCAAGGGTGATGAATACAATGTGCTCCTGTTCTCCGCATTCTGGTTTCCTATCATCTTCTACATCATTGACAGGGACATGCCAATATTGCCCACATCTAAATGGTACCATGTAGTGATGGTCGGATCATTTAATGGACTGAATGGATTATTGGTTGTGTATGCTAGTGACCCTTCACGTACACCCCCATACCCCATATGGTGGACATTTTTCCAATGTTCACCTGAGTTTGCCTGGGGCCCAGTGTTTAATGAAACTACAGTGTTTACTCTGATTGGATTATCTATAATGATGCCTGGTGTCATAATGTACAACTATTTTAGTCAGCAGGATGTGAAAGAGAAAGAACAATTGAGTCAATCAACAAGACTTCAGCAGCCCTAGTCAATAAAAGATTTATTAATCTCGGACAATAAAAACTCGTACAGCTCAAGATATAATACATACATTTTAAAGGTTATCCAAAGTTACATTGATTCGCCAAGTATCGTGGTTCAACTCCCAAATGTGAAGAAATTAGTCATTTCAAAATTTAGTGTTTTGTCTAAATAAAGTTCAATTTACACCACATTACTAGTCAATGTGTCCCCCCTTGGCCATGTTAACAGCAGCGATTATTTTCAGATATGACCTTAAAAGCCCTTCAAATAGGGTTGTGGAATTTTATAACCCTCTTAACACCTGTTAAGGGACTTTAGAAGAGTTTCCTTAGAGTTTCTACCCTCACTGTTCTCTTTTTCAACTCAATATCCCTCCGACCCGAAAAGAATTGCTGCTGTTAAGATGGCCCAGGAGGACACATTGACTAGTGATTTGGTGTAAAATTGAACTTCATTTTGACCAAACACTAAATTTTGAAATGACTGTAATTTCTTCACATTTGGGAGTTGAACCACGATACTTGGCGAATCAATGTAACTTGGATAAGCTTTAAAATGATATATGACACATACTATGACGACACTGGTATATGTCTGCCTAGGGGGGGGGGGGGGCATACTTTTGGGACACCCTGTATACATTGGTAGAGAAAGATCAGCAAACAACAATACAACACATTCTGCATTTGATATTTCTTGTTTTCACCATGCATCCTCCGTAAGGGCTCCAAAATCCAGAATACCTTATTTCCTTTTACCCAGAAGGAGGTATGGATTCTGGTCACCTGCAGCTTGGGGGGATGTCATTATGTTGTCTTTGTACCTTTTAGTAATCAAATTGATAAACAAAAAAAACACAAATAAACAAACAAAATAAATGCTTCTGAGTATCGACTGCTATTGCAAATTATTAAGGTAGCAATACACTGAATCCAGGAAGAAAATAAATGATTCGTTACAAGAACAGAGTGGGTATTGGTCAAGTTTGATAACATACTTTTTAAGTTTTTGGTCCATCCTGTAGAAATGTCCATGACTATAACAATAACATGTACTTCAATTGTCTTCAAATGTTTACACACATACTCATACGAGTATATAAATCACATGTCTGAGTAAATGTTTATTACTTAAGATATGAACCCATCATGTGGTTGTCATATGACAAAATTACTACCGTGGGTACTGGGCTCCCCTGGTGTTGCTCAAAAGTGAATGATGGCTAAAATGACAGAAAATAAAAACAAACGGATATAATTTTTTGCCCATTTTTTGTTACAGAATTATTTCAAGCCACTTGCCACTATTTTGGACTGACTGAGAGACAGAATGGACCAATCAATGTAAAGTAAAATGGCTAAAAATAAAAAAACAATATAATTTTTTGCCAATTATCAAATTCAAAAGATGACCATTAAATAGACGATGTGTAAAATTTTCAGAATTTTTTGATGACTGGTTTAAGAGAAACGTGTGTTCAAAAAGTTCACCATATCGATACCCATCTTTTATGTGTCCAGTAGTTAGAGATAAACAGAGTCAGGTTTAGGTTGAAATAATTTATTTACACATGATTCCTCATTGGGAGCATATAAATAGCTACAACCATTAACACATGCTGCTGCTGACCATATCAGCAAACAATCCCCTTTACTGGTTCACAATGTATTTCTCACATTGCTGGCAACCTGCTTCAAATAACCACACATTTGAACAATTTTCAAATATAAAACAATTGTATATCTTCAGGTTAATTACACAGTGTGGCAAGAATCTCCACAATCACCCTATGTATAAATTATAAAACAAACTGATTGTGGGAAGTTGGTTATTGAATGCTGGTGTTCATTATTTTCACTATTGGTTATCAGCAACCCTACCTGTCTACCCATGGGCCTTCTCTAAAAATCCCATACCTATGTACAAATAACATATGAGCCGATCATAAGAAAATTAGTCTCATCAATTCTGATAAAATCCGTAGCTAGAAAAGCCACTTACATACTTTCTGGAGTTGATCATTTGCCTAACTGCTATGATATTTTTGAGGTCTATAATACCAAAATGAGAAATAAAATGATTGATGGAATCAATTTTCTCATGACCAGGCTACAATAGATTTGCATATCTACATGAGAACATGTAGCTTATAGGTTCATGAAGTACTGTACCAGTCTTGCAAAAGACGTATGGTCAATCCATTGACATACAGTCACCTCTAAACACTGTATAATCATGGCAGACAGGTAAACAAGCTAATATCCATACTTTGGTATTTCAATAGATTTACACTCTTTGTAAGGCTATTAAAGTATTGAATTGTTTAATAGTTTATACAGATGAACTGCAACATATTTCATTTGCATACAGTATTTCACTCGTGAATCACATTAGCATATCATAATAGACAGTTCGTTGTTATCTAGGCTAGAAACTCACATATTACATACTTCTGTGAATAATCACTTTTAACATTAACACGTGCCTTTATTTAATATAAGGGTAATAGTTGTAATCCTCACCCTAAATACCCTAATTCATAAAAATATATAACTTACACAATCAATACACTTGGACATTATACTTAAGTTCTGTAATAATTGGAGCTTAAAAATTGTCCATGTAAAGTGCTAGTATTTTTTCAAATTGGTGCTTCTGTCTATGAAAGGAGATCCTTCCAAGTTCCAAGGTTTGTTATTTCTAGAAAAGAGGGTTTATTCAGGTCTGGTGATTGTGTAACATGCCTATTAAAGTTAAAAGTTACATATCAATATGATTTAAATATTTGAGGGTTATTAATGATGACGATTACACTACTGGCTCTTTAAATTCAAATTCAATGCTGTTTTGCAATAAAATCAAAACTAAAAAATAAAAAACAAGTGGATGAAATTAACACTTTGTACTTCATGAATAATACAAGGCACTGACATGCATAATGTCACCACCTACCATTTGTTACAGACACAGAACACCATCCCCAAGAAAGTTGGAGACTATAACAATAGGACACTATGATCACTTCTGGTGGTGACATCAAAACTATTAAAAATAACAAAAGCACAAACAACAAACTGAATAACCTTAAGGTTCAGAACCAATATGGGCAGAAAAGAAGTTGTTTAATGTACAATAGAAATGAATGAATTTATTATACATGTATAATGCTATTCAATCACAACATGTGTGTAACCCATCCCTTACATCACATATACTGATTATAAAATGTTGGAATAAATATAGATTCCTACGCAATTCGATACTATTTACAATCTTTGCAAAAATACATTTTATTTTCAATTTTAATATTAGTGAAACAACAATCGAAGTTTGTTTCGATAGTGAAGCACCACAATTAGACAATACACCGCCACAATATTTCGAACAAAATTCATGTGTCGAAGTATTAAAAAGAAAATAATTTGAACCACACACCATTGCATTAAGATTATTAAATGCCAGTCTCAGGGTCTGGTGCACAGCTAGAAATCACTTAAAATTCATGCATGCACAATTTGGAAATAGAAGGGATCTTGGACCGTGTCATGTGTCAATACATTTACAATAATACCACATGTACCCTGGTATATTTAACTAAAATCAATGGAGCAGGATACCGAGTGTAAAACATAAGGTACACAAATATGTAGAATATCAAAGTAAAAAGTTATCCTCTCCACTACATTACACAGTCAGTGACCAGTCAAACAATTTTACTCATATTAAGTTTGAAGTTTAGCTAGACTTCGGTCCAGAATTTCAATGGATAGAACTGAAGGTCTACATATATAGAGATAAAATATCTCCACAAGTTATACAAACTAGTTTCTTTAACACAATTACTTGGAGGAAGAGACTTACATGTTAATGAATAAAAAAATAAACATATGTAATATATACAAGAATCTGAACCACGAGACACTATCATCATACCACAAACAAAATGAGGTCCTTGGATAACCCATACAATGAGACAAAATCCATGATTCACTATATTAGATATGGGTTGATTGAAAAAACAGCTACATGCTGAAGTTGAGCCTTTGATGTATAAACACATGGATGAAGCTACCAGAAAACACAATACAATTTCTCATCATATTATACCACAACATATGAGGCATAAGTCATAACAAAGTTTAAGCATTGGTTTACAAAGTACGTTTTGCATTTACCATGTAAACATAACATGAATTCAAAGACTCCACATACAAAATACGGTCATCATTTAAAAAGGTTCACTCCAAGAATGTGGAGATGTTTTTCATATTGCAGTTTATTGATACTGTATAAAGCTTTGCCCTAACAATGTGTCCATATCCATAACATATATCAGCCACGTTGAAATATCACATTAATTAATTAGCCTAATCCAGTGATACTTATTGGTCTATGTCTTCTTCTTCATCTTGTAAAAATTGAAATTTATTAGAATGGCTCCAGTTCTGAAAATACAATAACACATTTAATCACTAACACATACAAGAAGTTAAAAGACATTCTACTAACACACATAAAAATATCATATATATCACTCAAAATTAGAGGATATTATATAGTACTATACATTTATAATCTGAGGAAAAATGTGAAAATCTGTTTCTGCTGAAACTTCATTTTTTAGAAATTAATAATGAGAATGAATGATATGAGACAAAAAGTTATTAAACAAGACTTTCCCTGATTCAGCCTTCAATATAACTTTGAGACAGATCTTGAATTATTAAATGATTTTTTCTTACTTTAGATTGCTTGTCATTTTCATCTGCCTTTGGCATCTCATCTATTGACTTGGGGAGGGGTTTTTCTGGGCGTGGGCGACGTTCGCTGCAAGTAATGAGAAATTCAACAAATCATTTTTAAGAAAATGAAGTCTCTGGATACTTCCAAAATACAATTTCATTCTTTAAATCTTAATTTCATAAATAATATTAGTCCAAGAAGGATGTACACATATTCTTTAATGAAACAAAACAATGTTCACAATAGGGCATAGTATATTCTATCAAACATCTTATCTAGGGGCACAAATACGTATATGGCACAGGGAGAGCATCTACCATTGACAACTTCACTTCCATAAGTTACCTATATATGTGCCTTTCATCTTATCCAGGGAAACAGACTGACTTAGTTCAGATATGAAATATATATCTATTAAGATAAAATGGTGGATAACTCTAACCAGAACAACGGCAACGCCAAAGCGTAGCGAATCCCATCGAACAGCCTAGAATGGAATTTTTACAAACAAAGTATATAGCGAAAATGGCCGCCTTCTACCAAAAGTGTCATTAGACAGTGTGTCATGCTTTTAGTATTCACATACCAAATATGAACAAAATCGCTCCACTACTTTTCGAGTTATAGTAAAATACGTTAAAATGGCGGCCATGTTGAAAAATGGCCGCCTTCTACCAAAAGTGTCATTAGACAGTGTGCCATCCTTATAGTATTCACATACCAAATATGAACAAAATCGCTTCACTACTTTTCGAGTTATAGTAAAATAGGTTAAAATGGCGGCCATTTTTCAAAATGGCGGCCATTTTACAAAATGGCCACCTTCTACCAAAAGTGTCTTTAGAAGTGTGCAATGTTTATAGTATTCACATACCAAATATGAACAAAATCGCTCCACTACTTTTCGAGTTACAGCAAAAATCGTAAAATAATGAGTAAAGGCCGCCATTTTTCAAGATGGCTGCCAAGTGCTTCTTTAATATCTACATTTCTAGCTTTATTAATGTCCTATATAATTTTTTTACATCTAAACATATTGCTATTACAGTTTTACATATTGCACCTAAATTACTGTAATTTCGGCACTAAAATGGCTGCCATTTTGAAATGAGCGGCCATTTTGAAAATCGGCTTTTGAGCAGAACTTCTACCCCCATAGGGTATATGTGTACAAAATATGAACAAAATCGGGCCAACAGTATTTGAGTTATTGCCCGGACGGATGGACGGATGGACGTACATACGTACGTACGGACGGACGGAGGCGTTCCCTATATCCCTCCGAACTTCGTTCGATGGGATAAAAATAAACCCAAAAATGTTTGGTGTCATATTTATAGATAAAAATAGTTCTTCCTCAATGTACAGTCAACGGTTTTGACAAATTTTGAATACTGTGAATCAAGTAAGCCAAGAATCAAGTAAGCCAAGAATCAAGTAAGCCAAGAATCAAGATGGCAGCCATCCAGGAAGTAGAATATTTTGCCAATTTATTTATCAATTTCTAATAGTAAATAGCTAATAACTGCGAAATGAATGTTTAAAACTCGGGCTTTGTGACTAATGTTTTAGCTAGAGACTATCTCGCCAAAGTTTTGTTATGTCAAAGTTTCCATTTCTATAATAAATATACTGGAGATAAAATGACAAGAAATTTTGGGGAAAACATTATATTTGTCAATGCAACAACAAACCATGCTACAAAACAGAACACAACAACAGCCAATGATCTACTTACCTAGACCTACCACCTCTACCCCTCTCTGAATGTGCACTCCCTCTTCCACCCCGGGATGAGCCACGCCCACTCCCATGAGTACCACCACCTGATGGAGGACCACGCCCCCATGCATTAGACTTATCTGTCACAACACGTGTTGTATTTGGAGCATCATTTATAGACACAGTTACTGCAATGCATAAGTCCCAGATTTACCCAAAATAAATCTTAACCCAAATTAAATTGAATTACAGAGACTCCAAGGTCTTAGCATTTTGCTTTTACACACCACGGTATGGACAGTCTTATCCAATTCTTTCTGTTGGATAGATGTATATGTATAATTCTGTCCTGCTACAGGGTAAGAGTTAAGGAGTCCCGATACAAAAACTAGAATAAGTCTGGCAAAGTAATTTTCCAAATTCCCAACTAATAAAAGTAAAAAAAAATACCAAGAGAAACATAAAGAGTCTTTTAAAACACCAAAGTCCACATATCAGTTTCACACCTTAGATGACAAATTTTAGACTATCCATTTGCCAGTAGAGGATGTGTTTTGCTAGATCATCATCCTGAAAAAGGCTTCACTCACAGTTATTGGTTTGTATCAATACACAATCAACCCATGCACTACTCACCTGGTTTCCTGACCCATGCATTAGCTGGAGGTGCGGAAGATTGACTTTTATTTGGGACCTCTTGGCTTGGTTTATTATTGGTTGCAGGTTCCTCTCTTTCTACTGGTTTCGTCTCAGAAGTTCCTTTTGAACTATTATTTTTTTCATTTATGTTTTCTTTATTTTCATTAGATTGTTTTGGGGAAACCTATAATGAGACAAGAACACAAATGTGTACAATATGTCCCCACCAATGGGTGATCACATCTAATGGTTATCCTGAAAATGAGTAGACAAGACTTTACTGCTACAATCTTGGAACGGAAAATGCAAAATGGCCACCTTAAAATTTACCAAGAATGCCCAAAAAATTAGTCAGTTCTAGATTTTCATACTAAGAATCATCCCTAAAAATTTGAAATTGATCTACCAAACAGTTCACCTGAAAACACGTAGACAAGACTTTACAGGCAAGATTTTAGCACGGAAAATCCAAAATGGCTGCCTTGACATTTACCCAGAATGCCAAAAAACTAATCAGATCTAGATTTTCATACTAAGAATCATCCCTAAAAATTTGAAATTGATCTACCAAACCCTTCACCTGAAAACGCGTATAGGACAAGACTTTACAGACAAGATTTTAGGATGGAAAATCCAAAATGGCTGCCTTGACATTTACCCAGAATGCCAAAAAACTAATCAGATCTAGATTTTCATACTAAGAATCATCCCTGAAAATTTTTAATTGATCTACCAAATGGTTCACCTGAAAATGCGTAGACAAGACTTTACAGACAAGATTTTAGGACGGAAAATCCAAAATGGCTGCCTTAACAATATCCAGAATGCCAAAAAACTTATAAGATCTAGATTTTCATACTAAGAATCATCCCTGAAAATTTGAAATTGATCTACCAAACGCTTCACCTGGAAATGCATAGACAAGACTTCACAGACAAGATTTTAGGACGGAAAATCCAAAATGGCTTTCTTGACATTTACCCAGAATGCCAAAAAACTAATCAGATCTAGATTTTCATACTAAGAAACATCCCTGAAAATTTGGAAATGATCTACCAAATGGTTCGCCTGAAAACGCATAGACAAGACTTTACAGACAAGATTTTAGGATGGAAAAATCCAAAATGGCAGACAATAAAAAGTGATTATAAGTTTTTGCTGATTTCTTTTTACAAAATTATCACATATAACTACTGTTAACAATAACATAGGGTTTTACAATAAAGTACACCTGAAATTTTTTATAAAGCTACTAAATAGTCTAAGTATGAAAACTCAAAAACACCATTCAATATGATACAAAGTATTATCGCACGCTAACTTTTCTTAAGACATTCAAAATGGCTGCCATGACTGGGCTCACAGGTCCAAAACCTAATCAGATCTACAGGATGTTAAAGTTTTAAAAGCAACAGTGAAGCCATTTTTCTTAAAGTTTGCAGACAAGGATTTTAGCATTTGACTTCAAAATGGCCGACAGGAAGTAGGTATCGAGTTGAAACTTTTTCGTCCACATCTGTATGCACTCATAAGTTATCCCTGAAAATTTGAAGGTGATATCTGTAGCGGTTTAGGAGAAAACTGCCGGACGTACGGACGGACAGACAGACAAACAGACAGACGGACGGACGGACGCGCCTAGGCCGACAATATGGCCCCACACTATGTGGTGGGGACATAAAAATACAAGGGAAAAATTAGAAAATGTGAAACAAAAAAATCAATGTAATGTAAGACCAATACAAAAACCATCAACTAGTATGTGTGATTAATATAAGATTTTTCTTGAAGTCAATTACATTGTCTGGGTGTCTAGGAAATAGAAGTTACGATAGAAGATGGAGTTTGATGTGATTTTTATTTGTTTTATTCTTGTACTTAGAGTTGACATTAATTTTTTAGTTGGAAATCTGGAAGATTTTAAGAGAAAATGGGCGTTTCATGTCATATTTTCCGATTGTTTTATACTCACACTTGTAGTGCTGACAGTTTCAGCCTTGCGTTTAGCCCATACATTTTCCTTGGGTGGATCAGCTGGTTCCACAGCTATAGGTTTGCCTTTACCCCAGGCCTTGGTAGCAGGTGCAGTTGCTGCGGGTGCACTTTGAGTAGGTGGTGACTGCGAAAGAGGTATACGTTACTAGAGAGTCTCATATGGAAAATAATTTTAGTGGACAAAAGAACAAATAATATTCTTGAAACTATTTTTTTTCTATAAAGGTACCATTCATAATTTTGAATAAGTTAAATGGCCTGGCAAATAATTTAAGACAGTCAATCCTTGACCATAAGTATTTTCTAACCAAATAATTCTTAGTCAAAATAATATGTTTTCCTTGGAATAAGGTCTCTATGAAAATAAAATAATTGATAAAGAATTATGTCATCAAAACACAGTAATTCTGAGTTTGCCTTAATAGACATTATTACATTACAAGTTTTGTGTTATCAAACATTTCAAGCAAATAACTGTCATTTGTAGAAGAAATATTCAGCATTTTACATTGAATGCATGCTTTATGCAAGGGTATTTAAGTTGCTCTATTGAATCCCATTTCACAGTTGCTATGGCAGCCAAAAGTGTTTTTATATTCATATTTATATTTATTTAGGATAAATGTATGTGAAAATATGCTGAAAGTTTCATAAATTAATGTTTTTAAATGAAAAAATAAGAACAAAAAGGAACTTTGCATGAAAGTCTGGAACAATGGTTTTTTGGAGAGTTGGATTGATATTTTCTATTATCCTGATAAGTTTTAGCTTATTATTAACTTTGAAGGAAACATAATATTCCTGAGAAAAATTATGTATTTATGGTCAGAATATTATTAAAATATTAAATTATTTGCCAAACAATACCTGGTCATTTTGTTTGAATTTCCAATTTTCATAAATATTTAACAATTAGAAATATGACTCGGGTTGTCAATATCTATATCGTGCCATATTTGGCAAATATTGTTCACATTAGCAACTGCTAAACGACTGCCATCACCACATTTGTTTCCACGATGTGATTTTGGAAATCCAATATCTCATGATCATAGAGCACAGATAAATATGATTGGTCATTCAATTTTTCCAGTTTACTACTTATCTAAACAATTACCTTCTCTGATTCTGATTTGGAAGGTTTTGACTGAGGGGTAGTTGACGCTGTGCTGCTCTGACTGGCGGCAGGAGGTGATGGCTGAACAGTCTGTTTTCTTTTTGCCCAGGCATTTTCTGAAGGTGGCGGTGCTGGAATCAATTTAACGTCATCACTACTTCTTGGTGTTGTTGGTTTTGGTTGTGGGGGAGAGCGCTCATCATCGAATACATGATCACCCGAGTGGTTTGATAACTCACTGTCTCTCCTGGCCATTGTCCTAGTAGGAGTCGTTGGTGGGGGCCCAACTAGATGAGAGCAAAAAATATTACATAAATGTACTTGTAAAGTTCAAAGTTCAATAGCTTGATAACATGAGTACAACGGCAATAAAACCCTACTTGGATTTAAATTTCCTCGGGGCATTAAATAAGTGGTAAGAGAAAAAAAACAACTTTATAAGTGTACTTATAAATACTATAAACATCCACTAACTTGAGAATATGGTTGTAGATGTTCAACAAGTTCCCTATTATATTGTTACTTTCCTTTATGTAATAAAAATAGACCAATTCAGTAAATCCTGCCATCTATTGGTTATGATGTGATTCTTAGTTTAAGAGCAGAAATATCTGCAAACTGCAACCAGGCTCTGAGTGAACCTGTCTCTTATTGGTTAGAAAGAAGCTTATTATTTGTAGCAACAATAGGAGTCTGGTTGCAGTTTACACAGACACAAAAAATAGGCCAAACCCTTAGCTCAAGCTCTGGCAAAGAAATGCACACCAATAATTATTCATCAATTTTCATTTAATACTCACAATCCTCATATTCTGGTGCTTAAATACTTGAAATGGAATGGTATACCTATAACAATACAATGTATAAGAATGTACCTGTTCTAATACCTTTCCCAGAACTGGAGCTACTAGTTTTTCTCTCCCTCCTTGGAGCTTGGTGACCTTGTTGTTCATCACTAATACTGCCACTTGTGCGTCTCTCACGGTGCTCTCTATCACTGTTTCTTCTGCAAAATAATAACAATAGCATTGCAATGAGAAATATAAACATTTATTCCATAATACTACAGTAACTGTTTTCCTGAGAAATAAAGTCATATTGTCCCTCTGAAAATCGTATATACTCGAAAAATTGTATTGCCCAGGAAAAAATCATATGTACTCAAAAAATTGTATTGTTCTGGGGAAAAGTTGATTTGGTGAAAAATCTATATTGGAAAAGTATTATAATCCTAAATCTATCCGGAACAATAGTAGCAGTTCAACACGGAATGGTCATAGTGCATCATGTGGTTCAAATTCTATCACTTTTATAGCCTATTTAATTGTAACAGGGCCATTGACCTTGGTAAGTATTATATTGACACACACTCGCTATGCTCGTTCAGTCAATCTCATATTTCCCTTGGTCAATATCCTATTACCCTGGAATAAAATTATGTTGAAAATCAACCATGAAATAACCTATTTATAAATTAAATTTGTAAGAATGACATTAAATTAAGTCACAGTCATACATTTAAATTTAAAATTTAGAGCTGTGTACATTTGAACCTTTTTTATTTTAACCCATTCTTGAAAAGCATGTTTATACTATAACATTTCTAACCGTGGTCTTCTCTCATCCCTCCTTTCTCTTTCAGCTTCAAGTCGCTCTCTGGTAGCCTCCTCTTCTTTGCGTATTTTTTCTTCAATTTCCCGTTCCCTAGCTGCTGTATCAACAGGTTTTGCACTACCAAATATGGAGCTTGAACTTTTTTGAGGTTCATTTTCAATTGGTTTTGTACGTTTTTGCAGTTGAAGCCTTGGGCGTTCTGTGGGTACATCTCGAGGAGCTTAAGTTTCATATAGAATATTAAACAATGAAATTGTGATACCATGAAATCGTGAATGAAACAAAAAATAAGGCATTCACAGGCAAAATGTCATCACCTGCCATTTGTTACAGACAGCAACCGCTGAATGCCAAACACCATCTATCGAACACCATCCACAAAAAGGAGACTTTAACAAAGTGTCACCATTTGTGGTGGTGACATAACAATAAATGTGAATACAATAAAATTGTAATTGGTGATTGTCAGATTGACTGCAGAATCAAGTCTCGTAAATGACAACTATTATTCAGATGATTTCTATTACCTTCATCTCTAGGAGGTCCATCTCTGTCCCTACTATAAGGTCCATCTCTTGGAGGTCCATCTCTATGCCTACAATCAGGCAAACTCATAATATGAAACAGGAGTGCTCAAATGGATGGCTCTATCCCGATTATCTGTATTATTCAGATGTAATCATGATGTTGTCACCAGGATGGTGACAATATTGACAAAATTATAACGTGTTTTACTGCATTTTACTAGTTTTCTAAAAAAATTTTTTATTGGAACTAGATTTAAGACAGAATTGACTAGTTGTACTAACCCTCTATCTCCATATCTGTCCCCACCATAACTATCTCTATCTCGATCTCCTCCGAACCCATAGCCACGTCTATTGCTTGAACCACCACCACCAAAGCGACCTAGAACAATGGGTATATCATTATATTTCTGAGTAATTCATTTTTATCAAGAAGTGGAAATTGGTAAGAAAAAATACTTTTCAAATTTTTTTAGCATGAACTTTGAATGCTAGATGACAACAATGCATTAGATCTGCATCTGAAAATTTTCACATATCCTCGTTGATGTCATTGCTTTGACAATCAGAAATTTTCTGAATCCATTCTACCATTAGATTTACAAAAATATTGTAATTTTTTTGACTTGCCATTTTCAAGTTTTTATTTTACAGATTTTTGTGAAATAATGAAATTATCTGATGTTTGCTTGAGTAAAGGGAAGTTTAAGCATCTCTTCATTCATAGGATATAATTTGAAATGTCTCACCTCCATCACGACGATCTCTGTCATCATATCCACCCCCTCCACGTCTATCATCATATCCACCACCTCCCCTACGGTCATCATATCCACCCCTACGGTCATCATATCCTCCCCTGCGATCATCATATCCTCCCCTGCGATCATCATATCCCCCTCTACGATCATCATATCCTCCCCTGCGATCATCATATCCCCCTCTGCGGTCATCAAATCCTCCACCCCTTCTATCATCTCTATCAAAGCCTCCCCTATTGTATCCATCTCTGTCACTTCTGTCAAAGCCTCCTCTGTCTCGTGAGCCACCGCCTGTTAAAAAAAAATGTTGACAAAAATTCTACAAGGATAACAAACCATGGCAATGTGTTGAGAAATGAAAACTATTTATCCAAACACATTCAGCTACATCTAAATTGAGTATAAATTCTTCAATTTTGAATGCTGTATGTTACTGCATCTGGGTTCTTTTCAAATTATTTTCCCTTGGTAGAAAATAGATTTTCAATGAGACAAGTGACACAGCACTCTTGAATATATGACTTACCGATGACGGGTTGTTCTACAGGAACTCTGTTACTCCTCCAGTCCCCCTCTGCCCTATCTGGGTCACCTCTGTCTTGCTGATCTCTGTCTCTACCTCCACCTCGTCTGTCACCATCTCTCCGCATTTCTAAATCAAATAGTTATTGTACATGTAAAGGAAGATTTCAAAAGATCAATTTGTAATATTACTTCAATTTTCTAAGTTAGAGGGCTTATGAGCCTAAGAGAAAACTTTTAAAACATTGTTGCTGGGAATTTTTATTTGTGCACTTTTCGCCCAGTGTTGTATTTCCAGTACAAAAAAATAAAAAAGTATTTGTCAGGCAAATTTGCACAAAGAGCAAAATTGTGAACTGAACATATCAAAAATAATGAAACAAAATTTCATTAATTTCTGACTCAACAAAGTTCAAGTGTTTGACCGCAAGCTGACAAAGCCAACATACCCGAGTTCATGCATGCATCCAGATGAGTTTAGAATACTTATTTTTGTTTCCATAAAACATAGCTAGTAACATTTCAGAATATGTCAGTATAAAACAATTGCTGCCACTGAATATATGCTAAATTCATTTCACTTACCTCCATCTTTTTGGTTCTGCTCAGCCAAATCCACTCTTATTTTTCTCCCAAGTAAGTTCTGGAAAAGTAAATAATGCAAAGATATGTATAGTCTTAAGCTGCAGTTATATTTTCAAAAACTTATGACTGCAATATATTCCTAGACAGAGGTTCATCTGTTGGGGAAATAATGTTTTGAATACGCTAGCCCAATTGAGCAAACAATATCACACACAATTTATGCGTACCTCTTCATTTAAAGAGAGTGCATTGATGAGGCTCTCTTTATCTTCAAACTCTGTATAACCAAAGCCTTTGGGACGTCCTCCTTCATTTGGGATGCGCACATTGACAATCTAAATACAATAATGCATAACATGAAAACAATATTAGACCAACGGTGTCAATCAGATCTACTAATACATAGATTAGGACAACATGGCCAAACTTAAGAACTTTTCTAATATAAAACAAATCTTTATTTCTAAATGAGAAATATCTTTAATGATATAGCCATTCTTCTATATTTTCAATTTCTATTACTTATATTTTCTGTTACTAATCAGAATTAGTACCTTCAGTCCTTCGAAAAAAGTCCTAATTTTCTTTTCATCTACATCATAAGGTAAGTTGCCCATGTATGCTGTGTAGGGAGGACCAGAGGGGAGTCTTGCTGGATCTATATCACATCCCCTGGCAGCTCTGGGGGCTGTTGGAAGAGCTGCTCTATTTACTCTTTGGGCACTACCATAACCATAATCACTGATAGCTGGAAAATCAATGAATATTGAACAATTGCATAGATTAATAAAAAAAAAAATATGATGAAATAATTTTTGACACTATCGTAATGCCAAATTTTAAAATCTGTACATGCAAAATGCAATTGTTTTGCAACAGCAAATTCAAAAGCCCCAAAATCAAATATCATATATACTTGCTAACCCCACCCCTTAGGCTAAGGTCTATGAACATGGAGTTGTAAAACTCTGTTTAACTCTCATTCTTTTGATTATGGAAGTTAAAGATCATTGAGATTTAAAATATTTGGAATATGTTTTAGGAATGATATTTCATTCTTTAAAGAACACATGAAATTTTAAGCAAGGCTTCACAAATGATTAAAGTCATTTTCACTCTTGGCAGTAGACTTATATGCCTATTGGGCAATGCACTTAATGTCAATAATTGTGGCAATCATGACTTTAGTCTCGGTTGGAACCATTGTTTCATAGGGGTTTCATTTGCAAGAGAGACAATAAGAGATTTTCTCCAGCTGTTTTTAGATAAGATGCCTGTTGTTTTGAGAAATCATGAAACAGTTATAATGCTCAAATTATAATTTCGACTTATTCCAATGAGACTCCAGCCATCCATATACATGTACAGTGAATCCTGTATATCCCAACAACTTTCTTCTTCCAACACCTCTCAATGGTCCTTTTTCCATATAGCTTTGAAATCTTGTTAAAGTCTCTTTTTTAATGTGATTTTAAGAGATCCACATTTTTAACCATTAAAGACTTTCTTCTAATTGATGGCATATTTGAATTCTATGTGTAATTTTTTATCAAAAAAGTTCTGATTTGCCCATTGATTCAAATTCTGAAGATTTTTAAGTTAAATGAAAATGGTCAGGCTAAATCCCCATTGACACAATGTTTAAAAATTAAAAATTTCAATTACTCTTACAAGTATCACAATTTTAATATTAAATCACAATCCACAAGTTAATAGGTCCATATGATTACATTCAAATCATGTTGTAAGTTGATCCAAATGGAATTACTTGTGAGATCAAGATTAAGTGACTTTTGCAATATGCTTCAATGTATTCTAGCCCTACCAACACTCACGATGCCATCTATTTTTTCCATTGATATAGAAAATGGTCAATATAAACATGCTTTTCAATCCATTGATATAGAAAATGGTCAATATAAACATGCTTTTCAAAAATGTGAACAATGAACTTTGAGAAGCCAAACCTCCAAAACTTAGTGTGATGTCCACTAGAATTAAGGACTTTTCTAATGATTAAGATAGATGATGTAGAATGGCTTTCAGACAGGTTTAATTGTAAATGTAATTATGAGTACTTATATATAAATATTCTCCTAAATCCACTTACTATCTACATCATCCTCTTCCATCTGGTCTGCCCAGTTATCACTGGATGATTTAGCTGGTAAATGTGTAGGTGGGGCACTGTCTCCTAGAAAGTCATTTAGTGACATCACCTTCCCCTTTCCCTTCTGCTTCTTCTTTGAGGCTGAAACAAAATTCATATGAAATGTTCATGCATTATGAAATAAAAGTAGATGGTGGTACCAAAGAAAACGAGAACAACGGCAACGCCAAAGCGTAGCGAATCCCATCGAACAGAAATGACTGGGATTTTTACAAATGAAATATATAGCAAATATCATAAAATAACACACATAAGAAAGGCCACCATTTTCATCAAGTTGTCATCAGAAGTAATATGCTTTTTTTCTAGCATTCACAACCAAATATGAACAAAATCGCTCCACTACTTTTCGAGTTATAGTAAAATACTTTAAAATGGTGGCCATTTTTCAGAATGGCCGCCTACTACCAAAAGTGTCATTAGACAGTGTGCCATGCTTATAGTATTCACATACCAAATATGAACAAAATCGCTCCACTACTTTTCAAGTTACAGCAAAAATTGTAAAATAACAAATAAAGGCCGCGTAAAATACGTTTAAATGGCGGCCATTTTTCAAAATGGTCACCTTCTACCAAAAGTGTCATTAGACAGTGTACCATGCTTATAATATTCACATACCAAATATGAACAAAATCGCTCCACCACTTTTCAAGTTATAGTAAAATACGTTAAAATGGCAGCCATTTTTCAAAATGGCCACCTTCTACCAAAAGTGTCATTAGACAGTGTGCCATGCTTATATTATTCACATACCAAATATGAACAAAATCGCTCCACTACTTTTCGAGTTAAAGTAAAATACGTTAAAGTGGCGGCCATTTTTCAAAATGGCTGCCTTCTACCAAAAGTGTTATTAGACAGTGTGCCATGCTTATAGTATTCACAAACCAAATATGAACAAAATCGCTCCACTAATTTTTGAGTTATAGTAAAATATGTTAAAATGGCGGCCATTTTTCAAAATGGTGGCCATTTTTTCAAAATGACCGCCTCCTACCAAAAGTGTCATTAAACAGTGAGCCATGCTTATAGTATTCACATACCAAATATGAACAAAATCGCTCCACTACTTCTTGAGTTACAGCAAAAATCGTAAAATAATGAGTAAAGGCCGCCATTTTTCAAGATGGCTGCCATGTGCTTCTTTAATATCTACATTTCTAGCTTTATCAATGTCCTATATAATTTTTTTACATTTAAAACATATTGCTATTACAGTTTTACATATTGCACCTAAATTACAGTAAAATCGGCACTAAAATGGCCGCCATTTTTAAATGAGCGGCCATTTTGAAAATTGGCTTTCGAGCAGAACTTCTACCCCCATAGGGTATATGTGTACAAAATATAAACAAAATCGGGCCAACGGTATTTGAGTTATTGCCCGGACGGACGGATGGACAGACGGACGGACGTACGTACAGACGTACGTACGGACGGACGGACGGAGGCGTTCCCTATATCCCTCCGAACTTCGTTCGATGGGATAATCACTCCCAAAAACAGGTAGTGGGTTATCCTAAAAAGGCTTGTTTTGGTTTTGTTCAAATAAACTATTCTAAGCTTACAGCCTTTTTTGCCCTCTTTAGGCCGCTAGAGAATTGTGATGGCTGAAACTGAAATACTGAAATCAACTGCCTACTTCATATCTGCAAATGTTCCTCATATCTCCATCCTCTATTCATGAAAGTCTGTAAGTTATCAGCTGCTTCAGTGTCGATCAAGACTTGTCTTTGTCACAAGTGGACATTTTCTAGTGTGAAATCAAAATGGTAATTTTTACAAAAATTCACAAAAGTAGCGATTTCAAATGCTACTCTCTGTAAATTTCCATCAAAACCTCCATTTTGGTTTTTCGCTAGAGAATGTCTACAGGGATAAAGGCAAGTAATGATCAACAAATAAGCAGCTGATAACTTAGACTTTCGTAAACGAAGGATTGTGATGTAGGAAAATTTTGAGATGTAAAATAAGCATCTGATTTCAGTATTTCAACTTCAGCCATCATGATTCTCCAGCGGCAGAACCAGAACATCTATCTTTTTCATCGAGAGAGATTCCATCACTTTTCAAGATGGCGGTTGGATTTCAAAGGGGATTCCCCGTTTAACTGGCTCGGAAGTACCAATAAATGGAGGAATTTGATGGTTGAAATAAGTTTCTTCGTTCTGCCGATAAACCCAGATAATTGTGGATTCAACTACACGAAAAGAATGCTATAATAACAAGGAATCTATTGAAGTAGGTATCTTAGTGAGGCGTAGAAAATTCTCCCATGTTGTAATCGTACTGGCAAAAGATTGAGATGTTCTTAGGACTATAGTCCTGGCAAGGGATAAGGATACCAAAGGCTGTTCTTTCAGATCAGTAAGCCTTTGAATGATGTAATTCTAGGCCTAGTTTACTGGCAGAAAAAAAGCTTCGATTTAGGTATACTTAGAAAATATGGATTGGACAATTGCATGGATGATCCGAAAGGCCTATGCACATGCTATCTATTGCAAGACTAACGCCTGGTGTAACCGTCACCATGTTATTCGGTGTTTTTTAAGTAGCGCAAGGATCCTGCCATGACCGTGGCAGTGTTATTTTGTAAGCCTGGTATAACCGTGACAATGCTGTATTATATTGCAAAACCTGTCATGACCATGAGTGTTATCGTGGAAGCCTGGCGCAGCCGTAGCCTTTACGTTTAATTTAAGAATTTTTTATTGTTGTTTGTTAAGCGATTTGTTTACTATCCACTTTTAAATATTCGTATATTTGTATATTTTACCAGATACATTATATGTCTCTGTCTTTATGAATGTTGACCCAAGCTGCCCATGACTTTGATAATGTTAAAGCCCCGTATGACCGTGACAATGGTTGCAAGGCCTGTCATGACCGTGGTAATGTTAAAGCCTAATATGACCGTGACAATGCTTATAAGGCCTGTCATGACCGTGGTAATGTTAAAGCCTGATATGACCGTTACAATGCTTGCAAGGCCTGTCATAACCGTGACAATGCTATATTATATTGCAAGGCCTGTCATGACCGTGGTAATGTTAAAGCCTCGTATGACCGTGACAATAGTTCCAAGGCCTCTCATGACCGTGGTTGTATTTAAAGTAGCATGAGAACACTGTAATGGCAATTTTTCTTCGTGTTTAACTACCTTAAATATGTAAATAAAGACTACTAAAAATGTGTATTAATTTCACAACGAAAACCTAATTTTTACTCATAAATAATTTGCGAACAAACTATATCTCTACTCTCATTCAAGGAGCTTCGATTCGAAAGCATATACTTTCTATAATGATCAATTAATAAGATTTATCCATAAAAAATACCAACAGCAATGGGCGAAACATGAAGGTCATTAATGTCATATAAAGGTTGCGGTCGCGCCAGGCTTACACGATTACACTACCACGGTCATGGCAGGCATTTTAATATAATACAGCATTGTCGCGGTTATACCAGGCTTTCACGATAACATTACCACGGTCATGGCAGGATCCTTGCGCTACTTAAAAAACACCGAATAACATGGTGACGGTTACGCCAGGCGTTAGTCTTGCAACAGATAGGGTCTCGGCCTATGTACAAATGATAGGGTAGCACTATTACAATTGAGTGAAGCAGATTATGGAGATGAAACTATAAGAATATTCCAACAGGACCAGGATAAAATCTCAGTCATCAATGATGAAATTTTGCAGGGAAAGAAGTGCAGTATTCAACATCAATGAGAATCAATAATGCAGAATCGTTATGCTTATGTATAAATGGAGTTTTAAATCTTTATCTGGATGGATTTTATTATAAGCAATTGTCCACCCAGCATGGAAAACTTCGAAATCAAACTAAAGAAGATTGTGGGAAAAATTACTCACCACTTGCCGCCATGTTGAATTTTTACTCTAATTTCAACGCCCTTGTTCGCCTTTCTGGGGCGTGTTCCAACCTTACTTGCAACAGATCCCAATTGTTGAGCCTGTGGACTATCTATCTAGCTTCAATAATTATGTATAATCGCTTTTATAAAGGGAGAAACGATAGCAATATGTTGTTCGGGAATTCCCACGATTCAGGCATGGATCTAGAGGTTACCCACGATTCATTGCAGCCTCGTTCTGATATTGGCATTGCCATCGCTTCCGGAATCCACAGCTCCAAATTATTCCGAAGAAAACATCAAAAATGGTAAGTAATCATCGGACAAGCAAAGCTGTTAGGTCCGTTTTTATATAAGAAACCCTAAAGACATATTTTTCCCAAGTTGTTGTGTTCTCAATTGATGCTAAAGATTGTTTACCTTTTTGGGATGAATTTTTTTTCCAGCATAAAATCAAAATGAAATGATTGATGTCAACATTTGTAGCATAAAGGGGTGTATACACTGGCAGGCGAAATGCTTGAAACAGGGGGCGAAAAGGCTGAAATGTTTGAAATGGTTAAAAGAGAATAGTGAAAACAGCTCAGACGAATTGATTGAAATGATTGAAACCGCGAAACAGGCGCAAACAACGGAACAGTAATTTCACCTAGATGTAGAGTCAGTATGCTATTTCCAAACACCCCCATCAAAAAATGTAGTTAGCTTGGCTGTACTGCACATATATGCTATGATTCTATATATATTATGTGTATTATCTACTGTACACTCTGTTAAGCATGATAAAAGGCAAGAAGTTTAGTTAGAAATAAAAGAGTTATCTCATGAATGGGACCCTTACATAGCTCCTAAAAGGTAGAAGACACTAAATGATGTAACACTATAAGCTGAATTTTGTCCACATAGAGCATGTGCACAATACTAAAGACATGTAAAATTGAACTGTCAAAAGAACTGAACTATAAATATTATGTAGAGGTAGTATAGGTACTATTATTCAATTCAATGATCTGCTTGCCATTATTTGGAACCCGTTCGTGTTTACTCCCTGTTTGGATTTGGACGTATTGACTCTATCGATTGAATTGATTGAAACAGTTGAAAAGCCCGGGCGAAATGATTGAAATGAAAAACTTGCATGTTCGTTTTTCTTTTCAATCCGTTTCCTCATGAACTGGTCATTAGATTGAAATGCTTGAAACGGCGAAACAGGCGCAAACAGAGACACTTAAAATTCATTTCAAAGGCAAATCGATTGAAATGCTCGAAATGACGCAAGCATTGAAACATAGGAAATGATGCAAGCATTGAAATGATTGAAACAATCGATTGAAAATTTATTTTAAGTCCACTATGAGCCATGGTGTTTACAGGAATTCGCCGATGTCAGGCCTGTAGCCATTTTAGGAGGGTTCTAGGAGGGTTCAGTCACAATGAGCAGTATAATTACCCCCACTCTATCAGATTAGGCTAAAATCAGTAGGTTTTGTGTAAAAAACCGGGTGGCCGGGTAACTGGGTACTCAACGTTCCTTGCAGGGTTACCAACTTTCAAAGTTGCACATTTTTAGACTACCCTTCAATATTTTTACGTTATCATTTTACCAAGAATCTGTAAGAGACTGAATTTCGGAAGTCCTAGGTAGTTATTTACACAGTTTACACGTACGATGACGTTAGTTGCTTGATTTATTGTCTGAGTGATTGACAGGATATCGATGATTGTTTTCTATGATTTCTACTAGATATTAAACAAATCTGGAAGACTTACGTACGCATAAATTAAAATGTTATTTGCCGTTTTTATCTGTTAATTAGTGTACAATGTAGTTAATTACACAGTTTACACGTACGATGACGTTAGTTGCTTGATTTATTGCCTTACTGATCTGCTGATTGACATTATATCAATTTTGTTTGTCGTTTTGCTGGTTGATTTATTGGTTAATAAATTTTTTTGGTTGTTTGCTTGATTGGTTGCGTCACTGGTACGTTGATTGGGATGTCAGTTGGGTGTTTTCAGGCATAAAATGAAAAAATCAAATTCCTAACCCTGGTAGGAAGGTAGGGTACCCGGTCACCCGGCGACCCGGTTACCCGGTCACCCGGTTTTTTACACAAACCCAAATCAGGATGTAATTTTACCTGGTGTTAATTTTCTGCAATTTGCTTTTTGGTATATGGGCATATTTCATGTTTCAAAGGACTGAAATATCTTATATCAAATACAGCGTCAACCAAGCACAAGAATAGAGAGCCTCCCAGAAAATTTCAAAAATTAGACACTTTTCGGTGTATTCTGAGCAATTTCAGAGCATAAACAGCACTTCATGTTTCAAAGCACTAAAATATCTTATTTCACAGAATAAGTTTTAAATTCAAAATTTCAGAAGTGGTGACATATTTTGTTAAAGTCTCCAATTTCTTTGTTGATGGCTTTCAGCATTAGGTTGGTTTGCATTCGCTGGTCGGTGTCTGTAACAAATGGCAGGTGATGACATTTTGCATGTTAATGCCTTGTGTATTTCTATGACTTTCACAATATTTTTGTCATGGTCACAGAATTTAAAATTTTTTCCTTTTGATTCCATGTTCAAACTTCATAAAAGCCAGTCCCTCTAAAGCCAGTTACATTTGAGGTCATTAAGATATTACCAGCAACAAAACTGTATATTTTATTTGTCTACCTATTTAGAGCTCAGTAATTACTCGACTATGGGACTCAGGATAATGACAAATAACTTTTAATTATCTATCTGTAGGGCCATATTTTCCGAAATTGAGGCCCATATATCCAAAAGCCCATCTAAAAGACAATGATGTCATTTCATCAGTATTTTGTGAGGGGACAATAAACCTTTAAAGATATCATTAGGAAATTTTCAGATTTTTTCTTCTTATTTGAAATGGTTAACCATCTACCCTGCGTGCAGAGTCTAGTTAAACTACACTCTGCCTAGTAGAGACCATATTACAGTTTAGTAGCCCCGCCCCCACGACGGGTACTGGTGACAGTTTCGGTATACCACTTTTGACCTACGCGCTAATCAGAGAGCTTGAAGAAACCACGGACTTCAAGCTCGCTGATTAGCGCGTAGGTCCGTGAAGAAACATACGCCAAATGCGTTCTAATTTAATATGCGCATGTCATTGGTCAATTCCGGGCTCAAAGATGACGTCAGAAGGAATGACCATATAAAGAACGTCGGTCAAATTTGGCCGACGAACACTGATTGGCGCGGTCAGTTCACAGGTTTATTTTAGTTTGAAAGAGTGAAGACGAAGCTCTCTTTTAAAAAGTGAAGTCAAACGAATGCAAAGGGTATTAACCATCAAGCCAACTCAGGGAATGCAATTACTATCATCTTTAATGGCAATGTTATTAGTAGAATGAAATTGGTCTTGGTAACAAAACAACAGGAAAATCAAACATAATGAAGGTAAAATACTAAAAATCCCTGAAGAAAAATTTAACTTGAAAACTCTTTGAACTGAATTCTTGGTTTTGCAGAATTCCTCAAATGTTAGTGTAGACAGCATTTCTGAGCACAATGTATTGGTAAATATAAAATGATTCAATTCTAGGTTCATACTGTCGTATTCATGTTTACTGTTAAATTAGAACATGGGCTTTCAATTAGTTGAAAGCCCATGATTAGAATAAGAAGTTATTTATCTGTTCAAGGATTTAAATTAGATAACTAAACACTTTATTATATATTATTACTATTCTTTTTAGGGATTTATTAAGATGTGGATTTCTGTATATGATCCTTGTATTTCTAAAATCTTTTTGTATTCCTGAAATTCATACTCAGGGCAATAACAAGACAAAATCCAACCCACTCATTCTCCAATAAGGCCGTAAGAAGTAGATTCTTTGTCTTGCGTCCTCTTGCTTGCATGATTTTGAGTAAATCAGAAAAAACAAACACATTCAAATAGCAATCACAAGGGTCTGAAAGTACCATCGCATTTCGTTCAATCAGAATCAGACGAAATGGCGGATAATGTGATGTGCGTCAAAATTGACAGTGTCATTGATACTTTGGCATGCATTGTGTATTTTCTTATTTGTTACCCTTGAATAATAGCTATGTTTAAATATATTGTATATCTAAATGTATAGACATGTGTTTGTAGCCTAATCACTGCAACTTGATGTCATCCCTTTTTATGCCCATAAAATGTCCATTTCTCAGCAAACAAGTTTGTGTTTTTTCTTGAGTTTGTGTTTGTTTTCCTTGTACCCTTGCATGATATGGATTTTGCCAGGACGCAAAACAAAGAATCTACTTCTAATGGCCTAACTAGTAAATAATGGATATTGATACCCCAAAAGCTATATTCAGATTCAAATCAATTGCAAAGAATCAATGATACAGATAACTTTGCCACTGTGTTCATTGCAGGGATCTAAAGCAGAATTGATGAGATGAGGTACATGTTTAGATGACCTTGTCAGTTTTAGCCAGTGGGTAAATTGAAATTACAGGAATGATCTTTGCAGATAATACATTGATAACAGGCCCGTAGCCAGGGGGGGGTTCGCAGGGTTCGGGCGAACCCCCCCCTGGCCAAAAATTCTTTCAAAATCATGCAGTTTTTCACCATTTTGAGCATTTCTCAAGTGATTTTAGCCATATTTGCTCCAAAATTGTCAGATGTGAACCCCCCCTGGAAATTTTTGAAAACTGAACCCCCCTTGGCAAATCCTGGCTACGGGCCTGGATAACATTGTGATATGTGTGTTTGAGAACTGTCTTAATGATGAGGATAGAATAACTAATTACAGCCATCAACTGGAATCTAAGCCCTGATTATCACTTTGCACAACCTGGATTGTTATGGATTATTCTACTGTCTGATAAGCATTATTGATTAACTCAGCAACATGTATTTTCTTGATATATTATTGTATATGACATTCATAGAATTATATTCGTTCATCAGATTTTTCTTGTGTTTCCCTAATGGGCTTAAATGCATGTACCAATAATCCAGATTTTAACTAGGAGAAGGGATTTGTTTTATTTTGGGTAAAGTGAAAAGAAAAAGGGATAATGCACCATTCAAAGGTCTGCATGGCAAGGGGTTGAAATTTTGGCGAAATGAAACTTTGGCTGTCAAATACCAGGTACCCTGGGAGCAATTCAATTTCCATACTCTGGGACCAATAGTAGTTGATGAAATATAGTTAGAATTTATATAATACCAGGAATATGAATTTCAAAACTAAAGTACCTACTTTTTCTACTTCCGGGATGAACTACAATGTCAAAATCCTACCCCCTTGGACAATATTGACAGTATCCCCAACCCTCACCACATCAGGGATCTCATACTCTACAGAGGCACCAAAAGGGTAATGAGTGCTTATAATTATATCAAAATGTCAATTTGATCCCATACCTACCAATGGTTTAAATTATTCATTTGGTACTCCTATACACTATGTTTACTGCAGTTAAGTTGGATGTATGGGTTTTGTAAGATAGCTGACTTGATCATGAATAATGTAATATGATTGTTCCAAAGCAAATTTATAGCAATAATACAATGCATCATATGAACATCCTAGTTGCAATGTCTATACTCTACTATCCTCTAAATAATGAATCTGATGCAATACATGCTGAAAGTCAACCTGCTCATAAAAATCCTTTATCCTTCTACATGTTAGCAAAAGAGTACAATAGAACTTGTCTACTGGGACCAACAGAAAGTGTTCAGATTGGCAGGTGTTCACATTTTTAGAGAGGTGTTCAAATATTCAGGTTTTAGTGTGGCAAATACGAAAGGCACAATATCAACCCATGATAAGTGATTGTGATTGTACACAGAAATTAATTGAGTAGTGCAGGGGCAGGGGAGACTAAGGGGTCGAGCAAAAGGGTATTTTTGCAAATGACCCATTTCCTCAAAATTGGCAATTTTTGGAAATGAAGTCTATTACTGCAGCTCAAGAATTCCAAAATTATGCTCCCAAAGTCACTGACAGACCTTTAATCTTCTTTTACCTTGCATGACATTATATGTATGATTTATGTAACTCAACTTTGTTTACATACATGTATGCAATAGTAATATATTAATTCGTAATAACAGTTTTCATTTTTAAATATTGCCCTAAACTATGAAATGTGTCCAGCACCAAGGTTGTTCACATTTAGGGATTAGGATATCCTGGGAGTTAATAGGATATTTAAAGGAACTGAAAAAGTGTTCATATATCAAATTATATCAGTAATCAGGCCCCATTGTAACTATAAAATGATGATGATTTGTTTCAGTCTGGGTCGTTGGGATTGAATGAGCACCATCAGAGCACGACAGTGAATTATATGAGATTTGCAAGATATCAGAGGGGCCAGAGACTGAGAGCTGTAGATGCGTGCTTTGAAGACCTTAAGGATAGCAGGTTAGAATAAATTTAAAAAAACAGACCGACATGATTAGTTCTGCATTATTGTCAAACGATATATAGGATGGTTCAGATATATAGTACATATTGACCAGATGAATACATAAGGTTATAACAGTGTTATGTTTTGGATTTTGGATACAGGGTTTATCCAGAGGAACATATGTGTTTTTCCCAAAGAACCCCAGGAATTGAGGGCGATACACAAAATACACATATTCAAATTAACTTTAAAACATGACCTTTTCAAAAAACAACTTCAAAAATCATTTTTAAAATTTTAAATCAATGGTTAAAAAAGTCAATGATAAAAAAGTACTTTAAATTAGAAAATTGTGTGGAGTGGTACTGGGATACAGCTGTATTTCCCAGAAATAGGCGATAGGGAGAAATACTCATCAATTGCCTTCTAGATATCTTACAACACACTATAATGTACCTAGAACCTCTACACGTATGGAATACACATGGATTTTAAATAAAATGTAAAACCTTCAATAAATTGAACTTGCAATGGTTCTACTATATTATAGTTCACCTGTGATATATGGTCATAGTGATGATCAAATGGTGACACCTGACCTAGGGGTATAGAAGTTTTACTTGAAAACTAAGTTATTCTAAGTTTAAGGGAAAGGAGTGGTCGATATGGAGAACTGAATTTAACAATGTTTTTCTCTTAAACCAATTATTGAAAACATTCTGTAAAAACACGGTATTTTATGTAATGTTGACTGATTGACAACAATTTAATGCGAAAATTATTTAGAAATATCTTATATAACTGTTTTTGTTAACAATTTTTGTTTTTTTAGTGCAATTGTTTATTCTCCTTTCTACCAATTCTTGAGAATGAAATAAAATGTCTTTCCGAACATTGTTGGAACAAAATAGCATATACAATGTGTTTTTAGGAATTTTTGGTTGATTTTAAAAAAGTATTCAAAAAATGAAAACAAAATCCCCCAAAATAGATAAAAATCAAGATAAACGATACTTTTTTAAAATCAACCAAAATTTCCATTGTACAATTACAATATTGAGAGACCTAAACATGTTGTGTTTATGCAGTTTTGTTCCAATGAGGTTCGGAAAGACGTTTCATTTCACTCTGGAATTGTGATACCAAGAACAAAACAAGTGTTTGATGTGTTTTCTTAAACAATATAGATGAAAGTATATATATTTTTCAAATTATATTGTTACCATTCAAAAGATGACTATTAAATTGACGATGTGTGGTAAATTTTTAGATTTTTTTATGACAGGTTTAAGTGAAATGTGTGTTCAAAAAGTTCTCCATATTGATACCACTCCTTTAACTTACTCTTGACACTCAACCAGTCTGCTGATCCTATTCATGTATTCAACATATGTTTATTTCAGATTGGTGGAAGATACATTTACGGCTGATGAGGTGAGCGACATGCTTGATGGTCTCCTGGCTGTAGTACGTGGAGAAGTTGAGTCAGAACTTATCAACACAGCACATACAAATGTTCTCTTGCTCAGACAGGTATTCCAACAGGCTGAAAAGTGGCATCTAAAACTACAGGCAGATATTTCTGAATTGGAAAACAGGTAGAGTATACGTATTAATTCATTATTCTACCCAGTATTTTTCATAAATGTGCCAATGAGACTTCATGAAGTTTTTTTTCTAGCCTTTATTGGACCTCCCTCCACCTGCCTTACACACCAGAAGAGGGGAGGGGTGGGGGTAAGACTAAAAGTACTAGTTTTCAAGCAATGCCAAACCAATCTACAAAATCTCAAGTGGATGTACTTTTGTGCTTTTTCTATGTACTATTCTTGCTGGCCTTGCTTGGAAGCTATGATGTCTAGTAACTTGTGCATGTGAAAAATACAACTTCGGTGGGACAACACAGTACTTGACATTCTAAGGGGTCAATATTTATGCTACCAATAACGCAGATGCGAGTAGGTAGTTACCAGATTCACCACCAGGTGGCTCGTTCGGGTCAGATAGCATGGCGGGTATAGGAGAAAGTTCCCTTAAACTTAAATCACATCTGTTTTAATGATTCAATTTTCATATAACCCTTATGTACCTAATAGTTATGCAAACTGAAATATGTCCAATAAAAGAAAATGTTATCTATCCAATACAAGAAAAGATATTTCACTTTTTGTGATTTTGTATCATGGGGTCTATGGGGAATCAACCCGAACAAGAAGTCACATTTTCAAAAAAAATTAAATTTTCAAAGTTTTTTTTTTTTTTTTTTTTTTTTTTTTTTTTTTTTTTTTTTTAATTTTTTTCAAAGTTGATAAACAATTTTCGAAACCATATTTTTAGATGTACTTTTACATGCAGATTTCAAATATGACATCACTTTGACTGGATTTTTAATTTTTAATGACGTAAATCAAGATTATTTCTACTCGCATCTGGGTTATTGATACACAATAGTTTATCATTAGCCTACATGGTTGAGCTATTGTAATTGCCCATTTGTCTGTCCGTCTGTCTGTCCATCAGACCTTCAGACAGAGAAAGAGGACATAGAAATGACAACAACTGAAATAAAGAAGAAACTAAAAAGATAAATAGTGGAATAAAAAGACTGAGATAAAAGAAAAAACATCATAAGAAGCAAGAAGACACGAACAGAAACTACAAAGAAATGTTCAAGTTTGCCTTGCCTTGCCTTGCCTTGTTTCATTGCAGAAAATCAAGGTTTTGTTTATATGGAAAGTTGTAAACAGTAATGTCTATAATTTTCAACAAATTGTGTTACAAAGATTCAAAATGGCCATCATTTTTATTGTCAAAATATCACCTTTTATCTCATAAATCCAAAAGTATTGCATTGTTTTGCTTATTATCAGCTATTAAGTGTATAGGTTGACAGAAATGTCTAGAATGCACTTTCCCCATGTGAGCACAGTTCCAATGGTACTATTTATTCATAAACTTGTAGGACAATGTCAGAAGATACTACATTCAAATGTGTGCGTAGTAAGTGCAATTTCATCTCATTTTGTTCCAGTGAGCTTCTAGAAAAGATTGCAAACTTTGAAGATGCAGAATTCAGTGGTGCAAGTCCTCGAGACAGTGATTTTTCGATTCTTCAAAGCAAACTTGCTCCCCTCAATGAGAGTGGTAGCTCAGCACTGCTTTCTATGGTAAGTTCCAATTTATTACGTCACCACCAGGAGTGGTTATAGTCTACTCCAACTTTTTTGTGGATGGTGTTCGACAATTGGTTTTTAGAAGTCACTGTCTGTAACAAATGGCATTTATTTTGTCTGCATCTGTAACAAATGGTAGGTGGTGACACTTTGCATGTGAATGCCTTGTTTTTCATCAAGTTTTTGGATGCTAAAATGATTTGAGATTCTTTATTATTAATTATATATATATATAATGTAATACAGCTGGGAAAAGAGGATTTATCTATATTTTCATAACTACATAAGGTTCATACAGCAGCTCTCTGTGTCCTGTTAGTCTAATTGATATAGATTAGGGGAATCCTAAATGAGAACTCTTAATTCCATTATTTAGAAATAATTGAACTATTGGAAATATTGATTAAGAGCATTGAAAACTTTGGAGAACTAACATTTTATAAACATTCCAGGAAATTGATAGACTGAAAGAAGAGAATCTAAAGCTAAAGGACAGACTGAAACAGGTTGAATCAAAGGCTTTAGGATATCAAGATGAAAAGTCACGTTTGAAGGATGACCTGAAAAGAACCCAAGAGGAGATGGGTGGTTTGAAGGGTAGAAAGGTGAAAACCACTAACTCACTGTGACATGATTTCTATCTCATATACCTTGTTTATATCTTGATTCAGAAATCATAAAATCTAGCATTCATTCAGTACTTAAAGTTAAATACTGTACTTGTCTTTAATTTGACAAGCGTTTTAATTTGGCTTTGGCGAATCAAAAAAATCACTAAATATCATTGTATACAGTAGTTGCCAATATCCCCAGAAAGTTGACATGTTTTTTGTTGTTCAGTTCATTTTTTAGAAATATTCAAAGATGTTTTTCATCATCAACTCTGACAATGAGTATCTTGATATTTAATAGATTTATCCCCTTGAAAAACTGCCAAGGGTAAACAAAGTAATTCATAGATTCACAGCATATTGAGTACATTGTATTTTCAGCCAGAGCAATCTACCGAAGAACTTGAGCAAATGAGAAAACAAATGGAAAATATTAGAACAGAAATGGATAAAGGATCCAAGTCAAGTTTGGATCGGCAGCAGCATTTGGAATCAGATCTCACAGGCACCAAACATGAACTTTTACGAATAAGAGAAATGTTAGAATTAGCTGAAAAGGTATGTTTGAGTTTCTTAATTCAGTATAATGGTTTATGGTTTTCGAGAGAACATATATTTGTCCAGTTGGATTTTATTGATTTGAAAGAGTTTACTGATTTTCAAGTTCTACATTACAGGCATTTCTCATCTTACTTATCTGAAATTAGAGGTTTCTGATCTACTCAATTAGTTTAAGGACTTGGAGAATAAAGGAGGATTTATATAATACTTCATATGCATTTATAAGTAGGACTACAGCACATCATATACTGTATGCATGTGAATTTGATTGTTTTCAGGACTTGGAGAATAATGGAATGGATTTATATAATACTCCATATGCAATTTTAAGTAGGACTAGAGCACATCATATACTGTATGTATGTGAATTTGATTGTTTTCAGGACTTGGAGAATAATGGAATGGATTTATATAATACTCCATATGCAATTTTAAGTAGGACTAGAGCACATCATATACTGTATGCATGTGAATTTGATTGTTTTCAGGACTTGGAGAATAATGGAATGGATTTATATAATACTCCATATGCAATTTTAAGTAGGACTAGAGCACATCATATACTGTATGCATGTGAATTTGATTGTTTTCAGGACTTGGAGAATAATGGAATGGATTTATATAATACTCCATATGCAATTTTAAGTAGGACTAGAGCACATCATATACTGTATGCATGTGAATTTGATTGTTTTCAGGACTTGGAGAATAATGGAATGGATTTATATAATACTCCATATGCAATTTTAAGTAGGACTAGAGCACATCATATACTGTATGCATGTGAATTTGATTGTTTTCAGGACTTGGAGAATAATGGAATGGATTTATATAATACTCCATATGCAATTTTAAGTAGGACTAGAGCACATCATATACTGTATGCATGTGAATTTGATTGTTTTCAGGACTTGGAGAATAATGGAATGGATTTATATAATACTCCATATGCAATTTTAAGTAGGACTACAGCACATCATATACTGTATGCATGTGAATTTGATTGTTTTCAGGACTTGGAGAAGAAAGTCAGTCAAACAGCTCCATTCAAAAATCTCAAACAAATGCTACAGAAGAAAAATGAACAGATAAAGGATCTCAGGAAAAGATTAGGCAGGTGAGCTCAAATGGATGAATTTTACAAGTGTATTAGCTAGAGTGATACAACTAGGCTCAATTAGTAATCCATGAGCAACAAAAGTACAAAACATTTTGCTTGCTAATTCAGAAGAAAAACATATTTGTAACCTGAATTTTCAAACATTTGAGCATATTGGTTCAACAAAAAGTTAAAATATGCCTAATAACATTTTGTTAGGCATCATTTCATGAATAACAACAGAATTTATTTATATCAAAGGAAGGGTTTTAATATTGTTAATATACAAAAATCAAATAATATGGGCAAAATTTGATACAATTATAAAATAATAGGTGTGGTCTGATACAATGTGTGTGAAAATTTTGAATTGATTTGACCTATTTATAGCCTCATATAATTGACATATTTGTATTCGAAGAACTAAGTAATTTGCACAAAATATTGAAAGTTACCATTACAATGCCTTGGGGGTTAAAGTATTTATTTATTATATTTCCCCACTTTATGTTTCCAGGTATGAAGGAGATGATTAGAGGATTCCAAACAAAAGAAATGTGGTTATTGAAAACCAAGATACGCAAAAGTGAGAGAAAACTTTTGGCATATCAATTATTTGACAATTATCCTGGATGCTCCACGCAGAGCTATAAAATGTGAAAAATTAATCAACCATTTTGACATATCACAAACACATTATAAGAGGCTGGAGCTGAACTCTACAAAATGGAGAATTCAGATGTATTCAGATGAATTTGACAATTAAAGTCATGTGAACCGTGGAGATATCGTGCTTTTCCTGCTAGAATTGTAGTTGTAGACACTAGATATATCTTCATAGTTTGTAACCTAAGAAATTGGATTAACAGGATGAGTTAAGGGAATTTCCATTGGAAATTGTCAGGCTACTTTGGATAAGACCAACTAATATTTTCATTATTTATATATTGTGTATTGGAAAATAACATTGCAAGTAGTCTTTGATGCTGTGTATATCGACCAGATGCTTTAAGATTCTTGTTTAGAACCCTGACTGTGATATGGTGACAGAAGAGCTGATGCAGTTAGTTTCAATCTTGGCCTGTAGATTGTTTAAGTAATCTCACTTGTCCCCACCTGGTTATAAAGACGTTACATAAATTAAAAATTAAACGTTAAATAAAAATTTCCCCTTACGAAGTTCATTCATTCTGTTATAAAGACTGGTGGTTTATAACCATGTGGGGACCAGTGAATGTACACGTTTAGCAAAATAACATGGCAACAGGTCCATGATTCAGTTTTGATGAGGTGATTTAAAATTTGATGTTTCATCGAATGATATTTGGTAGTGAAACTGTATTACTATCTACATAAGACGTTGATCCCCTGGACACCAGGTTTGAATCCCCATATTGCCACATGAGCAAAAAGAGGATGATCTGTGGTAAAATAATGTGAAGCCATTATATTAACCATGTCGTTTTCAATGTTTGTTTTTAAAATTCATTCAATTTGTTAATTCAAATAAATTAATTTGGATGTTTTTTGCTGCTAGTGCCAAGGTTCAATTTCACCAAAATGCCTTTTACATGCTTTAAATGAGGTACCTACAAGGGACTGAAGTTGAAATGAGTTTAGGTCTTTTGGTCAAATTAAGCCATGGTGCTTACAAGGGTGCATCCAATTTTTCTTATTGTTACAATTGATGTTCCATTATATTAACTTTAGTGTACTGTATTTCAATGGCAGTCTTACTTGTAGGATAGATATAAATGTAACATCTGAGGTGTAGACAATTTTTCATGTGAAAGGATTAAAATGTCATTTCTTCACATACATGTAAGACATTAAAATGAAAGGAGGATTAGAGTCTTTATTAGACATGTTAGAGTCCCATTCTATCAAATACTGATACCATCTGATAATCATATTCAACTAGATGTAATAGTTACAGTTACCATTCCGTCCTGTGCTACTTTAAGGCCTGCTAGTATATACAGCAAGACACTAGCAATTTGTCTTAGCATATTACACTAATTACATAAAATATATTTTAGAAACATTTTTGATTGTTACTTTTCAATATTGTATATGAGCCCTAAGGAGGATGGGTCCCATGATTCTTTGTTGATTCTTCAATGAACTTCAGCCAGTGGTAAGTTCTGACACACCCCTCAAGATGATCAGCCAATAAACAGGGTTAGATTTTTCTCATTGGATTCAAAAATTCGAAATTAAACCATTATCATTTTTTCACTTCAGAATTTCTGTGATGAGTGTTAGACTTATTACCCAATAATATAAAATATTTCAAAACAACCAAAATATGATCAAAGCATAAGGCCAGGCCTAGTTCATATCTTTTTGAGTGCTTTTATGAATTTATAGCCAGTTATGTTGTCAGACCATAACATCTTCCACAGTTAGCATGTAGAACGCATTGAACAAATTATTGCTCAAGGATTTGAAAGGGATCTTAGTTGCGAATCCTCCTTTTGACACCTGACCACAGAACCAGTATAACAGATATTTGAACTTAGAAATCTTGTACTCTATTATAAAATGCCTAAATACTCATATCTTGTATGTCACTATTTGCACGTTATATTTTATATTTGAGTACATGTGTTTTAAGTTGTCCCTTAATCTCATTCATGTCTCTTGGAACATTAAATTTCATTGCTTTCAAAATATTCTGATTTTCAGATACCATTTCCATTGTTCAAAAGCATTTGTCAACTTGTATTAGACTGGAAGACTCTTTTGTGGGACACTGTGTGGATTGTATCAGTTTTATCAGGCCCGTAGCCAGGATTTGCCAAGGGGGGGTTCACATTTGACAATTTTGGCCCAAATATGGCTAAAATCACTTGAGAAGTGCTCAAAATGGTGGAAAACTGCATGATTTTGAAAGAATTTTTGGCCAGGGGGGGGGGGGGGGGGGTTCGCCCGAACCCTGCGAACCCCCCCTGGCTACGGGCCTGTTTATTATATTCCTGTGTAAGGATTATATCAGAAAGAAGACTGGGTGCATTGTATTCATTGTAACATATATTTTTCAACAAGCCTATATAAGCACATTCCACATTACTAAAGTAATATCATATCACATCATTAAATTAAACATAATCAACCTTGATACTCATACTTATATACAGTATAATATAAAATGAATATATGCATATGATTGTATTTTGGTACACTGGAATTGTATTTGTCTAATGTAATATACCTGTGTTCAGTTTTGTTTTTGATTTGGTGCTTATTTACTGCTCATTTTGCAATATTGGTGGATTTTGACAATATCGAACCATAATAAAACATAACATGTATTTATCTTGAATTCCATTTTTTGGTGAAGATTTAATATGGCAAATTTTCAAATCCACCAAACTACAAAATGGGTGTCGACGTTAAGGAAATGTACTGTATATGACATCTTATTTCTGAAACAAATATAATTATCAATTTTCTTACATCATAGTCAAACATGAATTTTGACCAATTAAATGTTAGAAATTAATAATCTGAAACTTCGTTAATACAATTTCTCGTTGAAAGCTAATAATTGTTATAAGTTTTTTTGTTTTTCTACTTAAAAATTGCACTGTTAAAATTGCATCATTGATTGCTTGTTTAACCATAAGACAATCCACATTATACCTTGTCATTATTATTCTGCTATTGCTATTCTGCTGAGTTCAAAATGTTATCATCTTGTCTAAATTTTGAATATTTCAATTTGGCTTTTAATGGAACAAGTTTTAAGAAAAGTGGTGCAGTATGAATTTTTTTCCATTGTGTAATTGGTTACGAAAGTTGGACTGCCATGATAGTTTTAGAAATTTTTATTGTACATGTACTATTGAACTGGTAGTAATGCATCTTCTAGGCTAGAATACATCATTTTTATCCTAATCAACAGATTGTTGAATGAGGAACCATGTTATACCTAGGGGCTTCAAATGGACTGGGACCTCTATATTATACCCCCTATCAAGATCATATTCTATGAACTGCCCTTCTTGTTCACGAACCATAGCCTTATCAGGGATACCAGTATAATATAGTGGCAGTTTCAGGTTCATATCTATTGATGTTTGGGTGGGATTGAACACCATTGCAAGACCTTTGTAATCCAACTTTGGATTGACATGCATGAATGAATCAATCCCTTGCATATCAGCTCGCCGTACATGCACAATATCACTTATCAGAATGTCCCGATATTTCTTGTAGAATGATACCCATTTAGTGACCAGTGCTTTTGTCTCTAGACTATCATAGAGGCGGTAACCACGGTAACAAGCAGCAACCCCTGCTCCTAAGTATTGTGCCAGAGCCCACTCATATTCCACGATGTGCTCTGTAAGTGGCTCGAATGCCGCTGCTTCTCCTCCACCATGATAGTCCACTAGAGGAACAAACATCCACCCAGCTGTTGGAATACGTTGATATGTGTCATCATACATCCCTTGCCTGCTCACACTGATATCCTGCCACCTTGGCAATGAGTACTGGTTTTCGTTATATCCCATACCTGTGCGACTACCTCCAGAGTAGAAGTAGTAATCAGGCTGGTTAATGTAGATGGAGCGTTTTCTCAGTGTTGTGTAAAATTGGGCTTGGAGAGTGTTTTGTTTGTATATGGAATCCCCTAGATCGGTATGATGTGAATGATTGGTAGATGCGCATGGGTACCCTCCATAAGGCCCATCTGTCTCAACCATGGATAGATTGGTGCGATCCATAAATGTCATCATGCGCTTCAGTAAGAAATCATACCAGTCAGAGGCAAAACATGCGTTCCCTGAAGGCTGCATTGTACTAGGGTCTATTGCCATCCAATCAACTGCTGTTCGACGAGTAAGAGCAATTAAATCATACCCACCCACTTCAATGTTCTTTGAGTTAGCGTACCTAATATCAGCAGCCATCCTCTTTATGTAAGCTTCATCTTCAGATTCAATATTGAACCCAGAACCAAAACTGTAGATAAGCATTTCAAAACCGACTTCTGCCATCTGATCAATCACTGTACGGAATGCCTCGGAAGACTGGTTCGTCATATGGAAGAATATCGGATTTTCTTGAGTATGAGGAGCCAGCAATCGGAATAATCTATGCTTGGACAAAGCGATTCTTTCTGGATCAGATGAAGCAATCACAAGTTCATGCACTTTAAATGAGCTCAGAGAATTGACAATAGGAACAGCAACAGGATGGTCAGTCTCATATGTGCAATTCACTGTCTGTTCAAAGGAACCTGGCATTGACACGGATGCTGGATCTGATCCCCATACCACATTTGTACCATGAGGTTGATCGGTTTCCACAAATAACCAACCTTTCCCATTAGGCGACCAGGGCATATTCACTGCCAGATATTCTACAGAGAGAAAAGACACATATATGTCTGGCACAGGTTTAAGCGCTGTAACTGTTATCCACTTTGAAAAGCCTGGGACTGAATCATACATTTCATAGGTGACAGTCACAACCAAATCCTTATGAAAGTCTGGTGCCCAAAATGGAGCAGTAAAATTAAATTCTATATGAATCCCCTTTGGTGGCCAGTTGATATTTTTAGGTGCCCCACGCCTAGGGGTATAAGGAAAGGGTGTAGTCAAATCAAATGTTACAAGTGATGACTTTAAATGGAATGCATTTTCATTGCGTGTAATGTTTTGAGCAAAGGCACTTCGATTCAAATATGCAAGAGGTATATTAGTTAGTACTCCACCAATGGGATATACAATTCCATCCAACATTATCACAGCCTCTGGTTCAATGCTACGCTGAAGTGACGAAAATGTTGTATGGTTGTCATAGAAGTCGATGCAGGCAAAATCTGGGGTAGTAATAAATGTCTTTGATATAAGTCCATTAGTGAGCAAACCTAGACCATCCCTGGTCTCACTCCATGTCGATTGCATTGGAATATCATCTATCAACCAATCAAGTCCATGTACAACATTTGATATCACCAAAATAATGTGATAAAAAGTATGAAGAGCATCCATCTTTTGAGCGTTTTTATCTGAAACAGTGATAAAGAATGTACATTTATTAAATTCACGTGATATCCCCTCCCATTCATAATCACATGATAGCCTCATATTATATTGATAAGGAAGTGAAAATTGAAATATTGATAATAACTGTAAATACACTGAAGTACATGTAGCTATTAGTTCATACTGTCATCTATATTTATGAATACACATAATTTGGAAGATACCAACTTACTGTACATGAAGGCACATCTGAAACATGTATATTGATGTAAAATATTCCTATCTCAATATCAAGGTCATCTCATTGTTAATATAAACAGAAAAATATGTGGTGTGTCATGAATATAGGCTCTTCTGTATGGAGATTATAAAGTTGCTTTTTGGCTCTAAAGAGTTCCCCCTCTGTTGGCCCCATGTACATTTCACTCATGTCTCTGTTATTGTACAAAGTGCATAGATAAGGTATTTGTACCTTTATGGTATACCTACATGTATGTAGGCCCAATGAATATATCCATAAATTGGTGAGAACAAATAAATAACCTTATATTTATCTTATATGTAATATTTCTTACTACCATTGCATGTCTCCGTACTTAGTTAAATGTTACCATCTTCTCAGATTTTCACCAAGAAAATGTCTAGAGACTCTAGTAAGTTAAAATAAAAGTAGATAAGGTGTTTTTACCTTTATGGTATACCTATGTTTTAGCTCAAAATACTCATGGGCCCCCTGGATCCGCCAGTGGGGGGGGGGGGGTCACCCTAACCCCCTGGCTATTGACCCTGGTATATGATTAGTTTGTTTGAAAACAATTTTCATATCATCTCTACAATTCAATTAATTTTTTTATAAGTTTTAGTGTACAGTCTGTGAAATGTATTTCAATGTCTTACTATTTTAACAATTGAATTTTTAAACAAGGTGTCACAAAAATCTTCTTGACTTTTATGTGTAGATAGAGTGTTCAGTGAATGAAAGATTGGTATGCTTGCATAGCATTACCAACTTTGTAATTTATATCTCATTTTCTGTGGAGGCATGCTCTGACACCACTGTCTTTCTTAAAATTGACACAATTATTAAGTGAGTAAGTTCATCTTTGACAAAATCATTTATACTCAAGGGGCGGGGAGGAAAATTCTCAATAAATGGTGTATAGTTGGTTTGGCAGCATTTTCAGTTAGGGGAGAGTCTTGGATGAAACTTCCACCTAGGTGATAGCTTCACAGAGTGGTAGGAAGTTCTTTTTTTTAGGAGTTAGCCCCCCACCCCCCAAAAACACCCCACCCGGGGGAAAAAATTGTTCACAGTAAATAACCTTAGATATTTTGATGTTTGTAAGTGACATACATAGATATTATATATATGAATCATTTGCAGTATAATTGATGCTGATTGCTCCTAAGGAAATTGAATATTAGTTCAAAGTGTGTACCCCAGGGGGCAATTTCGTGACTCATTTTCTTACTATTTTGATCCTAACTTTTCAATTAGACACTGTAAGAGGTTGAAAAAATTCATGGGAAGTGCCCAATAGCAGGGATGGTAAACCTGAAAGATGCAAAACCATTGAAAAGGTAGGAGCTGAGAAAAAAATTGTTGATTTTTCGAAAAATTTGACATTTTGACAGTTGGATTTTGTGTATGACTATAGCTGACCCCTATAGTTTCTAGATCCATCCCTCTATAATGATATTTATGGTTTTATAGTGTGAAACTAAGATGTAAAACATAATTTAGATGGGTTTTAAGGAAGTTAAAGGTTTTAAACAAGTCCAAAATTTGAAAAATTGTAAATATAAGGTTTAAAATTTACATATTCCAGGTATAGCCATGGCTGACCCCTATAGTTTCTAGATCCATCCCTCTATGATGATATTTATGGTTTTGCCATGTGGAACTAATATGTAAAACACAATTTAGATGGGTTTTAAGAAAGTTTAAGGTTTTAAACAAGTCCAAAATTTGAAAAATTGTGAATATAAGGTTTTAAATTTACGAATTTCAGGTATAGCCATGGCTGACCCTTATCGTTTTTACATCCATACCTCTATGATTAAATATACAGTTTTAGAGTGTGAGACTAAGATTTAACATATCCAAAATGAATTTTAAGGAAGTTTAAGGTTTTAAACAAGTCCGATATTTGAAAAATTGTAAATGTTAGGTTTCAAATTTATGAATTTCAGGTATAGCCAAAGATGACCCTTATGGTTTTTACATCTATACCTCAGGGATGAAATATATAGTTTTAAGAGTATTTAACTAAAATGTAAAAGATACTTAAGATGAGTTTGAAGGAAGTTCAAGGTTTTAAACAAGTGCAAAATTTGAAAAATTGATCTCAAAATTGGTCTCAAATTCACATTATTCAGGTACAGCCTTGAATGAGCCCTGATAATTGAAGGTTATGAGCATAATAGTATCAACAGTGATATCATAGCTTAGAGATCAGGTGTAGAATATATACCTGTTGCAGCAGTTAGTCTGCTGCATATAGATGGAGTGAAAAGTCGTGAACTACAGTAAAATCTCTCTAATCTGAATGCTACTGGTATTTGGACCAGCTAAAAGCATTCTAATTAGGAGTGTTTGAATTTTGAGGTTTTTACATGTACAATACAAGTTCTGGATTTTGAAGAAATATGAATGCATTCTCAATGAAATATATTAATAATATTAAACTTAATAGCATTCCAAAATCCAATTCAAAAGTTTTGATATCAAAACAATTCAGTGTTAAACTGACAATATTCAAAAGTTTTGATATCAAAACAATTCAGTGTTAAACTGACAATATTTGTGCAATTTTGTAAGAGATATGTGATATTTGGTAAAAAAAAAAGAGTTCAAGTTAGACAGGTTAATTTTTCAAATATGAGTCTTCACTGTTCGAAGTAAGAGGTATTCAGATTTCAATTTTTTAAACATAGGAGTCAATGGGAGGAAAAATTGGACTGGGAAAGTGTTCAGATTGGTTGGTGTTCAGATTAGTCAGGTGTTGGGATGATTGGTAGGTATTCACAATAGTCAGATGTTGGGATATACAGGTTTCAATAATGATATATCATTTATACGCTTCCTAGTCAACTCGTACCCAAGACAACTCGTACCCAAGACAACTTGTACCCAAGACAACTCGTACCCAAGCTTATTTTCAGTATTATGGGTGCATATTAGGGAAAAAATTGAGTTTCTAATGCTTTCATGTTATAATGTGAATCAAATAAACCTCAATATCTTTTTTGAATTTAGATGACATTTTTTCTCAATGGATCAGTTAAGCATTTTTTATTAAATAAAAGAAGTGCTTGAAGCGCTTGTTCTCAACATTTTTTTGTCAAACATATATATAAATAAATATAATTACAACATTACATCTGACACTTGTTCCAAACACTCATAAACATTTGAAAAATGATTATAAACATTTGTCTCTTCACTCGAACATCCTGAATCTGTGACCAATATAAAATAATAGTCAATATAAATTGACACTCAGCTTAAAATGTCACAAAATTAAATCAATTTCTTCCGAAAATTCTTCTTCAAACTTTAAACTATTCTGAACAGTATGTTACAATTGTAATATGTATATCTATTCACATTCCCAGTCCAATACTTGATTCAAAACAAAATATATACTTGGGTACGAGTTGTCTTGGGTACGAGTTGTCTTGGGTACGAGTTGACCAGTTACCATTTATACAAGATGATGAACTAGAACTACTGTACTAGGTGCATTTGATAATTTTTACCACAATGTTAATACAATGTCAGGAAAAGAAAGCACCCATGACACTTTGCTTGTACAACTTGAAAATCAACAACACTTTAAGATTTGATAAAGGTGTCTACCAAATGAGTAATCCACATAAATTCAAATACAAGCACTTGGCATGCTATTCCCTATGATGCTATTTATAGATTTTTAGTCAATGTTATTGATCAGCTTATTGGTTTCATTACTTTCTCTAGAATCTAAAATTGACCTTGGGTTTATGAGAGTAGTAAATTGGAATGCAGTTATATGGAGTATTGAATAAACTATGATCTTATATGGATACAAACAGTTCGTTTGACAATGATCATCTATCTTATCTGTAAAATCAGAACTTAATAAAAAGGGGTTTGAAATGGAGATCGATGTAACCATACCACAAACTGATAAAACTTTCGTGATCGATGCAATGGCTATGACAAAAGGAAAATTAAGATTAACTTATATGTTGAAATTTGGAGAATTTTGGAAAGCTATATCTGACTACTCCATCAAATCTAGTAAAGGAGCCCAAAGAATAGATTTCATAGTAGACTCCATCAGTAAAGGATTCTGAAAGAATGCGAAGAATGGATGCTTCCCCTACTGAACTTTAATTCAAAGAAGAAATTACACCATTACCTAAAAATATGAATACCCTTAGGCCAAGTCATATAATACAAATTTTCAAAGATTACAAAGAAATTCAATAAAGCAGCATTCTAAAAGTGTGCCAAATGTCAAGATTGTTTTAGTAGAACTATTGGAGAGAACTCAAATATCTGTGAAAATGATAACTGAAATCCCCTGTTAAATTCCACTCTTGAAGAGGCTGATTTTAAACTTATTCACTCTGTTTACATTCAGCAGGAGAACATGTGGGACTGCAGTAATTTGCATCAAATGACGCTGATTTTCTAATTTTATGACTATCATTTCAATAAATGTAAAAAATTCTTCTACTGCTAGAAAATGTCATCTGCAAAGTCAGTATGTAGACATTTTCTACAATGTCTGTTTGTTTGAAACATATTGATCATATATATCACCATAGTATACTTTTTGATCTACATGAAGATTTTAGTGTGACAAGACCCTTTTATCCTGGAGTTCCTAATCTCATTGCACTAACGGGAGTTTCTAGGCCCAGCGGGGTATGATCCTTATAATCCTTATTTTCCCAAATAATTACTGTTGCCTGATGACAAGTTGTTTTATTGGGAGTGTAGTATTATAATTTGATAATTTATAATAATATTTTGTATTAGGAGATGATCATTGCTTAATTACAGTATGGGCATAACAAAATATAGAGAAATCATGTTTCTTTTAATTAACCATGTCTTTATGTATTTTGACAATGTAGAACATTACATCGAACATTTTGATGTGAAAAAGTAAAAATGCTATATCACATAATAAATATCATCAAATAATAATTAATTAGTTATAATCCATTTAATCAATCAATTACCACACTGTATACGATTTCCCTAAGAGCAGTTACACTTTAGGGGGGGGGGATTTATTAACCTCTCACCCCCTTAGGAACTCTAGGATAAGGTCCTCAACTCTAATGATTTTTCTTTTAACAATACTTGTAACATGGATCAAACCTGACCACAATATTTTCAACATCTAATTTCTAGGCTAAAAAGTCATACATTCAAAAAGAGAGACATCCAAGGCAATACCTGAAATCGTAAAGGAGGACTGAAAGTATCGCATCAGATTTAGGACAGTCACATGTTGGATTTTTGCTATTTTCTGAGGATTTGAGGAGGTGCATATGTTAGGCCAATGCATTTCCTCCAGGAAAAGCACTCATAGAGATGATAAAATAATTTCTATTTGAGACAGGGTGCAAACAACCCACCCACATGCATCAATATGTTGTGTTTTGACACACAGTTAACCCCTTTATAGAAATAATGCATTCCATCAGGGGTTTAAAAGATATCAAATATGGTTGACCAAAATTAAGCTGAAAGTAATGGAGCACATGAGTTTTCCCTATGGGAAAATAACAGGAAAATATTGTTTTCTGCTTTATCTAAAAGAAATTTATTATTCCTTTTTATGGGTAAACTATGTCTCAAAACGCAACATATTGATGCAACAAAAATTGAAAAAGCAGGGGTAAAAGGGCTTGAAAATCAGGACAACATTTCCGAAAAAACATGTGGGTGGATTGTTTGCACCTTCGCTGTCTCAAAGTCCAAACTATTTTATCATCTCTAAGAGTTCTTTTCCCGTAGGTTATGCAATGGCCTATCATATGCACCTGCTTAGATCCTCAGGAAACAGACAAAATCTAACATATGACTGTCTGAAATATGTTGCGATACTTTCCGTGCTCCTTTGAGACCTGATATTTCTCAATTTTTCAAACATTGCACTTGTTAAAATTCTTAAACTTCCTTAAAATTCATCTTCGGTATGTTTTACTTCTTGGTTTCGCACTCTAAAAATATATGTTTCATGTTTAAAATCTTTAACTTCCTTAAAACCCATCTAAATTATGTTCTACATCTTTAGTTCCATATTACAAAACCATAAATATCACCAAAGAGGGATGGATTTAGAAACTATAGGGGTCAGCCATGGCTATACCTGGAATTCATAAATTTGAAACCTTATATTTACAATTTTTCAAATTTTGGACTTGTTTAAACCTTTAACTTCCTTAAAACCCATCTAAACTATGTTTTACATCTTAGTTCCACACTATAAAACCATAAATATCATCATAGAGGGATGGATCTAGAACCTATAGGGATCAGCCATGGTTATACCTGGAATTCGAAAATTTGAAACCTTATATTTACGATTTTTCAAATTTTGGACTTGTTTAAAACCTTTAACTTCCTTAAAACCCATCTAAATTATGTTTTACATCTTAGTTCCACACTATAAAACCATAAATATCATCATAGAGGGATGGATCTAGAACCTATAGGGGTCAGCCATGGTTATACCTGGAATTCGTAAATTTGAAATCTTATATTAACAATTTTTCAAATTTTGGACATGTTTAAAACCTTTAACTTCCTTAAAACCCATCTAAATTATGTTTTACATCTTAGTTCCACACTATAAAACTATAAATATCATCATAGAGGGATGAATCTAGAAACTATAGGGGTCAGCCATGGCTATACCTGGAATTCGTAAATTTGAAACCTTATATTTACAATTTTTCAAATTTTGGACTTGTTTAAAACCTTTAACTTCCTTAAAACCCATCTAAATTATGTTTTACATCTTAGTTTCACACTGCAAAACCATAAATATCATTATAGAGGGATGGATCTAGAAATTATAATGGTCATCTATAGTCATACACAAAATCAAGCTGTCAAAAATGTCAAATTTTTCGAAAAATCAACAATTTTTTTCTCAGCTCCTACCTCTTCCATGGCTTTGCATCTTTCAGGGTTACTAACCCTGCTATTAGGCATTTCACATGAATTTTTCCAACCTCTTACAGAATCTAATTGAAAAGTTAGAATCAAAATAGTAAGAAAATGAGTCACGAATTTGCCCCCTGGGGTACATACTTTGTACTAATTTTCAAATTCTTTAGGAGTTATCAGCATCAATTATACTGCAAGTGATTCATATATATAATATCTATGTATGTCACTTACAAACATCAAAATATCTAAGGTTATTTAGTGTAAACAATTTTTTCCCCAGGGTGGGGTGTTTTTGGGGGGTGGGGGGCTAACTCCTCAAAAAAAAGAACTTCCTACCACTCTGTGAAGCTATCACCTAGGTGGAAATTTCATCCAAGACTCTCCCCTAACAGAAAATGCTGCCAAACCAACTATACACCATTTATTGAGAATTTTCCTCCCCGCCCCTAGAGTATTAAGAAACATGGGTAATGATATATAATATTTCATGGATCGAAACATATTACATGTAGTAGTATGCCAGAAATTAATGGCTATTAGACAGAAATTCCAATTTCAGAAAATTGTATTTTTGAACATTTTATGATGACTTCACCAAGAGCATATACATGGACAGAAAACATGATATCTCTAAATCTCAAAGTTGTTGATGCTATACAAGTATGACAATTGATCATGTATCGAACACTCTATCTACACAAACAAATTCATGAAGATTCACTAATCATTGAAAAAGTTTTTCCATTTGAGAGTGGCACTTTTATGTCACTCTGTATATTTGTAGAGATAATTGTCACATGCCACTGCTGTAAATAGTGAGTAAATCAATAAACAAGTATGTCTCCACTGACCACAATATAGGATCAAAGAGTGAAGATGACAACCATATGGTGTATGTGGGATCCGGGATGTGGGGGATGGGTAGAGTCGACTTCTTGCGAGAGAAGTTTTGAAGAATCATTCATAAAAAGATTACTTCAGTGCATTATTTAACTCAATTTATTTCTTTAATCAATAAACTTGGATGATAAACATTTTCAAATACACTTCAATAAGTTTCAATGCACTCAATGCATCAACAAAAGTAAAATGGCGCCATTTGATGGATTACAAAAATGGTGATTTCTTATACAGAACTCGTTTTTTAAATAATATTAATAGGTCACATTGCAAAAGGTAGATCAAATGGCCAAAATTTGACTTATTGCCAAGAGAAAATTGTAAAACCTGAGAAGCTGAAACTGTGTGACATTGATACTTCTAAACATCAATTGCAACATTATCACATTTTGGAACACTATACCATATTCAATATTGTGAAAAAATCGATATTTTGATGACAAAAAGTCAATTTCTCCAAAACTAGGAGCTTGAACCAATGGTGTAAACTACTATTTTTGATCAAATAAAAATAAATAATATGTTAAAGGTAACATTAGGCAAAAATTGTGAAGCAAGACCTCAATAGTTTATATAGCACCCATGGTCCATTCTTCTTATAAGATACAGTATTCTCTCTAATGAGCGCACAGATCAATAAGCACACATGCCACTTTCATGTTAAATATGGTCTCAAGAAAACACGAAGTTTAATGCATTACATCGATTGATGATAATATATAATGCAGAAAAGCAGCTGTAGAGAGTATACAAACCTATAGTGATACCAAATTAAGAGATCATCAGCGATAATTTTTTTCTTCTTTATTTTGCATGTGTGTTTACTGGAATCTTAATATCTTACCATACTGTGCACTCATTAGAGAGAATATGGTATCCCTATTACAAATTAATTACTCATTTGCACATTTACGATAAATTCATTGATTGGATTGTGAATGTATATATAACTATTCTTTTAGATACGTAAAGTCCCTGTCTAAAGTTTGAAAATATTTTTTTTATCATTCATTTACTATTTGTCATGACTTAAAAAGCTATTTTAGAGATTTTTCGAAAAAAAATTTTGAAAAAAAAGTTGTGAGCATTTCATTTCTCAAATATTCAAATTTCCCGCCATTTTTCAAAAAAAGTTGAAATTTTTTAATCATCAAATATTTCTTAATGTATTTCAAAAAAGATTATCTTTTAAACACCAATGTAAAGATTGAATAAAGGACACTCTATTTCAATAATAAAATGCCATATTTAATGGGCCACTTCCATGTTTTAGCATATCAAAAATATTTTGCAACATTAGTGATGTCACTAAGGTAGCAAAAACTTTTTGAAAAAAATTGAAATTTTTTTTCGATGTCAATCATTTCTAAATACCCTAGACTTCAATAATAAACCAATGCTAATTGTCTAACCAGGTTAAAAGGAAGAATATATTATGTTTTAGATATCATTGTACCGTTGGTTTCTATGAGAACTAAAATTTTGAAATGCATTTTTCCTCGGAACCATTTTCATGCACTGATGAGTTCATTTCTCGCTTATTTATGAACCGATTTTCTTAATTTTTTCGGCAAAAAACATGGGACGCTGAATGCTATGCATTGGTATAAATTGTGGCTAATTAAAATATATGTGTGACTTCTAAAAGTTAGTTTTAATTAAATTCACAAATTTTGGAACAAAAAGTCTATCAAAAACCACTTTTTGGAATTTAAATAAAAAGTTTCACATATCACACTTTGATAACATTGGGTAAGACTACAATATAAGCCAAAGTTGTTTAAACTTTAGATGGGGACTTTAAAGGAGTGGTATCGATATGGTGAACGCGTTTAAACCAGTCATCAAGACATTCTGAAAATCTTACACATTGTCAATTTAATGGTCATCTTTTGGACGGTAACATTATAATTTGAAATATATATATATATACTTTTTTCTTTATTGTTTTAAAATCACATCAGACACTTCTTTCGTTCTTGGTATCATATGTTCAGAATGAAATGAAATATCTATCCGAACCTCATTGGAACAAAACGACATAAACACAACGTGTTTAGGTCTCTCAATATTGTAATTGTACAAAGGAAAGTTTGGTTGATTTTAAAAAAGTATCTTGTTAATAAAATAAAAGGTTTATCTTAATTTTAATCTATTTTGGGTGATTTTGCATACTTTTTGTAAAATCAACCAAAATTTCCTTTGAAACTGTATAAGTATAATATTGAGAGGTCTAAGAAAATGTTATGCTATTTTGTTCCAACAATGTTCGGAAAGAAATTTTATTTCATTCTCAAGAATTGGTAGAAAGGAACAAAAAACAAAAAATGTTAACAAAAACAGATATATCAAATATATATGAATAATTTCTGCATAAAATTGTTGCCAATCAGTCAACATTACATAAAGGACAGTGTTTTTTACAGAATATTTTCAATAATTGGTTTAAGAGAAAAACATTGTTGAATTCAGTTCACCATATCGATACCTATCCTTTCCACCAAAAACAGCCCACTATGCAATGGGGTGTTCAGAATTGCTAATTATGGAAGGCCTGTCCAAAGTTTGGCAATGTGTTTCCAGTAAGGGATGGAGATGATGGCTCTGGCACATGACTCCCTACTGCAGCAGAAGATAGCATTGGATTATGTCTAACACTGGCCATGTTACCAAGTGCCTTCAGCACATCCATGTAAACAGTGCTCATACTAGAATCTGGCATACCATCCTTCACTGCTTCACCTTCCACATTATCAAAATCAATTCTTGAGCTATAATTGTGCTCTGTAGTTCCAAGTGGTTTGATCTCTACAGCGGTGTCTGTAAGTTTGGCAAGTGAACTATGGCGGTTGTAGTTGTGCTCAAATAGACTGACTGTTGGGGTAGGGCTTGTCCCAGGGGCTGTGTAACTTGGTGAGGTAAGCTGCTGAGTAAGCACAGAGTAAGTAACAGTTGGAGTGACTGAAGCTGAACTGCTACTTATTGTAACAGCCAATCCTTGAAGATCCTGACCCTGGGGCACAGGAATATAGTTCACATTCTGCAAGGCCCCTACAGAGCCTATCTGCTTTTGGTTATGCATTACTTTAGATATAGCAGTGGCCAGAGCTCCAGATGCTACTGCTTCTTGCACTTGTTTTTCATCACGTAACAGGGGTACTGTAATCAATGGCTCCTGCACAGAGTCAGTCTTGACTATAGTCCCAACTCTGGAGCTTGCATGGTATTTCGCTAAGTGTCGCACAAGATGGTCTTTCCTACCAAACCTCCCTGAGCAAATCTCACATATGAAATCTCTTTCTTTTGTGTGAACAATCATATGTCGACGAACATCCTTTAAAGTGAAGAACCGTTTATCACATTCTGGACATTTTTGTTTCTTGTCCATGATTCCTTTTGTAGATCGTGCTCCTTTATGGACATTGATATGGAACAAAAGTTTCTCTTTTGATTCGAAGTCCTTTTTGCAAATGCTACATGTTAATTCTCCCGCTTCTGCATAATGTATTGCCATATGGGCTCTGAATGTAAAATCTCCAGTGTACTCCTTATCACATAGATGGCACTTTTGAGAGCACCTATCAGGTTCGTGTGTCCTCATATGACCCTTTAAGTGGTCTTTTCGCGTGAATGATTTATCACAGTAAATACATGAGAATGGTCTCACAGCTCCATGTGTCAAAAGATGTCTCTGCTGTTTATAGCGATTAATAAATGTTTTACTGCAGTTTGTGAACAAACACTTATATGGTTTTCTTCCAGTGTGAGTCATTATATGTTCATCATAGTTTGTCTTTCCCTGAAATGCTTTTCCACAGAATTGACATTTCATGAGTTCAGTGTCTTTAGGAATAGGCTTAGATTTCACCTTCACTGGAGTTTTCTTTTGAACTTTTGATTTCGAGGATGAGTTTTTTTGAGAGCTTGCTACTGCTTTTGTAGTAGCTGGTTCTGGGGGATCCAAGTCTATCACAAGTTCAATGTCAGAGATATCTATATTTGAATTCAATACGAGGGGTCGTTTCCAAGTCAATTTAGTCCTTGTTGATTTTTTCAATCGTTTAATGCAACATTTATGTTTTTCTAAATGTTCAAATTCAGTGAAATATTTATAGCAGGCTGAGCACACCCAGTTATCTGCAGCTTCTTTCTTCTCCTGTTTCTTCCTCTTAATCTTAGACTTTTTAACACCTGCAAAAAATGAAAAAGAGCATTACAATTTCAGGAAAATTGTAATGATATTTGGCGTTAATTTGACCCGATTTAATTTGTTTGTTTTTTGGCCATTACATTGTTCACAATTTTGCTGCATATTTAATTTGGAAGATTGAAGGATAACTGTCCACTGATATACATGTAATTTACATACAATTGGCCCCTATTAGGCCTCTACATATATTATAATTCATACACGCAATTCTCAGGAATTTTAGTGAATACTTAATTTTTGGCAAACTTTCCAAATCCACAATATTCAAGAATACATTTGTTCATGGTGGGTTTTACTACAGGAACTTTAGAGACCTCGAATGACAGAATAAATGCACCATTGACACAATTATGTGCATGCACTTACTATGTGCTTGGGAGTAAGAATGGTCTTTACTAGAAGATGCATTATCATCGGTATCTTGAGTGACAACCTCAGTTGCTTTCTCAGTCAACTCTTGTGGACCTTATAAAGAAAAATAAGAGAAACATTATTTCTGGTATTGATATTGAGCTGTTAAATTACCAACATAAATTTGCAAGATGATTCGTTAACCTAATCACACCGGAATAGCCTGACTATGGTATAGTCAGATTGTCAGGCTATTCAGGGGTGCTAAATGCTAATAAGCAAATGTGGGAAGTGGAAAATAACGACTAAACTATTAACACTTCAAAATCATCATGTGAAACCCCTATATATACAATCATAAATATTTTCACATTTTGTTGAGAAATGATTAATATAATTGTGTTCAGTATACATGTGTACAGGATGTTCCTGCTCATTCCCTGTATGAGGCTTATCCTTACCTTTAGAAACTGGATCAGGAATACCATGAGCAGGTTTCTGTTTATCATTCTCATTCTCAGCAGCTTCAACCCTGTCACATTTTGTTGCAGAAAGCTCCTCAGCTGAGGACATTTTAGTGTCAGGAGTCCTTGCATTCAAAAGTGTTGCCCCCATAAGTGGGGCATAGTTCCCTGCATACCAGATTTTTAGTTCCTCTTCTGGAGCAATAGGCTAAAATGTATAATTTAAAAAGCATATTTGAATGCCTGTAATGCAACAAACCAAGATTGCAAATTGGCTCAATGTTTCTTGAATGTATGTCCTATGCCCATAATGCATAAGTCTATTAAATTTGAAACAAACTGTGAATGGGTCTTTGAATGAACAAATAGACAGATGGATGGACAGATGGACAGCTTCTCTATAACCCTACCAGACCTCAGTGGGATGATAAAGTACTGTACTGTACTGTACTGTACTGTACTGTACTGTACTGTACTGTACTGTACTGTACTGTACTGTACTGTACTGTACTTTTACTTGTCTTCTGGTCCATACTGATCCACACAAAATCCATTTTAAATCTATTATATTTATAAAATTAGATTGCATGTCTAATAAATATATTTCCTATAACTGATTTATTTCTGAAAAAAGATATAAATATAACATATATATAATACACATGTTGTGGCTTTGCAAAACAGCATTATAATCAAGTGTATTAAACCAAGCCTATTTATATGATAGAGATATTCAAGAGTTAGGATTCAAAAGTTGGTCTAGCAAGGTCTATGATATACTCAGAAAATGTGATTTATTGGATTATTGGAATGACCAAAATCTGAATACTGACAATCTAGTGAGCATGGTAGAAAAGAAGTTGAAGGTATTATTTGTAGAAAAATGGAAAAATGATTTGAACATTTATCCTATACTGAGAACGTATAAATTGTTCAAAAAAGATTTTAGAATTGAATTATATTTGAAATTAGATAATAAAAAGTATAGATTGGCGATAAGTAGATTTCGAATGAGTTCTCATCGATTGGCGATTGAGACTGGAAGACATGCAAAGCCAAAACCAAAACCTAGAGAGGAAAGATTATGCAATACCTGTAAACATATAGAGGATGAATGTCATTTCCTTTTAACTTGTACAAAGAATGATGAGCATAGACAATTATTGTACACTAAGGCTCGTGAAATTCTAAGTAACTTTGACCTCTATAGTGAAGATTTATTTGTCAATCTCATTTCAAGTAAAAACTTAACATTACAAAGACACTTTGGAAAATTCATTTATCATTCATTTAAGAATTTGTAGTCAGAATGCAGGGTATGTGCACCACACTTTAAATGTAACCTTGTAACCTTGTCCTTTCATCATGATGTATACTACCTTTATTTTGGGTTTTTGTATATCTCGTATATATTTTTGTACTTTTGCCTTAGTTAGTATTTGTAGTTTAGATATTTAGTTTTTTTCATAGTTATGACTAATGTAATCATGTTATGATACAAGATGTCAATAAAAGTTATATAAGCCACAATATAATACTAGAAAAACAGCAACTCAAAGGAGTAGCAAATCCCACCGAACAAAAACATGATAATTAGAGACAATCTTGAAAATTTCTTCTTCAAGATATATTAATATATAAAATTTGAACCAAATCCATCCTCTGATATTTGAGTTATCAAAGAAAAATGGCAGCCATTTTGAAATTTTAACACCATCTTGAAAATTCCTTCTTGAGCAGAGCTAATTTGTCCCCTAAGGCATCAACATATAAAATTTTATGAAAAATGGCAGCCATTTTGAAATTCTGCTGCCATCTTGAAAATTCTTTTTCGAACAGAGCTACTGTGTCCTAGGCATCAGCATATAAAATTTGAACCAAATTCGTTCCGCATTTGAGTTATCAAAGATTAAGTTTTTCACAGAAAATGGCAGCAATTTCAAAATTCAGTCACCATCTTGAAAGATCTTTCTCAAACAGAGCTACAGTTTCCTAAGGCATCAACATATAAAATTTTAATTAAAGCCGTCAAACAGTATTTGAGTTATTACCCGGACAGATGGACAAACGGACGCCATTTGTTGCTGCTGCATCAGTGTCTTCATTCATTGTCTTCTTTCTTTGTCTTGATTTGATTGTGATGTTAGTTACGGATGGATGGACGGCTTTTCTATATCCCCCTCGAACTTCGTTCGGTGGGGATAATATGATTGTGAACAATATAATTGCACTGCATCACTACTCATATTTCTAATTTTTCAAAACAAACATAATTACAAACAAAAGGTAATAATAAAAGGTAGTAATACATAATGACTTCTAATAAAAGAATACTGACCCGCGTAGTTGTGAAATAGACATGCTCTTTGTATTGATAGGCAACCATATTTTGTTCAGTAAAGCATGTAGCTGGGCGCACAAACATCATCCAGTTACATTTTGTTTCATCAGTGTTGTCTAAATATGTGAAGATGTTCTTTGCTGAGAAGATCTGCAAATACAAAATGTCCAACAAGGATAGAGACGATTTGAGGGTACTAGTAAATAAATGAGTTAAAAATAAAAAAATAGCTGTCACGATTTTAAAATATGTTTTGTTCAGAACATTTCTTTTAGTTTCAGTCAGAGATCTGTTTTCACAGATAGAGGCAGACATATTGAACATCCTTTTTCATGAATTTCTTCATTTTAAGATTGTAAAATCTGTTCTTGTGAACATCACAATCAAAAACGGTCATTATTTCTACAACATTGAAGATAAGTCACATAATATTATATCTTATCAAAGCTAATTGAATGACCCATGGTATATATTACATGGCTTATCTGTTTGATCCTACAGGGAGTTTCTCGCGAATAGGCCCATGGGCATTTATTTTGCACATGGTGTTTTTTTAAAGAATTTTTAATAAACACCCATGGGCCTTTATTGAGAAAGAAGGAATATTTTTCCAAAGGGGATGGACGTTTATTAAGAGGGGAAATAGCTCTCCCATGCCAGTGGGCGTTTATTTCGAGGGATATTATGGATTTTAAAGTAAGACTCTGATATACTATTTGGCAATGTGCTTACCTATACCTTTATGATGACTAAGTGATGTTAAATGGTAGTGACCTTTATAAAGTTTCTATTATGTGACAATGTGCTTACCTTTATGAAGAGTCTGTTATGTGACAGGGCAGGTGGGGTATGGACTTTCTGGCCTTCATGTGGACCAAACTGAGTTCTCGTTTGGATAACCCTTCTGGCAAACACACCTTCAACTGAAATCAAAATGTATTTTTAGTTGATCCATACTCTATTTTTCCATTTTGAAACGTGGAATATTTTTTCCAGACTCAAAATTTGGGGCCAGCCCTTGTTAATTTCTGGATCCGCCACTGATACATTATTGGAACGTATAAGCCAATTTTCTCACATTTAGCCATCTGAGTTACATGTAGCACACAGAGGTGACATTCTGCTGGAGATCTTTGATTTCACTTTACAAAGGTATGATTTGAGGAGATGGGATCTACACCATGCTCATAGCCATATTGATTTGAGGCAGATGTAAAATAACTTGATATTAAAATTTACCTTTCCTATTAACGCCTGTGATCTCCAAAGTTTTGATTTTTACAGAATAGGGTGTTGTCAATCTGGCATATGATGGAATGAATCTGTCTTTTGTTCTATTCAGCATCTCATGTGTGGTACAGTCCCCTTTCTTTGCCTCTCCACAGTCCTCACACCCTGCATTTACATAAACAGAATGTTATCATACAGGCATTCTTATTTATATACAAGCATTTTTTTGTATACATGAGTAACAACCAGAACAACGGCAACGCCAAAGCGTAGCGAATCCCATCGAGCAGAAATGGCTGGCATTTTTACAAACTAAATATATAGCAAATATCATAAAATAACACACATAAGAAAGGCCACCATTTTCAAAATGGTTGCTCACTAGCCATGTACGTACATATGTACGGACGGACGGACGGACGGACGGAGGCATTCCCTATATCCCTCCGAACTTCGTTTGATGGGATAATTAATCAATCAATAGAAACAAATAAGCTTCAACAAAAGATAGTGTCCCATGTTTCTTTAGCACTTTGAAAATATTTTCAATTTTGAGCCAGTTTTCTTAAGTTATATATCATACAAATGGTGATCTCTTGAACATTTGTGACAAGTGATGAATCAGTATGTAGGTAGGAAAACAAGGAAACAATAAATTACTGCATACAGGTGTAAAATACATGCAATTTTCCTTATAAATGAATCAGACTCACACAGTAAGTTGATGTTCATCAACTGATGTCCATTGTTTGTTGGTGGTTTATGCTGTCCAATCTTCTCTTTTACTCTACTTGGGCTTGTTCTTCTAGCTTTAGCCTGTGACATTGTGACACTGTGACAACACCTTCAAAAGAGAATATCTGGATAATTTTGTAATCATGTAAAATTATTTTTCTCCTTTTTATTATGGAATCAATATGAGGATCATAATTATACAGGGTGGGCCAATAAAGAAAAGAAAAATGTTCCAGTTTTTATTGGCCCACCCTGTATTTTGCAAACAGGATCATGTTATGCAGGGAGATTATTCCCCTCTTGTTGTACAACCCCTAGCATGAACTGTATGATAAAGAAAGGAAAGGATATTTCACTTGACATTTTTGGGTGATGCTCCTACTGGTAAGTTATTTGTTGCATGCAAGCTATGCAGCAAAGTTTCATCTTGACAACCAGGTATCGCGACACTATTGTAGACAGACTGATGGACGAACAGACTGTGGACTGACAGACTGAACTTGATTGGTTGGTTGAAACCGTTTCTGTATGTGAACATCCATTCGCTTCATTATAAGACAAACCCCCATAGGAGAGTAAATAGAGACCCCCTTGGTAAATCTTGGAAAAGCCCCTGTATGTACATCTATTGTACATAGAGTTTTCATAGAGAATGAGATTGAAGACTTATATTTGAGCTGTTCAAAGCTTTGGCTGAAAGTGAAAAGGCACTAAAAATGACAGCCAGCAAGCCACAAATTATTATTGAAAGTAGAAAGTGAACAAGTATAAGTGGCCATAATAAAAGACATAAAGTTGTAAGGAGACTAATCCAGTAGTATAAGAGTGATGACGATTGAGTCATTGACCATGATCATGCGTGTTGTTGTTTTATTTTGATGACCCAGATTTGGAGGCCATCTTGGGATTTTCATAAAACGATTTCAACTTTGGAAAACATTATATTGTGTAATTAGGCTACTTTGAATCGCAGAAAATTCTCAAAATATACCTACCCAGGTATCAGATTAAGTTAGTGCTTCCGCCGATGAATAGGAATATAGACAAATAGTCTTGAAATAATGACAAACGTCTTCCGACTGCAACAAAGCTCTGTCCATCTACGGTGACCTTGAATACGGAATTCCTAAAATGACGTCATTTTGGGGAAACCTCAGCTCGTCATGTAATTTTGCAAAAAATTATCAGTACAGTAGACTATTTCGTATTTTACGGGTCATAAAATGTTTGAACAAGTTCTGGACAAGGCTGGAAGGTCAACGAACGAACAAGAAAGACAGAAACGCATTCAAAAGGTGACAAGATCTAACGATGATGACAAAAATCCATGTATGAAGGTAAAAATACAAATGTAGCCTAAAAAAGGGCAAAGATTCAGTTGGGGCATGGACGTATATCAACGTCGATGATATACGTCCATGGTTGGGGGAGGGGGGGAGCCTCCCCAAGGGGTATGTGATAAAGGTGACCAGGTCTCTAAAAATGTGACTGTCGGGTAGGCCCCAGTGACAAGGCAGGCCAGTAGCCAGGATTCGCCAAGGGGGGGGGGGGGGTAGTATGTATCCAACAGACTGACTAGAAGTCAGTCTGTTATGATGTACTACTTTCCTGTGGAAATTGCAGTGAAATTTTTTGCACAAAATTATCAATTGGAGGAAACATTTTTTCAAAAAAATAAACATTACAAAATTTCAATTAAATAGTAAGGTACAATTAAATGCAATAAAAAGTAACACAGCATATTGTCTAGTGGAAATAAAGCTAGTTGAAGTAAAAATGTGCAAATTAATTTTACCCAATCGGCCATTTTGAATAGCACTTCCTATGTAAACAAATATTTGGAATTACCAAACTTTAACATAGGTGCCTTATAGTCTGAATATAATTCAGACTAAATAGGATATAGTCTAAGGGGGGGGGGGGATTTCCAGGGGGGGGGGGCTCACATTTGACAATTTTGGCTCAAATATGGCCAAAATTACTTGAGAAGTGCTCAAAATGGTAGACTGTATCCCTCTTCTGATTGAATATATTATAAATTCAGACCGAATATTATATTCAGTCTGTTGGATACATACTAGGGGTGGGGGGTGAACCTTTGTTCCTTGCCCTGTGGTTTGGTGTATGGAAAAGACCGTCCACCAACTAGATCTACTGCTCTGACCAGTCAATCTCCACTCTTACTGTAGGTCCAAAATTTGTAGTGGCCTCTTGGAGGTTGGTGGTCAGAGGGGTCAGTTTGGGCGTTTTCTTTTTATGGACTTCTTTTCTGAACAAGCTCTTTTTCCAAGCTGGTCTTAGTATGTATCCAATAGGCTGAGTTAGTACTCAGTCTGTCATCCTCATTTTCTGTTGTGTGGTTATTGCAGTAATATTTTTGCACAAAATTATCAATTAGAGAAAGCATTACATGTATTTCAATAAAATAGACATTATGAAATTCAATAAGTAGTAAGGTACAATTAAATGCCATTAAATGTAACACACTAGCAGATTGTCTAGTGGAGATAAAGCTAGTGGAACTTACAAATATGCAAATTAATTTACTCCATCAGCCATTTTGAATTACAATTTACATGTAAACAAATGTGTTCAAACACCAATATTTACATACATGTAGGACGCTTTTAGTCTGAATATTTGAAAATGTGGTACAGGGAGGTCTAAACGTAAAAGGATATGACTGAATTTTTTGTGCTTGGTTAGAACATGGGCTTTCAATCTAGTTGAAAGCCCATGGTTAGAACTATCAGGAGACCAGTTGCAAAAGAAGAGCTTGATCAGAAAAAAGTCCAAAAATGAAACACTCTGAGTCTAGGTTCGGTCTTTTTGCATGCACCTCATAATTTAGCATAGGGTGTTGATATGGCATGGTTAGAGTTGCGATTATAAACCAAAACAACACAATAAGGTGTGTACTAAAGATTTACTTTCCTGTTATCTCAAAATCTGCTTGGAACTGTATCATTGGATTTCTATGGGGAATTCCTTAAAGTGCAAATTCTAGGGATAAGGAATGTGTACAGTTTACACAATTTGAGAAATTATTGGCAAATATGAAACCTATTTAAAACAGCTTTTATATTATTCAAAAGTGTTGATTATCAATGATTCCCAGTCCTCTGAAAAATGAAAATACCTGGGTCGTTAAAGGGGCAACAAGGACTGTAGAGGGAAAATTCGAAATTTTTTACTTTTTCTAAGCTTTCAGGGCAGCATTTGGCTAAACATCTTCTTTGAGATAGCTATTTTCTTAAAATGTATGGATAAACTATCGATTTCAGCATAAAGAAGTGTAAAATCACTTCAAATCTTCTATAAAGGGAGTCCCACTTATGGATTTTTAAGATCCACCATGTTTCAAGAGGAATATCAGTTGAAATAGTGTTTATTCAGGTGCTTTCTTTGGAGATAATAAAAATATATATTAGTCTTGATGAAATATCAAAACTTAAATATATAATTTTTTACATCGGTCCATGATCGCTGAATGGCCCCTCTGCACTAATTGTTGCACATAATAATCCTTCAAAATGAGAAATATTTTTGGGGATTATATGATGCAATCTTATAGTCAATAAATTGTTTTAAAGTGTATTGATGTTTTTTGGATGAAAAACATAAGCGAAATGCATGAAAAAACTCCCCCAATTCATTCCACAAACAACTCCCCCTCCTTTGGGGTGAAAATATGAAGACTGTAACACCTATGTCATATGTTCAAATTTAGTATTAAAAATATTTGTTTACATACAGGAGTATATTAATTTGTTACTTCTCCAAGCTTTACTTTCACTTGACAATATGCTGTGTCACTTTTTTTAGCATTTAATATGTACATGTACATGTACATTACCACTTAATTGTATTGTTATAATGTTATGGAAAGTAAAGCTTTCTGGATAATTTTATGCAAAACATTTCTCTGCAATTCCCACAGGACAGAACGTAAGATTGATGGACTGACTTCTAGTCAGTGTGTTGAATACAGACTCAGGGGGGGGGGGGGGGTCACTTTATACAAAATTTGGTGAGGCTCCTAGGCTGAACCCTCAGATATCAATATGTATGTTCCCATACCAGTCTGTCAAATTTTATTGTGTTCCCATACCAACCAAAATAAATCCCAAAAGCCATATCAAATGTTAGAATAGACGACCAATACCATACCAAATGTCCAAATATAGGAGCAATGCCATACCAAATATCCAAAACGATCCAAAACAACCTCAAATTAAGCATATGTGTAACTACTAGACTATGCCATAGCGAAATTGAGAGGTAATTAATTTTCCACAACCATTCTCATTAGAGGCTGATGGTAATGCCGGTAATGCCAGTAAGCGGTAATACCAGTTCGTTGGAGTGAAAAATGATCTGAAGTGTGTTTTTTTTATTTAAAACCAAAAATACATCTTGATTCCAAAGATACTTACCTTATACTGTGCTTTTCAAATTCAAAACGGTAAAGAAAAGAATACCAGGTTATTATTGGACGGAGGGCTGAAGGCTAGAATTGGCCTGGCAAGGTGGTAATAATATTCCTTCTGATGGCCTTCTAAATAAACATTCATGCAAAATAAGTGCCCACTACATCTTTTTTAGGAGGAACTCAAGTATAGACATTATTGTGCAAAATGTTTATATATCTTTTCAGGAACAAAAGATGTCACTGAAGTGCCTCCAAGATCACAATTATGACAGAGACAAATGTAGTATATACTTCAAAAATTACAAAAACTGCAGGGAGTTTTGGGTAAGGACATCTTATCGTGTTTACATTAATTAACGCAAAATTTGATGGGGAATCATTTGATAATCTAGTTATGGGTATAACTACCAGATGGACAGCTCAGATGGGATACTGTACATGTATACTAACATCTCCCTACTTTGTGAATAAAGGAGGATGAAAAGTATCGCAACAGATTTCGGACAGTCATGTGTTGGATTTTGGCCATTTTCTGAGGATTTAAACAGGTGCATATGTTAGGCCAATGCATTACCTCCAGGAAAAGCACTCATAGAGATGTAATTAGTCATTCCTTCAGGGGTTTTTAAGATATCCATTATGGGTGACCAAAATTAAGCTGAAAGCAATGGATCGTAAGAGTTTTCCCTATGGGAAAATAACATGGGAAATATTGTTTTCCATTTTGTCTTAAAGGAATTACTTAATCCTTTAAAGGGGTTAACTGTGTGTCAAAACGCAACATATTGATGCAACAATAATTGAAAAAGCAGGGGTGGAAGGGGTTGAAAATCAGGACAACATTTCAAAAAAAAACATTTGGATGGGTTGTTTGCATCTTCTCTGTCTCAAAGTCAAAATCATTTTATCATCTGTATGAGTGCCTTTCCTGGAGGTAATGCATTGGACTAACATATGCACCTGTTTAAATCCTCAGAAAACAGACAAAATCCAACATATGACTGTCTGAAATCTGTTGCAATACTTTTTGTGCTCCTTTCCATCTAACCTTTTTAGTACAATAATTATATCAATTAAAATGTATTCAGATATGTTGATTATTTTTACTCAAATCTGAGTAATATACTGCATGGTCTAAATCAATTGTTTTGATGGATGTCTCTTGAATAAAACATTTGCATTTTTATTTTCAGTCTATGATAATGAAAGAACGGAACAGAAAGGGCATAAGCCCATCACTTCCCCCTGCTGAAGAGAGAGAAACAATACAAAAGGATTATATAGCTAGAAAAATGAGTTGGGTAAAAGATTAGAACAATTTAATATAACATACTGGTTTAAAGAAATGTTTGGATGATATACATGTAACTTGGACGACTGATGTGAAATAGTGATTCAAAATTCGAACTGCAATGTGGAGATGGAACATTCATGCCATAAAGCGTCTCCATCTGTATCGATTTCCTGAGAATTAATGGCCATAACGAGTGCAACAAAAAGGTGTATTCATTGTAGTTATGGCAAGTAAAGATCCAGGAGGATGGTAAAGAATATAGGAGATATGATATTAAGTTCATGGTGTACCTGTGAATTTGCCATTTGTTATTGTATGCAGGTACATTAGGTGATTTGCACAGTATTATGCAGTTATGTAAGCGACATATCCGGGATAGAAATTAGGCAAGGCAAATGTAGGCTAAATGAAGTATGTTACATTTGGACTTTATTTCCACAGTTTTAGATTTGTTGTAGTTGAAAAAATGTCTGAATATAATTCATACTTCTTTAAAATTTAGCCTCATGTCTGACCACACCCATGTTTGTAGTCCATTTTTGAGATGTAGGAAGATAAAGACAAATAAACAGAAAAAATTAAAATATGATATGACTTTTAATCTGGTAATTTGTTCAATGGATGAGGATTTTTGGGTATTTTACAATGTACTTTTCAAATATCTTATTCCCTCAAATACAGAACAGTACATTTTTTCCAGAAAATAAAGTGTTTTATTTACAAAAATAGAATGTTAACATTTTCTCTTGATTTCTTGATTCAAATACATATTGAGAGAATATATGATATTAGCAAGGGAGAAATTCAAGGGGGGTTTACTTTTAACAATTTTGGCCCAAAAATGGCCAAAATAAAGTATAAACTGCTCAGAATGGTGAAAAACTGCATAATTTTGTAAAAAAATTGGCTACGGGCCTGTATAGACATTAATAGTTTAATAATGAACTGTTTTTCATTCAGATGAGCATTCCATATTCAATCACAAAAAAACATAAACAAGAAACCATCAGATTTTCTCTCAATAGGCTAAATAAATGAAAACAACAGGCAAAATTAATGGAAATGATAAATTAAACATGGAAAAGTCCCTAAAAACAACAGGCAATTTTGTGACAACCGGTGAATATCTCCTGTTGCCAGCTGCTAATGAAACACCTGCATATGGCTTCCATATGGGATTCAATCTAACAATATGCTGTTTGTATATATAGAATCATCATTTAAACTATTTCTCTTATTCAGGGCCTAATGTATTACTAGGCTCATTATCATGAGCAAGACATCTTGGTATTCTGGGTTTCGCCCGGGGATAATATCTCTTACTTTTCTAAGTTAACACTAAACGAAACCCAAATCAAGGATTCTCCAGTCAGCCTCGTGTTGAATCTTGATCACGTGTCTCCAGTGGGGGAATATCCAAGATGGCGACCGGTTCGATAAAATTTTGTCTTCATTCTTTTATGAAATTCTATCTCAACTTGAAGGTATTCTATTTAATATTTGGAATTATAAATTGCTCGACCAACGGTGAAGTCCAAAGGCCGAGAGGTGTGGCGATTTCAAGTAGGTTAATCACGAAATAATATTTTGAAAACGTTTTCTTTTTGTATTCTTTTTGAACGAGTCTGTGGCCGCCGGCCTGTTGTATGGCGACGTGGAATGATTTTAGTGGTTTAAGAAGCAAACTGGTTCAACTAATGAAGATTTAAGGTTCCATTCCCAAATGAATAGTGCAAATGTCGTACTTAGCATGCACAGGAACCTGTATAAACTGATGGGAAAGCTAAAGATAGGTAATACCTGAAAGAGAAGATGGATATCATTATCTCTTATCTAAACAAGGACTGAAACAGAGGTAGATTGCCTAACCTGGCTGAAATCAGCTCTGAAATGACAATAACTGCATGTCCAGCCGTCATTCTAGGCTAATTTTGTAGAAAATAGATCTGTCCATCCTTCTACATGAGAATTTTTACCATAAAGATACATGATCGAGTATAAATCCATCAGATTCTACCCCTAAGAATTTCCATTTTAGCACCTTTGTTTGCGCAAATTCTCACCAGTTAATTTTCGAACATAGTGCGACGTCGTGATGTTTTAATCGATGTAAACATATTTCTTACATATTTCTTTATCTTGATGTGAAAAACCAAGCTATGATATTGGTAAATACGCCAGGAATCAACATAATATTATTCCAAGCGTTATTAGAAAATTTTGAATATGCCATTTTTGTTTATCGATTTGGACCAATCAGAGGTGTATGTCATCTCAACACAGGTTTACATTCTAAGTGTATGTTATCTTTGAACTCTGGGGCCTCTTGGCTCAGCCCATGTAGGTAATTGTCGGACAAAGGAAGGCCTGCATCAGTGCATTGAGTGTCCGACAATAACCTACATGGCCTCCCTGTACTCTTCATTGTACCTGTAATAGGCAAGACTGATTTGGACTGTGGGAACAATCATGATTTGGCAGTAGATTGTGGTGGGAACAAATAGACTTTGGGCACTATGGTATTACCTAGTGAGAGCCATGTTTGTATGAAAGCACTTCCCTGCACTTCATTAGGCCTACCCCTAGCCCTATAAAGGAATCAATTTGTCTATTGTTCGACTGCTTCACAGAAAACTTCTATTTTCCAGAAGCCTCATTGTATCAGCCTGGGAAAAGTTTCTATTGCTTTGATGGTTCAGGAAAAATAGAGTTTGGTCTCATCAATGATGATTACTGTGACTGTGTAGATGGATCAGATGAACCAGGTAATCTATATAAATTTTCAGTAAATTTTCATTTCATTTTAATTAAAACAACTACTGTATGAATAATGAATCAGTGATCTTGTTTTTTAATTTATATCATGATTAGAATAAATGTGGTCCCACTGAAGGTACTGATCATACTTCTTTTTATGATGAGTGGGACAACTTTGGGATGACCCCATGGTCTCAACTTGCTTGTATAATTATGTCCAAGATGGTAATTATGTTTCATTGCTGCCATGACACTGACTTAAATCGCCACATACCCAATATCAGTCTTGAACCTAACAAAATATGATGGCACATTGCAGGAACATCAGCCTGTACAAATGGGCAGTTCCATTGTACAAATGCAGGGTATAAACCTCAGTACATCTCATCTGCTTGGGTCAATGATGGAATATGTGGTAAGTAAAATTGTATATAAGCTGACATATTATATCAAGCAAAAAATGTAACTTCTTTTAGTATTAAAAGTAGCATTAAAAGTAGCATTAAAAGTATGAAAAATCATATATAACATTTATACAACTTCTTTTAGCATTAAAAGTATGAAAAATCATGTGGAACAATTTTCTAAAAGCTGTTTATCATTAAAAGGTTTTTTGTTTTTCTGTAATATAAAGATCAAAAATGAATTCTGCTTTCAGACTGTTGTGATGGAACAGATGAGTACAGTGGTATTGTGTCTTGTGAAAATAATTGCATGTGAGTTAATGAAAGCTCCTATACTCATTAAAAAATCTTTATTTTATAATATTGAAAATCATTTATTTTCTGCAATCCCATTGTCAACCTATAACATGACATGCTTTAATTAGCTGGATAGAATGGGCTATTTTCCTGTTTGTTTTTTTACCAAAGTTACCTTTTGCTAGTTACCATGTTAAAATTTACCATGATTTGCATGTTGTTTTCTTTAGTTTTGACTGTTGTATGGGATTCTAGTAAAAATCTCCTATTATATGGAATGTTTTTCGATTGTTTCAGGGAACTAGGCAAAGAGCTTCGTGTCCAGCAACAGGCAGCTAAGGAGCTTGCTGAGCAAGGTTATCTTCTTAAAGTTGAATATAGTAAACAAGGATTAGAAGCCAAGCAAAATAAAAAGGTATGACACCTTCAGTCACTTTGGTTTAAGATTTGTGTTATACCTTCCATACATATTTTCTTTAGTAATGGATATAATATAACCACAATATGCCTGTGAACGCATAGTGATCTATAATCATCAGAAATGTGTAGTTTTCAATGTAATACTAATTGTAGAACATTTTATGGTAATTACAAACTAAACCTCATCCAAAAATATCAGGATATCTTAAGCCGCCTTCCATGTACTTTATTCCTTTTGTGTAGATTGACCAAAAGTTCATATTTTCAGGAAAGATTAACAGAACTGGCACTTGAGAGAACAGCTCAAGAAACACTGAGAGTAAACTTAGAAGGTGATTGATATTTTAATCATGCATATATAAGAACCAGTATAAGTATCATTAGAGATCATTCTGGCAAGATTGCAAATTACAAATCCATGCAGTTCTCTCTTCCAATAATGGAATAAAATCATTCAAACATTATAAGTTATTGAATGATTTGAAGTGCAATACAGGATATATTATGCTCGAGAAATTCCATCAAATCATTCAATAACATTTTATTGTGTGATCCTCTGTATTACTACTGAGATTGTCCCCTCCGAACCAATATTTTCTGTATAGCGACGGAGATGATTAACGGGAACAATCTCAGTAGCAATACAGATTGGTACAGCACAAGAACTGACCAATCAGAGGGCTTAATTTTAGATCATACGATAAACAGATTTACATGCTCTTTTAGGCCACTAAGTTTTATAATTATTAAATGTTTCAAATAAATAATAAATTGAATAAAAGAAATTGGTAACAATTACTTATAATCCTGCTATATATTTTCAGCTATAAAAAAAGAAAAGGAATATCCAGAAAAAGAGGCAAAAGATAAGCATCAGCAAGCCTGGGAGGGTATGTACCAGTGTACAATTTTTGCTTCAAAATAATTTTCTGGAAATTTATGGATAATATACAAGTATTGTCATCCAGATCTTATCATAATAAATCTTTACAACGTCTCCCTCCATGGTCAATGGACCAGTAATGATATTAGAGGTTTATTTGATTAATTAACTCATTCAGACTGCTTGTTTTATCTTACAGAGGAGAAAGCCAGGAGAGCTGCTGAGGAAGAGAAAAAATCTGCTCTAGAAGCTTTTATAGACCTAGATACCAATCAAGACAATCAGTATGTTCATAATCACCTATCATTTCATTAGAAATCTTTGAAATCAATCACTTTCACAATGCCCTATTCATTAAAGAACTTTTCAAACATCAACTTTGTCAAAATATAAGGTCCATAATTGTAGTTTTAATTTCCAAACAAATGCTGTTTGATCAGGATATAGTGATAGAAAAAGCAGAAGAATACATTTCTTTGATTTAAGGATTCATTTAACATAGTAGTTTGGGAGAATTGTTACTGTGTGTGCTAACTTCAAGGAATTGCCATATTTAAAAATCAAGTCAACATTTTCTTTCTCAAATTGTGTATTGGATAATGTGTACATACTACATATTGCATCTTGTTAGATGTTGCGATAGGAAAGCACAATCAAGACCCCCTGGACTTTTGACTTATTGAGCCAAACCACACATTCACCTATCTACTTACCAACTAAGAGGTCCTGACCAGTCGAATTATTTTCGTCAAAATTAATTTTCTGAAACTTGAATATCCATTTGTTATCTGATTGGTCGTTAAATATGTTTACCAATATTGGTTACGTGAACAAAAGAACTCCGTAAATGGCAGTTCTGGAAATTCTTAAAGAAATTGACAACCGGCTTTGAATCTGATTGGTTGCTTGGCTCAAGACGCGTGCCAAGTTTGCCGACGCTCGTGTGCTCCTGTCATTTGAAAGGGTTTCCCTTCGATGCCGCGATGGAACTCAATTGTGTTCAATTCTGACAGTTGCTTGTTCTGTTGATTTTCTCAATATATCGGCAATACTGTACTCATACTTTGGTCTTAAGATATATCTGAGGTATGTAAGATATTACATAAGCAATTATAATTGGACATCACGGATTGTCCAGGGGAGAAACCTAAGGCGTAATCTACCTTTAAAGCTGTTGACACACAGGCATTTTCCCATTGAAATGAGAATTTAACTTTACTCCAGATTACACGGACCTGAACTTTTAGTAAATCTCAGATTCAAGAAAATTCTTAATCATAGGAAACTACAAAAGCGCTTAAGGGTAATATTTGATGTCAATATATGATTGTTAATATGATGGAATTACATGTACTCTACTCGATTTATCCCTACGAGCAAAGTTCGATAGGAATATAGTTATGCTCTCCATCCATCAGTCAGTCCATTTGTAATTTCTAAGAAAGTAGTGTCAATAGATTTTCATCATATCAGGTGGAGAGATATATATTGGTAAATAGTTTTTTTCATGATAGGGGCTGTTTCGAAAATGGCTGGAATTTTTAAGAAAATATAACTTTTAATTACTGTATAACATTACATGTATGGATGCTTTTTGAATTTCTTGTATTTTCCATGTTTTTCACTAGGAATTTTCATCAATTTTGAGACCTTCCTGAATGACGACTTATAATAATACCTAATAATAAAAGGCATCTTTTGAGTAGATTGTATTGTAAATGTATTACAGTATATTTTTCCTGATTCTTGCCTGAGAAAATACTCAAATGATATGAAAATTTGCAGTAATTGGAGATCTCTTCAATGTATGGCTATATTATGACAAGTATAATTGTATAATTTTTCTGATTAATGCTTTGGAAAATCCAAAATGCCTTAATATAAAACATGAATATCTAATTCTCATATATGGTAGATATTGTGAATTCAGGGCCTAATCTGAGAATTCACAATTATAAGGAGATCCCTTTCAAATATAAGTATATTATACTGAAATCAAAGGTATATTTAAGTGGACAAAAGAGCCCACAAAAATTCAAAATGGCCACCAAAATCTTGAATTGGTTGTAGTTCTGAGATTCCACAGATGTGGCAAATTGTAAATATCAAATGATGACAAATTTCAGACATATGAATAATTTGTTAATTGGGATTTGCTACTTAATTGAGTTGCCATTTTCTAGTTCAAACATTTTGTAGTTCAAAGACATTATGGATAGTACATATAATTCATCAACATTAAGCCTCATATTTCTTGACATCAAGCACTGTGTGTTTGCTTTGCTAATTGCTGATACATTGTGTGTGCTTTAAAACTTAACCGGTGATCTACAGTATTCTCCTAATTATTGTGTGCAGTGAATGTATTAACATGATGTTGAACTATGTGTTATAGAGTGTCAATAGAAGAGTTAATGGATCGAACTGAGTTTGATATTGACTCTAATGGAACGGTGACTCCAGATGAAGCTAAGGTATTTTACTTTACTTAACAATATGCTATGTATATATTAGAGGTCCCACAATCCACTGAGTATCAATACTGTCAGTTTTTCTTATATGTATTTTTGTAAATATCTAAACCCCACAATGAAATACAGTAAAACCTGTCTTGTCTTAGTGAACACCTCTCTTTAGTGAACACCTGTGTCTAGTGAACACCTACCTTCAGTGAACACATTTTTCTGGCTCTAAAGGTGTTTTCTGTACACAGGTTTTACTGTATTGAACTTGATGGCAATTTTAGAAAATTAATGTGCTGGGAGCCTGTAGGGATACATATCACATTCATTCCTACCTTTATCTCTTATATTTGTCTGATTTTGAAATTTTTTTCAGATCTGTCTAGGGTCCCGAGCCCCATGACATGTAAAAGGTTGAATATGAATATGAAAATATGAAGGTTAACAATTGAATTACTGTAAAAATCTTGAATTGGATCAACAATCCAAATATCAAGAGATATATTAAACCTTTATGTAAAATTTTGTGGGATCCCTATTATCCATAGTTTTATGTGTTTTCCTAATACAACTTTTTGGACATGTTAAACAACTTTAACTTTATACAAAATCTAACTTTGTTTGTCCTTGCTGGTTTTGAAAATATTTTCCTGAAAAGAAAAAATTGATTATTCAGAATTTTATTGATATGTCAGAGTATAACTATGCAGTTTCTCAATTTCTACCAACAATTTTTACCACACATACAATACATACACTAAAGTTGTCTTGTATTTTCCATGTAATGTTATAAAAGGAATGTACAGTACTATTCATAAATTTATAAAGAAATGAATTAAAAAATAAAGGATGAACAATGTAGAATACAAGTAGCTAAGCATTAATTCTTACTTATCTGATAGGAACACTTGGAAGATAATGACCAGGTTGACTTTGATATGTTCCTGGAGAAGATCTGGCCAAATATCAAGGGAATATACAAACCTGTTGAACAGGAACCAACTGAAACACCAGATGAAGGAGCACAGGAGGCCAGAGGGGATGAGGGAGAGGTATGTGCAGGAATGATCAAGTTTTGATGTCTTGTATTAGATGTGACTTACCATGAAGTAGCAGCACAGAGTAGAGAGTAGAACATTGTGCCAGTAGGAACATTTTCTGTGTTATTTTAATCAAATGCACCTTTGCTTTTCTGTGATCTCTAATCTATAGCGATCTCACTCATCTTGCATTTGTGGTTGGTTGTGTTAATATTTGGTCTTACATCAAGCCCTAATCTCTTTACCTTTTGGGCCATGAACTTATGATCGCACTTTCTTGAATCTTCCCTCAGCTGAAAGAATAAGTAATCAATATTGCTAAGATGGTTAACTCCCAGTACCCTGTATAATAGTTGGTCCTCTGAAGCCCCTTGGTTGTAGAGTTTAGGCAGGCTTATTAGACTAAACCTATGGCAATAGGAGAATATTCCCTGGGGTTAACAGTGTAAGGTTATGCGATTACATTTAGGAATGTCCTCCTGTATTATGTGTATGGTGGAATGGTGTTGGTAGTTGTTCTGCTAAAATGCATGAAAATATTACATGTATGTTCTTTTCCATGTTTGGTTATTTTCATATCAGTTTTAACTGAGAGCTTGAATATTAAAACTCTTAATACAAGCCAAAACCTTTATTACTTTGTTTTATGAGCTAAATTATTTACAATCTCTTGACAATATACTGGGCTTTGCTTTTCATCATTTGCACATTAAATGCTGATTAACCAGATAGAGTGAATGTAGTTTGCTGGTGATAAGTACTGTTCGCTTTCAAGAGACGGGGATATCGAAAACAAGCTTGAGAATGTGCATTTCTCAGATGATTTAATCTAAATACAAAACCATTTAAATTTCTTCGAACAAATTAACTTTTTTATTATAGACATTTCAGAATCACAGACATTACTGACTAAAGAATTCATCTTGTACTTCAACCAGAAAGTGTTCATATTTTGAGGTGTTAAGTATTGAAATATATTCATTCTCAGCATTGCAGTCCTAATAAAAGATTGTAGAGTATAGCAAAGTTCAGTATATAATTGAATGTCTTACCTACTACCTAACCAGTATTTACTACCTCTGTAGCCTAACACCACTCCACCTCCCCCAATTGACTTTCCCCCACCACCAGGATCTTTAAAAGAAGGTGACCCTGATATTGCGGATCATGACGAATATCATCCTGATTTTGAAGAAGAGTATGATGGTGAAGATGAGGAAGATGATTTACGTGAAGCTTATGAAGAAGAGGAAGAAGAGGAACCTTATGATGAGGAGGTACAGGGGCATTATCACATGTTTCATGTAAACATTTTACACAATGAGCCTGAAGTTTATAGACGATGCTACATGTACCGATTACCGAATCCCTACCTATACTTTAGTTTGACCAAACCTTGCTGTTTTATTTTTATTTTGTATCACAACCTAATTTATTGAGTGATTCATTTTATTATGTCCCCACCACATAGTGTGTGGCCATATTGTCGTCCTAGGCGCGTCTGTCTGTCTGTCCGTCTGGTTGTCTGTCTGTCCGTCCGTACGTCCGGCAGTATTCTCCAAAACCGCTACAGGTATCACCTTCAAATTTTCAGGAATAACTTGTGAGTGCATACAGATGTGGATGAAAAAAAAATGAACTCGATAGCTACTTCCTGTCGGCCATTTTGAGGTCAAATGCTAAAATTCTTGTCTGCAAACTTTAAGAAAAACAGCTTCACAGTTGCTTTGAAAACTTTAACATCTTGTTCAGCTCACTTCATTCTACATCTGATTAGGTTTTGGACCTGTTAGCTCAGTCATGTCAGCCATTTTCAATGTCTGAAGAAAAGTTAGCGCGATAATACTTTGTATCATATTGAATGGTGTTTTTGAGTTTTCATACTTTAACTATTTAGTAGCTTTATAAATAATTTCAGGTGTACTTTGTTGAAAAAGCCTATGTTATTGTTAACAGTAGTTATATGTGATAATTTTGTAAAAGGAAATTAGCAAAAACTCATAATCACTTTTTTATTGTCGGCCATTTTGTTTTTTTCCATCCTAAAATCTTGTCTGTAAAGTCTTGTCTACGCGTTTTCAGGTGAACCGTTTTGTAGATCAATTTCAAATTTTTAGGGATGATTCTTAGTATGAAAATCTAGATCTGATTAGTTTTTTTGGCGTTCTGGGTAAATGTCAAGGCAGCCATTTTGGATTTTCCGTCCTAAAATCTTGTCTGTAAAGTCTTGTCTACGCATTTCCAGGTGAACCGTTTGGTAGAACAATTTCAAATTTTCAGGGATGATTCTTAGTATGAAAATCTAGATCTGATTAGTTTTTTTGGTGTTCTGGGTAAATGTCAAGGCAGCCATTTTGGATTTTCCGTCCTAAAATCTTGTCTGTAAAGTCTTGTCTACGCATTTCCAGGTGAACTGTTTGTTACATCAATTTCAAATTTTCAGGGATGATTCTTAGTATGAAAACCTAGATCTGATTAGTTTTTTGGCATTCTGGGTAAATGTCAAGGCAGCCATTTTGGATTTTCTGTCCTAAAATCTTGTCTGTAAAGTCTTGTCTACGCGTTTTCAGTTGAACCGTTTGGTAGATCAATTTCAACTTTTCAGGGATGATTCTTAGTATGAAAATCTAGAACTGATTAGTTTTTTGACATTCTGGGTAAATGTCAAGGCAGCCATTTTGGATGTTCCATCCTAAAATCTTGTCTGTAAAGTCTTGTTTAACTGTTTGACGGATCAATTTCAAATTTTCAGGGGTGGTTCTTAGTATGAAAATCTAGAACTAGCTAATTTTTGGGGATTCTGGGTAAATTTTAAGGCGGCCATTTTGGATTTTCCGTCCTCAAATTGTGTTGGCAAAGTCTAATTGTCTACTCATTTTCAGGATAACCATTTGACGGGATCACCACTTGGTGGGGACTTTTTGTACACCTTTTTTTCTAGTGTTGCTATTTAATTGATTTCTGTGCTAGCTACATGTACTTTCTCTTTGTAATAATTGAGTGATCTCTTTGTAATAATTGAGTGATCTCTTTGTTATAATTGAGTGATCTCTTTGTAATAATTGAGTGATCTCTTTGTAATAATTGAGTGATAACTTCATTCATTGATTCTTTTTAGGGGCATATTGCTTATGATCCCAGATATTTACCAAAAGGAGCAATGCTATATAATCAGGTTTTGTATACATGTGCCAGGAATTGAGTTGGTTTATCGCAACATAGCAGTTCCATGGAGATTTATGATTTGTAATATCCGAAATTTGCTTTTGGTTTATTAGTGAAGGACCATTTTGAGGGACTCAATCCTTTCAGGCTACATATACATTATACATGTACCAGGGTGTGAATGAGATGTATAATTTGAATATCTAAGATTTGCTTTTGGTGGTTTTGTTATTGGTAGTAGATGACCCTTTTGAGGGACACAATCCTGTCAGGCTTTATATACCAGGATTTGAATTGATTTGAATAAATCCCAGATTTAATATCCCAGTGAAAGAATTTGAATGAGATGTATAATTAATAATATTTGAGATTTACTTTTGATTTATTGAAGGGTCATTATGAGGTAGTTTTTGTCCAAATATAATAGAATAGGATATATGAATTATTTGCATTATGGAATGATTAATACAATGTTGAAATATTACAGTAACAACATTCGGAAGCTTATTAACATGAACATTCTCGCAAAATTAGAATTTCCTATACTTTGACTCTTTTACTAAATCTATATACATAAAATATGATGTAACAAACAAGCTTCATTCAGCTTCAGTTCATTGATAATGATTTAGATTATGATTGCATTTTCTGTGTTCTTCAGGATAACTCTGACAATAAAGACAAAGCTGGGGATAATGATGACCAGATGCCAGACTACGATGAGGAAACACAACAGTTAATTGATGGTAAAACATCCCATGTTTATTTCAATAGCTTTGTCTTAATCGGTCAGCAATACCCACATTTCTAATTTGCCTTCAAGTTGAATATTTAATATTATTAACAAAGACACAATATTATGTATTAGTCATGTATGTTGTATAATGTGTCAGCGTGAACTGAGGGGATTTCTTTCACAATGTGACACTCAAGTTCTTGTTTGGTGATCAGGAGCCCTAGAACTAGTATTCTTGGTTTCAAACTGGCTGTATGTGACTTTATGTAGTCATTTGAAGCCATCCTTCAATTTATATCATTTACGTTTTGTTGATTCCGCAAATATATTCTTCTAAAATCAGCTTTAAGGATGTTGATCAGGAAATTTGTCCAAACTGTAGAAGTAAGTAACATATCGTTACAGTCTTCAACTTTGTTTTGGACAGTATTAAGTAGTTTGTATCTGTAACAAATGGCAGGTGGTGACATTTGGCATGTTAATGCTTTGTAAAGTTTTCTTAATGCTGGTAGCTAGATGAGGTAATTATTAGTACTTAATGCAACACATGTCATAATAATTGCATTTCATGTTTACAGCTGCTGATGAAGCAAGGAAAAACTACAAAGAAGCTGACGATAAAATCAGTGATATAGATAGAGAAATGACGTAAGTTAAATCTGATTGTTCTCCAGCATTTAGTTTTGGTTCACAGTACAATAACCTAAGCTGCCATTTTCTTCAGTTGTGTCGATTCTTAATACACATATGTCAGGTTGAACCCAGTTCTATTATGTTCAAAAAATGGAATTGTTTTTTTTGCAGAGAATGTAATGAACTCATTGACCTTGACCTTGGGTCAGACCATGAATTCTTCCCTCTTAAAGGTCAATGCTATGAATACACTGATAGAGAATACACATACAAATTATGTCCATTCCAAAAATCTACACAGCGTCCCAAAAATGGTGGTGCAGAGACTAGTTTAGGGTAAGTAATCATTGTACTCATATAAAGTTAAAAGTAGAACATGGTATGGATTGTTTATAGACAACACCATAATGCACCTTGCTGCCCTAACATAAAGTATCAAGAAATTTAGAAATAATTGTTCTTGGCTAATTTTCAAAACTCAATATTTTTCATTTTAAACAATCATAGACTTTTATATGTATTTCTTAATATGTCATGTTTTCTTCTAGTAAAAAATTGATCATTTTGAAAATCTTATCCTTTGCCGAGAATTGAAGTTTTTCTGCTGTTACAAAAATTAATAATCCCTTTTGAAAAGTATTATCACTTGACTTGTGGTTGTGCTGTAACTGGTGGATCACATTTTATTCATTCAATTGCCATTTATAGATGTTTCTACAGGTATTTTTATCAATCTTAGATTATACCAATGTATATCAGGAAAGGATTCCATGATGAAAAGCATTAAACATAATGATTCTCTTTTTATTTATTTATGCATAAACATAGAAAAGGGTTTTCTTTGATACACTATATTTTGATCACTCTAATTTCATTCATGGTCTTAAAGGTTATGGTATATTTATTAATTTAAAGCACACTGGGTGTTGATATTTTTTTGTTATATGTATCATTGATTGCAGTCATGATATGTCTTCTAATGTTTCCTGTCATATGTCAACAATCTATGCAATTTTTCTAATAAGTTATTTGCTTTTTAGGACCTGGGGTAAATGGGATGGACCCGCAGATAACAAGTACAGTGTAATGAAATATGAAAATGGTCAGGGATGTTGGAATGGACCTAATCGATCTACAACTGTAAGTTCATACACTTTTTTCTGGAGAATTTACAAGTTATTATGCAGATGTTATAGTCAGTTCTTCAAAATATTGTTGATTGTCTTGACATTTGATTAATAGATGATGAATGAATAATGCAAGTCAAAATTCAAAATTGTTAGTGGCCAAAACAAGATATAATGATTTTAGATATAAGTTTAGCGGTTCTACTTTTTATTACTGAATTGAATATGATAAATGCATTTTACCACTTACCACTATCCCCAGACCAAAATAGTTGATTCTGCAATTCCGCAGGCTAAGGCAAATTCTGTCCGCGCTTTGTATACACAGAATCCTGGGGGCAGTGACTTACATTTAAAATCCACTAACATCCTAAAGCTAGGTTTACATTGACAGGGCTTTTCCACAAGTGGAAACAAAAAAGTAATTGATTTTATAAAAGACCTATCTATACCGATCAAGTCCAGCAAAGGCCCTGTGAAGTCTGATCTAAAAATCCTACAAAGACTGGCAAAAGACTGTAGACAATCAAAAAGACCACTCAGTGTCATCAGGCTTAAGAAATTTGGAAAATGGATAATTCATTGATCTATTCAATTTTCTTCCAGGTAAAAATCACATGTGGTACAACCAGTGAAGTTTTTTCTGCCACAGAGCCAAGTCGTTGTGAATACCAATTTGAGTTCAGAACTCCAGCAGCATGTAATAAACAAGTTGATACAGGATCACACTATGATCATGAAGAACTATAGTGATATGCAATCTAGGATATTAAATTCTCATTCACATAATTCTGAACATAGAAAATTTTGCATGATCGACTTTTGGAATTTGGCACTATTCATATTTAGAGGTTTTGGTTGTGAAAGCATATAAGATGGTCATAACTCACATATCTATCATGCAAAATTCTCTATGTATACAGGAGATCATAATATATTCCAAAGGAATAACATCATGGACATTGTGTAAAGTAGGAAATGGAGTAGATGTTAAAGTCAGAACTAAGATATGATGTCTATTCTTACACTTACAAAAGTTATTGCCAAACTCAGAACTGGTGTGATGGTTACACTGTATTTATCGATAAAGCATTGCTCAATTTGCTCCAAATAATATTCTCTTCAGAGCATATAAATGTATATTTTGGTAGAAGTTAGCAGGAGTTAGTTGGTTAGAGCATGGGAAATGGTTGCCCCAAGATAGTTGTATGAAAAATGATTAACCCCAATGGTATGCACTATCATGATGAGATTTTTCAATTTAATGTGTTATAAAAGTTTAAACAAATACAGCTCTACTTAGTGTACATTTACACTTTAATTTAATATCCATTCCTTAGCTATTAATGTCAAAAATGGAGAGCTTAATAAAAGAAACTAAATTCTGAAGAGATTTCTAACAGTGTACTTAGACTATTTAATGTGTGTGTGTATGTATCATATATTAATATATGTATGCTACTTATTGATGTCATTTTTAGAGGTTGATCACATAAAACTGTCAAAATTATATAATCCCACATGTTAAAAACATCATGTCTTTCAGAAAAATGCAATATGCAAGGGACCAGGCAAATATGTCAATGGGCACCTCCAATTTAATTGAAAATTAAAAAGACTTTTGAAAAAAGTTGAAGTTTGATTGTAATCATAATGTTGTACTTCGATAAAAAAATAAGCACCAACTTAGAATGAAATATGCCTGGGGTACCGGTATGTATTTACATGTATTAATAGACATGCCATTCTGACCAATTTTCACAAAATACAATACAATACTCATACTACCCTCACATAACAATGCATCTGAGAGAAATATACATCTGCATCCAGTAATGTGATTGGTTAGTGTAGCTAGAATACAAGTCACATAATCACTGATTTGCCAAAGAAATTTCAAAAGCAGTGACATTTCATTGCTAAACATTCTTTTTTGTATCAACTTTATTATCTTGAAACATATTATATCATATAAGAGAGGAACAGTACAAGCAATAAATAAAATTGTAAACAAACATTCCTGTTCATGTTCTTTATTTAAAGAAACAGTTCTTAAAATGATAAATTATATTTATTTTCAAAGCAAGTCCAGTAAAATATTTCATCCTGTTGCCCTTGTTGTGCCTCGTCAGCCATTTGTTGCTTATATGCAAATTGTGCTCATGCTTTTTGATGGAAATCTCACTGTCCAACCAGAAAGTCTTTCTGACCTTTTTTCCTGCAAAAAAAGAAATAATTTACCTATGTACATGTATTCATCCATTAATGTGTTAACACAACCATCTGTAGTCTATTTTAACTGGGTACATTACCAGAAGTCTTGTTCTCATACTGATATTCTGATTTCCATGGCCAAAACATCAAATTGCAAATACCTTGGGGGCCATTAAGAGAAACTTCATTAACATTGTTCTCTAACTGTGATGTCATTATATCCATGGTTACAACAATTGATTTACGAATTTATAACTAAACGAAGTTTTTGTTAATGACCCCCTATGGGTCATTAATTAATATATCAGTTGTAGTCATGACGTCAGAGTAAAAGAAAATGTGGTTTAGGAATTTTTAACTCTGGGAGGTTTCTAGTAATAATATATTGTTTAAAGAAAAACGATTACTAGTTAGCAAATCTTGAACGGATGTAAATTATTTTAGTTCCTACAAAGTATTTACCATTTGGGAAATATTTTAAAACCAACTCTCAAAATCATCTAAAAATGAAAAACACTCAATCAATAAAGCAAACTTCAAACACTAAAACACAAAGGCAATATGTTGCTTGGCATCATGTGGGATATGCATTCTAACTGTTAAAGGATTTAGTACTAGAATTTATCCATAAGATGAGGAATAATGCATGAGTTCAACCTTATGCATTAATATATAATTAATAATATATAATTACTGAATTCATTCCACATCTGAAGGATAGATACTTGTTCTGAATCATTTTCATAGCAAAACAGAAATCTTAATCTAGCTAGCAATTTGCAATGGTGAAGTGCTGGTTAAATATAACCATTTATTGGCATTCAGATACCATATGCCTATCAGCCTATATGCCTTCTGATTGTCAGAAAGCGCTAAAACATGAGATGCAGGTATCATATATTTATCCGATGGATACTAAATGTGTATAGGGATAACGACACAAGATAATTTTGGTATGCGCCACTTAAATCGTATCCGACTCATTTGACGTCTAAAAATCGGATGATTTTCCATTAATTTTGAACTTGCCGCCACATAACCACTTGACTGTTTGATCTGCAACAATATACAGTTCCAAGTATGTACTCAGTGAAAATGATGTAGAAAACAACAACTTTTAGGTCAAATTACAAATCACAAAAATAGCGGCCATTGGATAAATATGATATCCTATGATTTTCTCGGGCTATCATTTTTATCCATTCTTAGATATCGCTCATTCGCTGCACTCACTCTTGAAGATGGGTGAGCAATCATGGATAAAAATGGTATCCCTCAAAAATCATAGGATATCCTCTATGTATTGGTGAAATGTACATGTGTTGTGCTGCATCGAATTCAACGTGCACACTATGATACTGATGGAATCTGTGTTGGTGATGTAATCAGTGCACAATCAATACCTCTGCTTCTGTCTGAATTTATGGTGGGCGAACTTCAGTCCGGAATCTACCCCCTGGCCAGTCATGTACGTGACTGGCTGCTTAGACGCTGCCTCGTGAGGCAGTTTTTGATGCAGATTTCTTCGGGCAAACCTGTATGCACATGCGTTTACACTGATTTATGTGATATTCATTTTTTAGGTAATCGATTGTTAATCAAGGTAATCCTTTGCTATTAAAGTTCTATTTGTCTGTCAACATGTAAAGCGTGATATTTACAATGGATACTAGAAAATGTTAAGCAAGGATATCAGGTTCCTATACTAATAGAGATAGTACCAGTGGTGGTTTATGTACAGAGACATAAGGTAGTTATTGCGTTACCTGTAAAGGATTTCAGCAGAAGCATTACATTTATTGTCCATACCATAGACTTGGTCAGTATAAAGGCCAGACAGAGCACGTCTCCTAGTGTTAATTATAGCAAAGATGGAAATGAAAAGCATTAAAATTATGTATCATTGCTAGAAGTAAAGAAAAGGCAACAAAAGATGCAAGACAAGTTTGGGGAAATTGTCAGCTCACACTATTTCTATTTTTCTATTTTGTGAAAATGACAATACTTGAACGTTTACTGACTGGATTTTTCAATTTCTTTCATTATTCTTTTTCAGATATATATTGAATGTAAGATCGTATATTTATTGAAAATTCTGTTCCAACTTATTAAAGCCAATTGCTCCCACGTTTAAGTTAAATTGCAGTTTGAAATCCTTCACGTCCGTTGGCGTGTGCTAGAAACCCGGGAGGATTAACCTCAGATTGATCGGCATGCCCTCTATATTTGAACATTATTTCTATCGCCCTTAAGCCTATGATATTATACCACACTTATTAGGATTTTGTTAATGATTATTAGCAAATTTTCTTTTTTCAACATACATCTCGGAAAACTACTAATAGGCAAAACAGTTAATGAGACTGGACTATAGCAGATCAATGACGCATCGAGGGTACCTACCTTTTGGGCATTTTCTCATCAAATACATTTCCATTGAGCTTGGCTGGGGCACTTGAGATGGCGCTCCTGTTATAGTCTGATGTTAATTTTAATGACGATGCCCATCTGGGTTGCCTTTGGTCTGCTCCATCCGTGGACTGATGAAAATACAAAAATTGTTTACACATGTAGATCAATTAGTTCATTATCAATATTGCGATATTTAAATTCCTATAAACTGTTGACTGTTGTGTTTGAAAACAACGTTTCTATGGTATCCATTCTTCTACTGATCATGTAATACAACACTCTGTACCTTTCCTGTTCCATATGCGTAAAGTTGACCGGCCCCTGTATCCTTCAGTCCAGCTCGTTGGGATGCGGACTTTTGAGCAGGAGGCCTGAATCCAGGAGGACCAAGATGCTGAAACAACAATGCAATCAGTAGAAATAATGCAATCATATTAAGTATATGAAGTCTTACTGCATTGTCTCCAACAATAATGATGGATTTTATGTTGAACAGACAACGTCCTACTCCATTGATTTACATGGTGACCTAAATACAACTCTTTCCCTCATTATCTTATACACAACCAGGGCCAGTAAGGGCATTTAAAAAGGGGAACCGTAGGTTAATCCATAATTTCTTTCACATCGGCATTCAGGAATCATTTCATAAACACTGTATACATTGTTTGTTGTGTTTTTAATTTTTATCACATCCCACGACATCAAATCAGATACTAGTAACTTGGATTTCGGCAATGATAATGAAATTGTTTTTTTGTTAATGATGCTAGTAATTGCATTGTTCATTTATTTATGAGGAACGTGTTCAATGCTGATATCTGGGAATATAAGATAAGAGTAATGATACAATTATTTTGACCTAGATTTGCATGTACACATTTCTGAGAGAGCATATATTAGTAGAGATCAGACTTACAGGATTGTGTGCTTCTTTAACCCAGTCGACATCTATCCCTTCCCTCAGTCTAAGCAGATCGTTCTCATGTTTCAATAACCGACTATGTGCAGTTATTCTCGAATTCCTTGTTTCCCCTTCATTGTCATTCGCATTTGAATCAAATTTTACTTGTTTGGCTGAATTTGTATTCTGCCTTGGAGTAATTACGGGTGATTTGCTATTAGTGTTTGCTGCAATGAGATCAGATATTTTAATGATTGTCTCACTGTGTTCATCCAACTGCCCAGCTGATTCTACTGAATTTTCACCGGAACTATTTGAGGTCAATTTTGGAGAACCATGAGGAGCAGGAGGAAGTTTCACATTATCAGTCCGTCTTTTCGAAACGCCTGCATTCGAAATATTGCCCGATAATCTTCTTGATTGGTCAAATGTATAGTGGCTACTGTTAGCATCGTTATTGTAATCTTGCATAGAGATTTTCTTCATCGTCAATGGTATACTTTTGGTGGTACTCTCATATTGGTTTCCATTACTCTCCGGGCTGCTCCCTTTCCTCCGAGCCACAGAATGCACCAGAGGTGAGCTCGAAGACATAGAGGAATAATACGTATCGATCGCAGCGTACGGATTCCTAAACCCATTTGGGTACTTATTCCATGCCTGACTGGGGTCAATTTCATGTTCAGTGATATCACTGATGACATTTGAGCATAGACTCTGTGAATCAATTTGATCAATCATATACTTAGACAAAGCTGTGTCATTTGACGCTATGCTTTGAGTTGCAGAACCTCTCCTGGATTCCACATGTTTGACTGTAGAACTTCCACTTGAAGAATGAGTATAGCTTAGCTTTGGTTTGGGTAGAGGTTCTCTATTTTCTGCAGTATTTACAGCATTCATATTAACACCACGCTTTAATGATTGCATTGCCATGTTTTGTATTTGCAAGTTTGTCATCGATGGGGCAGACTTGATCATTTTTGCTCTTGGGGACAACTGTGATTTTGGAGTGCCTTGGTTCACAACGTGCTGAGATTTTGCATTTATTTTATCCTTTTCCTGATTAGATAATTTTGACAATGTCTTTATACTATCGTGAAGAGCGTTACTAGATCCGACCTTAGCCTTTTCATTACTGCAATTTTTATTGTTTGCCCATTCTTCCGCTTCTACATTCGACTCGTTTTCATCATTATCGCCATGGATGCTTGGGACGTGAATGTGTATTTCAGGTGCTTTCATACTATCATCATGTTTTTCTGAAAGAACAGTCTGGGGTCTCGATTCTGCCAACACAATAATTCGTTTTGCTCTGGATAACGTATCATTTTTGTAATTGCCAACAGTATCAGACTCATTGTTATCACTATTTTGTTTTGCATTATTATTTGCATTTCTGTTTTTTGATTTCGTCACATCAAATTGTATGGACATTTTATTCAATTTTGCGTCAACACTAGAAAGTGGTCTGACTAATTTATCCTTTGTGGTTTCAGGATCTGCGGTACCAGAGATGACGCATAACAATCTTTTGTAGCGTTCTGATGGCCGAGGAACTGGTATGTGTTCTAACCTATCTTTACTTTCAATGTATTCTATTAATTTGGCGTCCAAATCAATGTCAACGGCCTTTGGGTTGTATTGTTTGAACGTCGCGTCTTTGCTCGCTTCATGTTCGTTGTGAAATCTGTCATGTAAGCTAGCTCTTGTGAAGGTTTCATTATCTTTTATGGACTCGCATCGTGATCCTGGTTTGGAGAGATATTGCACGGATATATCTGGATACTTTCTACTTGTAAATGCTGTGTCTGGAATTAAACCAAATTGACGACGTGAAACCAATGCAAGTTTTGAAATAGAATTGAATCTTATATGTTTTTAATCTTTTATTTATATTATTTTTAATTGCTTAGACGTTGTTTGAGATTTAGGTAAAAGTTGACTTCTGAAAATGTTTTGGTCGCTATTTACAAAATTCAGAATTTGCCTTAGACAAACGTTTTACAAATAGATAATAAAATACAACAATAAATTCATAATTATTCTCTAAATATCCTAGACAATATTGTTTGACTATCTGAGGTAAAAACTTTATTCATCACGGTTGAATTGACTTTCCTTATTTTGCAATACAAAATTACATAGGCTGATAGGGTGTAGTACGCTTTAAACACTTTTATTGCTAGATGCTTTGATCTCCACGATGTTTTTTTTATGGAAAAGGCAGTAAATTCAAAGGTGTTCAAAAACGATCACTTCATAGAATTTTAAGCAGAAATTTCACATAGCACATCTTGATAACATTGGTTAAGACTACAACTTTAGCCAAAGTGGTTTAAAAGCATGAGGTCACTTGAAACTATATTGATCATGAGGCCTTATTTCAATCCAAGAATAGGCAACACATCGATGAACTCGATACCTTTGGAGTAAACATACTGTTTATTGTTAATTTACAGACAAATATAACTTATTGTGATTTGCTATTTTCAAATACTTTCTATTAAGGGGTGAATAGTCAGGTACACAAATTCTTGAAATGTGAGACCTGGTGTGCTAAATTTATCTTTTTCGCAAAGTTTGAACAATACTGATTAAGGGAACGCACAATCGACACTTACCAAACTTTTGTTGTAATTGTTGCCTTTTCTCGACCCACTGTTGAAAGTCTGAAACACAGTTGAATAATTAATTTCAGTTGCATGTCTCACGCGAATAAACAAATAAAAATAATAACAATGGGCGAAGGTATATTAAATGAGCGACGGAACATTTATTAGGAATAATTAATCTAAATAACAGTTGACTTTTACTTATAAAAAATCTAGAGTAATGTCTGTCAATAACTCAAAATAGGTTTTTGCAACGGATCCCCTGATTATCAATTATCCTTAGTTATTTTTGCAGGCTTCGTATTATTTGAGAATTCAAAGAAAAAACTTAGATAAAAAGAATGCTATGTTACCAGACGAATCCCCAGAATTGCCATCATCTGCGTCTTTGTTTGTCCATCCTATCAGAGTATCCCAAGTTTCATGTCTCCTTAAACAAAAGAAGTGTAAATATGGAATATGTGTATCAAACCTTTGTGATATACACTTTGTGTATGGATAAACATGTATACCATTTTGATGCATGAATATTGTAGACTCATGATAATACCATTGTTATGTAAAAATATTTACATATTTACATCATACCAATGCGATGTACATCTACCTTATGTCCATTCCATTGTGATGTATTATATACTTTATTCATCAGGTGGCAACACTTGCAGAATATAAAAAAGGGAAAGAATATCTACGCATAGCAACTGTCCACAAACCAAGACACACCAAATTCCAATTCCAAATCGAAATCGAAATGTTTCAGTCATAACATTCATCACTGTCTAGAATTATGATTCAAAAAAGGAGACGACAGTTTGACTTTTTCAATAACAATCTGTACTTTACATTCACCAATAGATTATTTATAGTACAACTATTTGCACATTTCCATCCATTGAAATGTTTGTTAACCAGAACATGCTACCAGTGCATATAGTTTACTTAACAAATACTTGCATTGGCTTAAAAAAATTGAAGCAAATATATAAGTGCATACTGAACTCTGTTACTTTGTTTACCTTCTTTAAAGTTTAAAATCAAAATTTTGTTCTGATTTTAAGTCAGGTAAATTTTCGTATAGCCTAATCAGAATGAGATTCCATCGATCAAGTAAGCTCGAGACACAACGAACCAAAGCACGTTCTTTTTATTTTGAGTTTTAAAAATATATGAAGTCGCTGTTCATTTGAAAAATACCCCAAAAAGAATGGGTTCGTTGTAAAATTAGTAATGTTCTTATTTTCATTGTTCATACTTCAAAATACGCGATCTCATCCCAGGGTTTTTGCTGTTTATAGCTTTCATGTGATGTGAATGGACAGATCAATTAGCTCATTACTTATCTTTTAAAGACTTTAGTAAACTATGAATATACCAACAACAAATGTTATTAAGATAACGGGGCAAGAGTTTTGGGGGATGTTGTAAGCTGATTAATCAGAACCACAATAGGCGACAATCAGAAATGGAATCCACATAATATTAGTTGATGTTGGTTGTCTTTTTCATAAACCCCCAACGTACCCTTATTTGATCTGACTCGGATTACCATAGAAAAAACGTTAAAATGTCGAGAAGCAGAAATGAGAGACCATGGTTACAAATAATTTGTTCTGATTTTTCGATGCCCTTTTCAATAGTCTTCGTTTTTTCCAAGAGAGCTTCATCGATACCACGGGTGTTCTCTTGAAAGCCTAGGTTTACAGTATAGTGCTCATCGCTTCTCACTGAAAACGGCTTAAGTGTGAAAAAAAAGTTGTTAAAAATTCAAAAAAGCATTAAAATGATTTTTTCAAATAGACATGTAGTATGTATCTATATACATTTATACACACGTTACCCAAAGCATTGAAGTAAACTCCACGGAACAAGGTCGAATTTCAAATTTAAATTAGGGCCCGTCTCAAACGTGACGATTTTCACAGTTTCAGCCCGTGATTAATATGCCAAGATATTCACATTAGAATGCAACATTTTCAAAAAACCAAGGACTTTCCTCAAGCTACTCTCCTGTCCTTTAAAATCATAAATGAATTTGGACTTCAAGTATTTTCCTTTTGATGTGCATCACTTGTCAACATGAAACATCCGAATCCATCATTTTTCTCGATTTTTTCATACGTTGTGTTTTTAATTTGAGTAAAATTGAAAGGGATCGATCCTATTTGAACATGAATCGATTCGGTCATGAAAAATGATGCTTTAGACGAATAGAAAAAAATTATTTTGGGAGCAATGATCATTTGGCTGGTTCACCATTTTTCCGCGTGTCGTTTTTCACAAGAAAATTGGAAACAAATGACAATGAGTTATTATGTTCACCTAAGAGAAGTCTTAATTCAAGAATGGTAATTTTGATGCCTATAGCTAGGTGAATTGAGAAACAAGTTTGTGTTTTTGTATTATATTATCACCTTTATGTTTAATTTTCCGACAAAACTCGACATAAAGCATGAATAGTAGAATCGTGCCGTGTTTCACTTTCTCCAAGGAAAAAGCAGTTACGTACATGTTACATATGTGGACTCGTATGCAATCATAGTTTATATGTACTGAACACCTCTTTTCTATTTTCAATAACAATGTGCACACCACATTATTTATCTTTTTAAATCAACTTCACCAAAACTTTTCACTGATTCAAGAAACCAGCGCTTTTACACCGTGGCTTGTCGTCAAGCACCTAATCACCCTAGTTCCATTTTAATCTCTTTTAGTGTATGGGGTAAGACACTTTGATTTGTTTTTTACAATTTGAGAAACTTTTACTTTGGGTGTTTACTTTTTAGACCAACTGCAGGGTGACGTAGTGAAGCCTTTCCTGCATGCACCACAAACAGCAGGGCAACCATGTACGTGTTCATTCCAAATGACATTAAAGGTATTCAATCATGCATTAGAAAAGTCCCTTTTGAAGATTTCAAATTAAAGAGATACTTTTTCATTTAAAATAAATGGTAACTCTACTTGATTGTACGTTATCATTTGAAAGATATAAGAATGATATTGATGACGTATTTAAGTCTGACGTAGCCAAAGCATAAAACTCATCTGCACTGTGAATATGAAATTTTCTTTTGTCTGCGGAGCGCTTCATCGATGCCCCGATCTCATCACAAGGTCATTTTTCATGGCCACTGGAAACGTTCTTATCGTTATGTTTTGCTTCATTCGAGCTGAGTTAAGTCGCTAGACCTAGAACGATATTTTTGTCAGACTCGATACTTTTTCAACGGTTTCTGATATCACATAACAAAATTCTCAGCATAAACTCAATTCTTTCCTGTGATTTTCATTTTTTCTTTGAAGTTCTGGAAGTTTAATATTCACTGCAATGGGTTATCCCGGTTTTGTTTTAGAGAAAGAGAACATTGAAAGAATTAATCTCGCTTTGTTGCCTCCATTCTCGAAGCGTGCATTTTGTGCTGATTTCTTTTGCTAGTCGGTTGGCGATATATTTCAAAGAGGAGTGTTTTTTGCATTGCTTGCCTTACATATTCTTTGATATTCTAGGGGATTGCTTTGATTTTGCTTTTCTCTATCTCTTTCCCAACGAATTGCGTTTCGCAAAGCTAGGCATATTGAATATTACAGATCATATACAGATCGTGCAAATGGAATTGAAATAGATAAAAATCAATTATAACACGAAAACATCGTTGAAAAGCTGTAATCGTTCATATTACTTAACTAGAGTTTTCGGTTTATGCTGTTCTCCATTAATAATAATTGCATTCATTGAAAAGAAAACCGAATGCAAACATCAAGTGACTTTATGATTGAATTCAGCAATCCCCGGGAATACACTGAACGAAATGTTATTTACTGAGGGTCAACTATTTTGGGCTTTAATGGTCTTCATATAACATTTTTTGTTATGACTTTTCCGATAAATTATGCTTACGGAATTCCCAAATAACTTGTCATTTGCTTGCATGTTACGTATTACTGTAAAGACGTACAAAATGTAAAAAGCACATTTACAAAAGGGCAAATTCGTTTGGTGTTATCGTTTCCTTGCCTATAAATTGATCTTTATGCGTAATCACTGAATAACTTTAAAACATGTGTTTTAAGAATATGGGTCATAATATCAAATTAAATCAATGCATCTGGGATTTATAAAAATGGCTAATTACTGCTTTGAGTTCAATGCTATAACCGTGACGTTTTTCACGCGTGACGATTGTCACAGTTTCGCACAATATCAGTTCATAGATGAGGTAATGCTTGTTATTTCGAAAATCCTTTTATGTTATGAGGGAGTGGTCACATTGTTTTCTTGAAAATTGCCCCATTTCAAACAAGACTACTGTCAATATATGAGTAACACCACGGTCGTTTTTCACAAGCAAAACTGTGATTTTTCAGAACTTTTCAGATCATGTTCATTATAATTCAATCACAACTATTATCACGATTTGTAACACTTTGGTCTGATAAACTGAACTAAAGACTTTATAACCACGGATAATTAATATATCTCGAGTTTCCCTACTGCCGCCTGGGCCTGTTTTAACGACCGTGACGTTTTTCACAGAATAAATTGTACACTTACTATAATGGGTATATATAATCGGTAGTAGGTGAGAAGCAAATACACTGCTGTCATCACACTCTGACTGAATGTTTTCTATGCCAAAAGAACCAAAATGAAAAGATGCGACCATTTATAACTGACAAATGACATGTTTTCACGGGCGTGTTGTCCTGTTACATCAGCAAATTCACGAAATTCACAACTTATGAGCGAATTTTCAAAGTTATTTACAACCGGACTGATCAATAAGTATGCTGACCGAATAAAGATAAAGGCATATTATTTTAAAATACATAAAACAATTAGAAAAAATAATTTTAGTTTTAGCTATTTTCAATTACACGAAAAATACCCATTTTTAACATTAATTGGTTTTGAATGTTAACTAAGCTTCGTGGTAATAATCCAAACTCGATGATTTATAGTACGTTTCATTATTTATTTGAAGATTGTCTCAGGTTACCACGGTAACAATATTGATCATGATCGAACACGTGAAACTATTAAATTCCAAATATATACATTCAATCAAATACCTTTGATGAGCGGTAATAATCCAAACTCGATGATTTATAGTACGTTTCATTATTTATTTGAAGATTGTCTCAGGTTACCACGGTAACAATATTGATCATGATCGAACACGTGAAAATATTAAATTCCAAATATATACATTCAATCAAATACCTTTGATGAGCGGATGACTTGTCTCTAGTCGTTGTATGCCTCTCCTTTGATTGGCCATTTGATCTGGATTGTAAGCCAGATCTGCTGACCTGCTTATCCTTCGTTGCGATGGCATTTCTGTCAATTGGTTTTATCCTGGATATCATGCCTTTTTAGGAGTACTTGTACCATGGTACCTTATTTCATTATCATTAGTACAATCATAGAATCAGCAAAAATTGTTGTAACGTGTATGCTCTTCCTGATGCGTTTCGAATAAAATGCCTTAAAATGGTAGTCATTAGTGACCTTCATTTTTGAATAATGTCATTCTGCATTCGACACTCATTGATGAGGTTCTATTTCGTTAAACAGTTATTAATCATAGCGGTTGAGTGTTGTATAATATCGACATATCCAACAGTTTCTTCTGTGCTTTCTGAAGGATCAATGTGGTTAAGGACTTCCAATTGTCGTCGTGTGTATTTACCCCTCTCTCTATTTATACATAATACTCCACTTCTAACATGATTAATCATCGATAGCCTAGTCATATTATTTTAGAAGTGAAAACTCCTTTGTGAAAGAAAATGAAATGTGATCTCATTTAAGCTGATTTATACTATTCAACTTTGAGTGGTCTTTTCTTCATTCTGACTGCTGTGTACTATGTTAGCTAGAACTTGTCACGTATTAAACTAAACTGGCATTTTGTGTTTTTTATTTGTTATACAATTTTATCTGTAATATTTCGAATTAATCGACTATTTTGGGTTCTCGTTTTTGTCAGGATAATCGACTTAAGGTAAGGACCAACTGCGTTTTTATGTCGAACTGCAACTTGTAACTAATGTTAAAGGAGTAGTACGTTACAGGTCAATACATCGTGAACGTATTATGGTATTATACTATTATATTGTGCAAAATTTGAAAGGACCTATTGGATTCCATGGGATTAAATGTATTGACAAAAGAAATATTATTCGACTAAAAACCAAATTGTTTCGTTTAAATGCAGTTCATTTTATTTAATTCGTATAAAGAGTTACTACTACAGTAAAACCTGTCTAACCCGAACGTCACAGAGACCATCTAAAAACGTTCGGATAAAGATTAGAAGGTGTTCATATTTCAAGGTTTTTGCATTTGCGAGATTCTGGACTTTGAAGAAATATGAGCACATTCTCAATAAATATTTATAGTTGACATTAGACAATATTTCAAATATGACTGTTTACTAGATTGGAAGGTGTTCTGATTGGCCAATTGTTCGGATCTACATGTTTTACTGTAGTTAGTTCAAGAGTCTCAATTACAGACCAAGCATATCCAGTCTTTTACTACCGCCATCTATCAAAATGACTACCAATGATAAACATGATTTACCCAGCACGGACCTCTATACCATCATTTAACGTACATCTCTCCTCATTCGACTCCCTGCGGAACGTAGTGAAGAACAAGTCAACGAAAATGGAAAAACACATCGATATTCAATTAAAATAAACTACGAAGGGTAACATTTGACATAAAATATTCAGAAACAAAAAACATATTTAACAAAAGCCAATTCATACGAATGATTAAAATATATTGAGAAAGCCACCAAAACTGTCAAACTTGAGAGTTCAATTTCTCAGGGACAATTAAAAAACGCATTATTTTGTTGGTATGTCATAGTCTATTTCATTGTCCAATCAATCTTATTAGCATGCACTTTTTCCAATGCACTTTTCTTGCATGGAGATATACTATCTTGTAATGTCTTTGTCAAAAAGTTAATTTATTTATAAGGATATAAATGACAGATATCGGTTGCATATTCTACTCTTGAGTTTTTGATTTAAAATGCTACATATCTCGGATTAGTATTCGTAAAACATCAATGCAAGTTGCATGTTTAAAAAAACTAAGTAAACTGTTCAGTCAAGGTATATTTAAGTTCACTCCTCTTCCAGGAGTTAAAATGTTTAGTCTTATCTTTTTGTTTGAATTTGAATAATTCAAAGTAAAGTGCAGGTATGTAGATCACTAGTGTTATTCCTTTCATTTTCATTAAACTTCATTTTAGTGTACTTTACTACATCCAACTAGGGGGTACTGCGCTTTTGATATATTCAATATAATTCAAAGAATACTGAATGGTTTCATTTATGCCTTCTGTAATAGCATGATGCGATCAAGCAGGATTACTCTGGAGAAAACAATAGAAGTATATCTAAGCTGAAAACCCTGGCTGAAAAGTGTGATTCAATTGAGGTAAACGTAGAAAGTTATTTGACACTTGGTTGTAATGCAACTTTTGGAAGGGGAGAGTACTGCGTATGTGGAACACACTCTGAATTACACCAAGTTCAAAGTTTCATACGATGGTTGCTTGGTGCTTCATGTTGTTCCCCAATCGAGAAAGTCCTATTTTGATCATCTATTTAACAATATGATAATTCATCATTATTATCGCATTTATACTCCCATTCTGATACTCATAGCATCTTTCTGTTTCACTTCAGGGCTGAGAAGAAATGAGATGTCATGGTTTATCATGATGTTATACTCCTGACATCTATTTCTTTCCAATGGTATATTCAATATTACTCGTGTAAATAGCGTCTTTCATATTGGCTACTTAGCTCAACTAATACCCACATTACCATTAAGCCGTTTACCGATACAAAACGATTAATTTATTATTCGACGTATATTCTAGACCTGTATCTAGATACCACCATATCAAATATAAACAATTCAATCCAATGATATTTCGGATTTTGATACAGAATATATAGAATTAGTGTTGTTTTAATTGATCACATAAGTACTATGATGCCACTCTTTTGAGATAATACCAAATGGATTGTAAATACAAGACTTTGAACTTTTGTTTGAAAAGTTACTGGATACGCAAAGGAAAACAAATACAAACAATACAAACATTAAGAGAATATAGTCTTTTCTTCATCTTCGGATCAATCGAACATCAATCCAATAGATAAGAATTTGAGTCAACGCCGCTAAGATCCGAACCAACACAACAGACGTTATGTCAACTCGAATACTGATGAACACAGTAATGATGAGAGAAGATGAAGCCAAGAAAATAGCCCAGAATAGCGTCCCTTCTACCTCTGTGAGTAATAAAGCGAAGCGTCAACGTCTTGATGAAATCAAACGAGGTGTTGCGAACTGGAAGCGTGTTGAATCATTAGCAAAGGCACACTGGAAGACGTATAAACCAAACACACATGATGGTGAAGCTAAACAGAGGAACTTTATGTTGAAACCATTGGATACACTACCATCTAAACCACTGAAGTTAAGTAGCAAGGTTCTAAATAAAGTAACATCCAGCCTAAATGAAAATTCCAGTGATTCACCGATGAACATCGAACGTTCATTACGTAACTTATCGAGATCAACTTCCACCTGGCAAGGCGGTGAAGAAAAGACACCAATTTTACAGAATGATACGTTCTCTAACAGGTTTGCCCTGAATAATTCATTGTATAATGAAGACCGTATAAAGAAAAGAATCAAAAGGATATGTCTGAATGATCATGGTGTTGTCAACGAAACTCGACCTCCTGACGAAGGTGTACGGAGTAAGATGACGTCAAGTTTTTCTTCTTCATACGCAAACTCCTCACAACATGGACAGATAAATAAAAGGAAATACCAGTCAAAAGTGTCATGTCATTTTCAATCCAATAACGGTACAGTTGATGTTATAAAACCTATTAAACTGGATTCGTTGTCCAGTGGACGTCGATTTAGAGACATAAATGAAAGTATGCAATTTGATGGTGACTTCATTCAACGAGAGAAGACATTTGCTATGATGAAACGGGTCGACGGAATGCTTGAAACAAATCCAGATATAGTAGCTGTAAATCGTGATCAACCAGAACAGTGGATTGATACGTGTTCAACTGCGTGTAGTGATTTCATCTCGTCAGCCATAGACATTGCTGTACAGTCGGACTTTGATGAATATGATACCATTGATAAGCAGCTGCCACCCGAACGGCAGTTCACATTTGTGAGAACATTTTCTGACAATGCTTCGTATGTAATGTTTCACAATTATTTAAGGGAGTTGCCAGATAAGTTCAGACCGATAAAAACATGTCAAGAATGGTTAGATGTACATGTAGATATTAATGAAGTATCTCATCTGATTTTAGAGTAGCTACTATCTTCCCATCTCTCTCATCAAGCTATTATATGCCTTCCTGCCTTCCGTGAAGGAACTTGTGATATTATACAAATATTTAATTCCGTTGAGGTGAATGCTTGTGCATTTTCCACAAGTGATATTCCACTAAGCTCAAATTCACAATTGATGTTCCACTAAGCCCAAGACAGAAATAAAAAAGGTAGTAACCATACCCTATGTGAAAAATGTATCAGAGCAAATTAGAAGAATAATGAAGAAAAAATATCGAAGTAGCTTTTAAACCTATGCAAACACTTCGAAATATCCTAAAGATAAGGTCAAACAGGATCGCAAAGCGAACGTGGTATATCAAGTTCCATGCAACAATTGTAATAAAAGTTACATACACGTAGGAGAAACAAGTAGACCTCTTGGCACTCGCATCAATGAACACAAAACAAAAGCATATAAGAAAAAGAGTCACTACGTCTAGAAACAATAAAAAAGAGCTTTAATAAATCAGCGATAACAGATCATATTCTCCAAGATAACCACGATATTGATTGGAACAATTATAAAATAGTTAGCACAGAAAGGAACAGAAACAATAGGTTGATAAGAGAAGCCATTCACATTAGAAAACATAAAAACTTTAATAGAGACATGGGCAACTTCAATCTAGATCGCTTGTGAGATGAAGTTATATTGCCATAGCAATTAATTATTTTTTGACGTTGTTAAGGTTTAATGACGTAGTGGTAGATTTACCTGTATTCATTTCAACTGTTTTCAAGTGATCATGGATGCAGTTTGCATTCGAAACGTCTCAAACAACAAACAAATTGTAATAAAGTCTGTGACAATGAACACTTATTAATGGATTTAAGTGCTGTTTGGAGCCTATAATTGAGATGAATGAATAGTGACAATTCCACATGGCACATATGCACATTATGATGTGCAATAGCCAAATATGAATATCCGTCCCATTCATTTTTCATGTATTCATTTTCTGTTGATCTGTATTGTAGTGTACATTGTATGTATGTATTGAATGTAACTGTATGTAAATTGTTTTTATTTGATATTAAAATAAATAAAATAATTATAGAAGAAACAAAAGTTTTCATTAGTGGAACATACATTAACCGTTACCTTCCTCAGGATTTATAAAATACGACTTGTGTCACATTTATATCTGCTTGGAATTCAACGATGTTCCATGCGTTCTATTGTCATGATTCAAGTACTACTATGAGGGGCATAGTAATAAAAAATCATCATCTAAAATGTCGTTAAATACAAAGATGAAATTGGTCCGTCTAATTACCGAGAAATCAAGCATTACGTATTCTACTTTAATAAACGATTTTACAAACCAAAGGTTTACGTGCATTTATTCATCTTGGTAAAGCATGGCTAGCCACACGTTAAGACCCTTTCCATATAAATGGAAAAATAGATGGCATCATGGGTATAGGCAGGGCTAAATAACATGACAAGAGTCACTTAATCTCTTGATTTAACAAGTAATACCATTTGAATCAACTTAAAACACCATTAGAATGTAACTATTATTGACATATAGATTGTGATTTCACATTAAAATTGTGATCCTTGTAAAAGTAAATGAACTTTTGAAGGTTTTTCAACATCGGGATTTAGCCCGACCATTTTTAGAAAACTTGAAAATCTCTAGAATTTGAATATAGGTTAATAACAGTGCAAAAACTTAGTTGTTTTGATAGAAAATTACGAACAGAATTCAAATAGAAGAAAGTATTAGTCTTTAGTGGTTAAAAATGCAGATCTCCAAATCTCATTAAAACGAGACCTTAACGAGATTTCAAAGCTATATGGAAAAGCCACTATTAGATAGATGCCTTCCCTAGGCTATTCTCTGTACTTGTGTCCATGCCTCATTTTGAGTAGCGAGTGTAAATTCTTTTCGGAAACATGTTTTCCCTGTAATATGAATTGGAGATATCTGACAAAATATGGATAGCCTAAAATATAAAATTTGTGTTTTTGAAGATGCGAAAATATCTTGAACACTTTGAAACTGAAGTACAGTTCCTTAATAGGTCGTTCAGTTTTCTTGTTTTTGTTCTACACAACACTTGTGTTTATAGCCACGCGTAATTATTAATAAGCGTAATTAGATTATTTCAAGCGTCGAAATAGCTTATTTTCCTCGACGTATCCTATTCACTTACCGTTATATTGAGCGATCTCGATGCGTCAATAATAATATGTTTTCACTCATCGGCTTTAACGACCCGCGATACCTTTTTTTCATTCATTTGAGACGCAATTGATATATTGGCAACAAATCAAGTGTTCTAAATGATTCTTCTTCATTTTGGAATGTTGCTCCTACCCGATATTCAAAGATGTGTCTAAAATATTATACTTTACATTGATCACGATTCTTGTACTTTCTGTCTTTACGACTCGCGTTCACATTTGCAAGAGTTGTTGATTGCATTGCCTTGTTCGTTGGTCGAACTTCAATTCCAACTAAATCCAATTAATCAATGAAGAAATGTAATATCATGTTTATCCAAGCAAATAATTGTAACAACTACATTATTTTTTAGCAGTTTTGACACCTAAGCAGGGTAGCCTAGTGGTGTAGACTGAGGCTACTTTGCGGTTGAACGTCGTGGGATACGGAGGTCCCGCGTTCGAGCCCCAGGTACGGAGTTATTGATCATTGTCACTACGGACACCCGGTCCGAAGGTCCAACCGTTTACCGGCCCTTGGCATGGGTTGGTTCTCTGGCCGCTCTTGCCGGAGACAGATTGTGAGACTGTGGTTGGTTCCTCCACTAACGTGCTTTAGTAAACTCCGGGAGTCATACAGTATGGTAGCGGGCCCCCACCAAGGGCAGTAGTGGAACGACGTGAATCGGTCCCAGTATGGTTGCCTTACAACTGAAGAGACTCGAGGAAATCATGCCATTCGCAGTGACCCAGAAAAGACTTTTGCTTCTTAATTTGACGTTTTAATTCATTTATTTACATACTTTATTCATATTACTTTCCAGGCAGTTATGATTTTTATTGGTCAAATGAATAAACGAGACATCTAGATACTATTAAATACATCTACGATAGATAGTATCAAAACCATAATTCGATTTGTCGGACATATATAAAATAACACTTGAAAACACAACACACATAGCTGCAATATCCGTTACGGTAGCATTTGGCACAGTCGGTTCCCAAGCTCTATCATTTTGTGCGGTCATCAAAAGATAAGGAGGAACGGTTGATTAGGCCATGGGCTTTCAACAGAGTCAAGAAATTGGCATGGATACTTTGAGAAATGAGGTAGCAACAAAAAGAAACATCGGAAATAATCCAGAAATGTCTACACCATTGTTTTCGTCAGTTCTGACAAGGCCCCGGAGGAAAAACAGCATTCGTGGGTAGCTTATTTTTTGTACCAATTAGAGCCATGACTTATACTCAACCAAGAACGGTGGGGAAAAGTCCCTATGGGTCCCAATTGAGAATCAGTTCAAATCAAAATCAAAATGAGAATCAGATGACCTGCTAAGCCTAGTATTGATTTAAAACATGTTTTATTGAAAACATTCAATGTTTCAAAATAATGAAACTGAAAAATTGGGCAAAATGATTGATATTTCGTTTGTGGGAATGAAAACTGATGATAGAAATAATACCAGTAGCCAAAAACTGTATAAGCAATTTAAACATGGAAATGATGCCAATTTAGAAGTATTATATGAAATGTTTGTGAAATGGTTAGAAAATGAAATAACATTGATAAAAATCACACTTGGATTTGGAAAGATTTAAAGTAAAACAAATGAATGCGTTTCTTACTATCTCCATGACAACGTATCTTGCTCTCTCTCCATGACAACAATTTCTGTCCCCATCAGCACACGATCGAAAATACAGTAATTATCAAGTTCAAGCTTTATGTTTAACATCCTCCGAACGCAGGGTTCCAGACATCATCCACAAAGTTCCTTCCTTCTACGAAGGAGGTACGAGTTCTGGAGGCCTGTGTTCGGAGGATGTATATTTAATAGCTCGTTTATTTAGTTCTACCAATGAAACAATACATGTACAGTATAAATAAATGTTTACTTCATTGAATACAGAATTTACCACAGTAAAATATATTTTATGAAATACAGGGTTTACCATAATCAAACATAAATAACAAAATTATGACTTTATCCTCCAGAAATACAGAAATTGATGGTTAACTGAAATTAGGTTTGTTGAGACGACCCCACAATCAGAAACGCCTAGCATCAGTTAAAAAATTTCTGGCCGCAACTGAGATGTAAAGATGTTCAAAGATTTTAAATTAAGCTTTATCTGAAAATATGTCTTTGCGCGATAAACTTTTAAATGAATATGAATATCTAAAAACAGATTAACATCCAGTCTCATATTAAAATATTGTGGAAGGAAATAAAAATGAATTTTTAATTTTCAAGACTTGTCTGTTCAATGAAAAAATCATGTATAATTTGAACCAAGGTGTATGGTAAAGTAATATATACTATTTATTTTATATGCTGATACAGTAGAATTCCTTTTCCTTTTCAACATAGCACCATATTTGACTTTTCAGGCTCCACTTTTATTATTCTATGCCTATATAATGTTACTGTGCACTGTCATAAATGTACATAATCATGTCTACATGACGTTTTGAAAGAGTATAGAGCTAGATTCAAAGCACCGTTCTTGCGAGTTTCAATTGAAAATATGAAAATGCGTACTGAGGACTGCAACTTTTTATGTCTACACTGACAATTGAACTTGAAATTCCCGCTGTAAAGATATATTCCCACGCGGACGTGCACGTCATAAAACTGATGGGTTAAGGCAATGTGCCGTCCCACTGGCACGGATTTCGGTACAATTTCAATTTCAATTTATTTACCACGCGCATCGGTAAGCCTATGTTGTTTTTCGGCACAATGCGCGTCGGTATAATGGGTTTCGGTATAATACGCATCGGTATAATGAGGTGCCCGACAAAGTCCACACTCTTCCTAGTATGTCACAATAACATAATGATCTTCAAAATAAAAATGGTTCCAGGCTTATACTGGAGTATATCAAGTTGCATACTTGCAGATAATAAGTTTAAGTACATGAAAATGTTGCAACGCATTCTTATGTCTTTTGAAAAGACTAGTCTCGGTTTGGAGAACGAAGTTCATCAGTCTACTGCACATTACGCCTGCTTTGGACAATTTTGATATTTTTACATATTGTATATTTAAATGTCCTCTTTTGAACATTCATAATTTAATTTGGGTGATATTTCTATATTTTTCATGAAAAAATTATTAGACCAGGAGACTGTTCTCAAAACCGAGACTTGTTCTTTCACATACATCCGTATATCACCATTATTTGATATTTTTATTTCAGAACTGGTTTAATAGATGTCTCATTCTATTTTCCCCAAAACATTGATTCACAGCACCTGGTGCTATTGACCAATCTACTGTGTGGGCCAAACAACCAATACTTAATGACAACTTCTGGTTCCTGTGAAGTGAGAGGCTAAAAGTAACACCAATTCTTTGGTCTCTCGTAACACTCCTGGTGACCTGGTCCCAACAGGAAAAGTAAAAGTATTTCGATCAGATGGTGTCATATTGTTAGGAAATGATTTATCTTTAAAATGATATACAATGTACATGGCATGGTTTAACATATATCATATGATATTCATCTTTAAACGTATTGATTTTTTGGCCCACTCTATATATGATAAAAAAGATTTTGATAAACAAATTAAGCTTACGAAAAAGCTTATAAGAGCTTACGAAATACTTGCATCACGTTTTGTCGAACAAAATGTGATAGACGTCGTAATATTCATTCATTCATTCATGGAATTCTTTTAAGAGTAACACAAATCGCTTCGAAAACTGAATTCTTATTTCAAAAGCTCCATTTAAACCATTTAGTAAAGGTCATTTCCGGGAAAGTGTTCATCCATGTTGCATCTAAATTTTTCAACAAAAAGAACATATCTGGAAAAGTATGCCTCTTGCTTTTACCGAAAAGGCCTCTAATGTTTTCTTTGAGATTATTTCACACTACCCTACCCCCATACCGTAGCATGTATTTCTTTAAAAGGGATACAGGCTACAGTGAAGTTGCAAAAGGTGTAGGCCTACTAGATTTTACCAGAGACATTTTACATATATTTTTTAATAATCTACGAAGCAGTTTGCATTGTATTATCACCAGAAAAGCCCCATAGACAAAAATAGAGAATACCTGCTCCATTTGCAGCCTGTATCCCTTTTAAAGAAATACAGTCTGCAGTATGGGGTAGGGTAGTGAGTATTTGAAATGGGTACGTCTTTCGTGGTCCTCGTTGACCTTTGTTCACGACTGATTGTCCATTGAATCCTCGCTAGCAACCTATAAAGTTTATTTGCCAAAAATTAAATTGTATTGATGTTTAGCTTTACTATGTGAACTACTAAACTTTTTTGTTATGTAGAAAAATGTCATAATCCCAGTTGGATCCGAGTTTTCATGTTTATGTTACTTAGTGAAGTGATTCGTTACATCATATATGTTAGTTCTGATCAATCACTGGGAAGAGTGCCATCGCCTGTTATACAAACCTATCATTACCAATGAAGGAAAATGCAATTCGATGAATTGGAATTATGGTAAGCGGTAATTTATTTGATTATTTAATACCTAGTCGGAGGATGTTGTTCCAATAATGAAATGCAACAGCCTGGTTGCTTTGATTTGAAAGGATGTGCATTAATCGATCGCGACAACGTGTGTGCCGTGACTCTGAAGGATATGTCGAAGGTGTCAACATCCCGGGAATATGTGCCCCAGATGTCACAAACTTGACTTTGGATATGTCGAAGGTAATAAAATAGTTGCCATTGACGCTGAATGTTATGTCGAAGGTTTCAACATCCTAGGTGCCTGACTCTGAAGGATATGTCGAAGGTGTCAACATCCTAGGTGCCATTGACTCTGAAGGATATGTCGAAGGTGTCAACATCCTAGGTGCCATTGACTCTGAAGGATATGTCGAAGGTGTCAACATCCTAGGTGCCATTGACTCTGAAGGATATGTCGAAGGTGTCAACATCCTAGGTGCCATTGACTCTGAAGGATATGTCGAAGGTGTCAACATCCTAGGTGCCATTGACTCTGAAGGATATGTCGAAGGTTTCAACATCCTAAGTCCCATTGACGCTGAAGGATATGTCGAAGGTGTCAACATCCTAAGTCCCATTGATTCTGAAGGATATGTCGAAGGTGTCAACATCCTAGGTGCCATTGACTCTGAAGGATATGTCGAAGGTGTCAACATCCTAGGTGCCATTGACTCTGAAGGATATGTCGAAGGTGTCAACATCCTAGGTGCCATTGACTCTGAAGGATATGTCGAAGGTGTCAACATCCTAGGTGCCATTGACTCTGAAGGATATGTCGAAGGTGTCAACATCCTAGGTGCCATTGACTCTGAAGGATATGTCGAAGGTTTCAACATCCTAAGTCCCATTGACGCTGAAGGATATGTCGAAGGTGTCAACATCCTAAGTCCCATTGATTCTGAAGGATATGTCGAAGGTGTCAACATCCTAGGTGCCATTGACTCTGAAGGATATGTCGAAGGTGTCAACATCCTAGGTGCCATTGACTCTGAAGGATATGTCGAAGGTGTCAACATCCTAGGTGCCATTGACTCTGAAGGATATGTCGAAGGTGTCAACATCCTAGGTGCCATTGACTCTGAAGGATATGTCGAAGGTGTCAACATCCTAGGTGCCTGACTCTGAAGGATATGTCGAAGGTGTCAACATCCTAGGTGCCTGACTCTGAAGGATATGTCGAAGGTGTCAACATCCTAGGTGCCATTGACTCTGAAGGATATGTCGAAGGTGTCAACATTCTCGGTGTCATTGGCTCGGGCGGGTTTGTTCCTAGTCAACAAGATGGATGGTCACGAAAGGAAGTAGGCCAAATGTGGAAATGACAATTGAGGAAACCAAAAGCTCTGAAAACCAAATGAAACCCCATTGTCTAGAACCCTTAGCCTATTCTAATTAATTGGGATTGGGGCTAGATATTTCTACTGGTCGAGTCTTAATCAGCCGATGTTCTTCTGCGAAAATTTTGCAAAGGTGTATTGAGTCAGTATGGGGATATCATCATATCCCTATGCTACCTTCATAGGAATATCATTAATCCTCATTATCTCGATCAGAAGAACATTGGTTGATCTCAACCAGTAAAATTATGTTACTGGGTATATGCATGGACCTCTATCCCAGGAGAACCATAGTATATGTATTTCAATTCAAACTGGGTCGGATAGGGGTCCTTAAACAGTTTTTTAGCTTGCTTCTAAACTACAATCTGTTGTTTTGCAGAACAACAATGTAAACTCCCATCAGTATGCAAAATATGCACTTTGAAATCGCACTCGTGCTCTAGATTACTTTCCTTCACATGTTTGTCGAATAATAATACAGTTATACTGTACTTATTGACATATAGAATTATGTAACCGCGTAATAAAGATAATAGTTGTGAAATACTTTAGAATTTAGCAAAACTAATATTTGAAAACACTAGTGAATTACTTAGCAACGACTCTCCTGAATGAAACCGTTCACTTCATTGGTATTTGTGGTGGTCGTCGTATAGCGGGTGTATAGCTCATTCCAAAGGATTTGCGTAATCTGTTTATAATTCAAGCCTGTTTACCATTATTTCTGAACCATTGACCTCTATATATTGATCTTGTAAGGTCTGATAAGTGCGTAGGCTCGATTTTCTGACCAGAGAAACTGGTGTGATTATTATTACGGTGTTGGAGAAGGTGTTGAAGAAGTACAATCTGATATTTCAGGTCATCGGAACACGGAAGAAGAGCATGTTACACTAAGGTATGAACCGTTTGGAATTGTCTATGACAATCGTTGAATCAAGGTTGAATCGATAAGATAGGAATGCACCAATGTTCAGTCTCAAGCTAGTTGTTATTGTATTAGGCTAAAGTATTTGATAGCAAAGGGGAGAGGAATCATGAGCGAATTGATACATTCAGGTGATGGTCAGATCAATTTGATGTTATCATTTCATTCAGTTATATGAATTAGAACATGGCCTCAAGATACATGCTGTTGTATAACATGTACTAGTAATTGACCGTTGTACTTGTTTACTAAACTTATAATAACATACATGTATGTACGTAATTGTTAGAAGATTTTTGTGGCGCTTGTCCGCCCACCCACACAGGCAGACGTACGCTACGCCCATCAACACAAGACGATGACAAAATAGCCACTTTGAAAAATGCTATAAAAAGATGTAGATGCATGTACATGTATATTCAATAGAAAGGTACATTATGCAATAATAATCGGATAGAGGAAAACATTTTCATTCCAGATTTCACTTGGAATCAATTCGTCATTCGTTTCATGTGTGTATCCTGGAAAGGATCCGGGGTCGTGATTTCATATGATCTTATAAAATTCTCAATACCAAAACTGAATAGACGCAATATTAGAACTTGTTTACTTCAAACTGTGGCAATCTAGGGACTTAAAGATACCTTGCAATTTGATCGTAGTTCTATGGTCAAACGCAGATGATTCCACAGTTTGTTTGGCATGACATCAAATGTGAGATAACGGATTACATAATCGGATAATTATTGCACAAACAAGGCTATAAATTGCACTTTACCGGAGGAAGTTGTTTCTACATCAAGCTGTTAAAAACAGATAGACTGGTCAAAGCAAATGGAAATATATTTTTTCACTTTTTAGATAAAACTCAAATTGAACAATATTCCGAATACGAACATCCACCCCTGGCCAAGGATAGAGGTCCATGTTTCAAAGAACAACAGGATTTTAGATAACGTTCGTGGACTAATAGACTTACTAATATAATATATATGAATATAATAGACGCTTATGTAAGTTGTACTACTCTAAATGTCCTTATATTCCATCTGTTAGACATTTATTATAGAAGATCAACAAAAGCCTATTGGTTCTTGCGGTATACAAATGAAATATTGCATTACTTACGACCATTGTATGCATATGGGTCAGGCCCGTAGCCAGGATTTGCCAAGGGGGGGGGGGGGGGGGTTCAGTTTTCAAAAATTTCCAGGGGGGGTTCACATTTGACAATTTAGGCCCAAATATGGTCAAAATCACTTGAGAAGTGCTCAAAATGGTGAAAAACTGCATGATTTTGAAAGAATTTTTTGGCCGGGGGGGGGGGGGGTTCGCCCGAACCCTGCGAACCCCCCTGGCTACGGGCCTGTGGGTGATTATACTAGCGGTAATGTGTGTATTATTTCAAAATTAGACACGATGCTTCGACGGGCGATTTCACCCGAATCGGGACCCAAATGTAGGGGCACAGCCAAACCTCATGTCTCGCTAAGTGTCAACGCCCAGTATATTGGTAGACGAAGCTCTTCAAAGAAGCAAACTATTAAAACTATTACAAATTGGGATACGCAATTACATACTAACCTCATTGAAATACCTAAATAGGGGTCTGGTAATAAGCCAAAAAGCAATAGAATCTCTCCAAATATAATCGTATTACTCATTAACGCATTTATGGTTGCATAGCAGCTGTATACAAAAATATTATTTCATTGCAATCCAGAAGGAAGGTGATAATTGGTCAACGGTAAACATGTTAGAAAAAATACTGATTCACCAACGCACAAAATGATCTTTGAAAGGATTTTGTTTTCGAATTCCACACAATTTCATGATTTCAAACTGCATCATTATTGTGTTGTATTTGATCAAATGAAAGTGACAGAGGAGTAATGTGTCCATTTTGTAACATAATTATGAGGATTCTGAACAAGAACTATATTATTAATTGATTAATATAGTATTAAATATCGGAGCATATTTGCAGTTGCATAACAGAAAAATGATGTAGATGTACAATGCTAATTATTTCTAATTACTACAGTTTCAGATTCTCTATGAAAAGAGACGATGCCACGAAGAGAACAAACAAGTAACAATAGCGATAAGTCATAACGATGAGGAGCTTTCAATCACATTGCATTGATAAGGATGATAACGGGGATAAGTATAGCAGTGTTTAAGAGCAACGTGTGATGATATGATAGCCGGACAAGGACTTCTGTGGCTGTGTTGTATTGCTACTGTGTCATCAGCGAGTGGATTGTATAATCCTTCAAACACGGGAGCAGTATGTGGAGGTCTAATGAAGGCTCCACACGGAAATATCTCAACTCCAAACTTCCCAAATAATTTTCCAGTGCCTTTAAAATGTACATGGTTAATATACGCACCTCCCGGCAAGAAAATTGCTTTATATTTTACGCAGTATTACCTGAAGGAATCATTCCAAATATCGGAATACACTTACTACCAGGATGAAAATCTCTTCATGGGACGTAGCTATATTCGTAATTTCCTTTTCGAGGACGAGATTACTTTTATCATCGGTTCTAAGCCGTACATGCTGATCCAACTAGATGTAGCCGACTTAACAAACTTGCACATACGAGTGGAGGATTTCCTAACAGATGTCTATGGGTTCAATATAACATACGAGATAGTACCCGAAAATTCACAGCCAAGATATGACGCTTGCTCTGTATACAGCTGCTCCTTTCTAGGAAATTGTTTGGCGTCCGAGGGATTTGAAAGTTATAAATGTCATTGCTTCCCTGGGTTCTGGGGCCAAGAGTGCGAATATGGTCCACATTGCGATCCAATTAAGGGCAACAACTCATGTTATAATGGAGGCTCGTGCAGGTACATTGGTTTATATTATATAATATGCAATATGATTATACATATTACACAAATGCTAACATCAAAACCAGAGAGAAGACATTTATTAACTAATCTAGTAATAAGCATAGCCATTACTTTTAGGATCTACGTTTCCATTGGTTTTGTTAAACATATTAGGTCAGTCTCCAGCAAGGGTTTTTGGAAGTCAGAGGGCCAATTGCCAGACATACATTTTCAGAAAGATGACCTTCTGCATCAATTCATGATGTCTGCTTCTATTTGGTTGGTGGACGAAGGATTTTGAGTAGTTTTACCCCCCCCCTAGAATAACATTTTAAGGGGGTACTATATTGTCATTCTATTACATCAATACTATGTTTGCAATAAGACTGATTTCAACATGATATATTGCTTATACAATTGTAAAGTATATCCTAAAGTTTTAGGAAGAAACGTTCTTTGGTTTTAGAGAAAACGCAATCGATAAGAAGAAATTTGCATATTTTATATTATATTGTTTCAGGTATTTCTTTGGGTCTAGGGTAAACTTCTGTGATTGCCCACCAGGGTTTGAAGGTAACCAATGTGAGAATAGAGTAAAGGGCTATCTTCCACCAGGTAAGACAATCATCTGATACATCGGACTACAATCATTTTGCTCCTCCTCGAAGGTTTATGACAAAGATTCAAAATTGAGCTAGAAGCTTCAAATAAAAAACATTTTAAAGCTCTTTTCTTCTTCCTTTTTCATGTTTTTATTTTTATTGGTCGTGGGGGGGGGGGGGCGATCGCACCCACCGTTCCCCCTGGCTACGCCTATGTTTTAGTTAAGAATAACCAAACACAATCAGGCCTGATCGCGCGAGAAGTTGATAGAGGGGAATGTACTTTTGAAATGATAACGATCGATGTTGTTCGGTTTTTAATGAAAAAACAATGGCCAAGTTTGCTCAAACTCACAGAGAGCCATTAACGTTAAATGTCTCTTTTCTTTTTAGAATGCGTATCACTAGCTTGTGACCAATTATGTCTACCCAGGGATGTAGAGGTTGGTGGATACACCTGCTCCTGCAAGTCGGGATTTAAACTTGACGTAGACAATAGAACATGCGTTCAAATAGGTAAATCCAAATTATAAGTGTTCAAAAACTTACAATATTCATTTAGTCATTTTCTGTTCATTTTGAAATCGGAAATGAATATATAAGTTTGGTTGCACATTTATAATGAAAAATGCTTAATCAATAACCCAACCATTTGCAAAGTGGTTTATATTACAAGGGTGGTCAAAAAAACGGCAACCCTAGTTTTTCCTAATATCTTTGTCATTCTAAGGAATAACTCCCTGAAATTTTACATATTTGTACATCATTCAATTTCCTACCAACCTACCATATTTCATGACCATCGGACTGATAGTCACAATATTACTGCATTTTAAGCAACATACCCCAGATGGCCACTTTCGGGCTGTCTGAGCTGTTCTGTTATCCAAACGAACTCCATTTCCAACTTGATGCACTGGTAAACTGTAACAATTATGTATTCTTGGGAGCAAAGCACTTTATAAAGTAGTGGAGAGCCACCTTCACACAGACAGATGCACAGTTTAGTGTGTTCTCAGAAGATAGGGTCCTTTACCTTTGATGATGCTAACAGATATGCAATAACTGTCAACATCAAACTCTATTTTGTGATTCCCATGGAGTTCTTGGGGACTTTAGGTGAACCCAGGGGGTTGAAAGGCAGCAACAGTGGTTCCAACAAGACAGAACCATACCCCATACACCAAATGATGCACAATATTGGCTTTGGGACCACTTCAATGACCACATTATCAGCAGTACAACAGACAATGAATGGGCACCCCATAGCCCAGATATGGCCCCATTTAATCTTTACCAGTGGGGATACCCTAAAGATAGAGTGTAGGGTAATAACACCAGAAAGACATTTGACCTCAAAATAAAGATCACATGTGTCATTCAGGCCATACTTGCTGAGGAATGCTGTTATGTCATTGACAGGTTTGGAAAACATGTGCAGGTTTGCCTACAGCACGATATTGGAAAACTGGGGTACCTTGTTTATGCCTAGGTCACATAGCCGCCGGGCGCCGGCCGATGAGTAGTCATCGGCCGATTTATAAATCGACCGGGCGCCGGTGACTTTTCACCGATGTCTTGATCTAATCGTGAGTATGGTCACATTAGTACAGGCATCGTACGGCGCCCGCAATCAATTGAATCTGAAAGACATCGCATGGGTATCGCAAGGCTATCTGCCGATGGCCGCACGGCACCCGCCAGGACATCGGTCGATCTACAGGCCTCTAGATTTATACTAAATTCTTGTATGACCCAGTATGACTGTTCCACATGGCATGAATGCAAGATTTGAAAACGAAATACTTCGATAGACAGGACTTCCAGGATAATAATGTTTTCATGCAATAAAAATCAGAAAAAGAAGATCCTCTAAATAGGTTCAATATTTAGAAGAAAATGCTGACATGGGGTCCCTATTCATAATTTTTCAAATTGTTTGATTGATATTTTTACTAACATGGAACTTCAATTAAAAGAAAACATATTGTTTTAATAAAAAACACTGTATTTATGCCCAGAAAGTACTCATGGTGAAAGATATGACCGTCAAAAATCACTTGCCATACTGCACGTGGTCTTTTCATCAAAGTGCACTCTGACCTTAATTCATTTTTAGATCTTTCATATAAACAAATACTATGTCTACCTGTGTCTATCTGATGCTATTAGCAAAATTGCCTATTTCTGTATCTTTCTTTTGTCTGTTCTCGTAAATTTGTTTGGTCATAAAAATATGGCCTATCATCAAAGAAATTGAAATTTTTTTCCTTTATTTCAAATGGAAAGCCCTGTTCCCTAGACACATCTAAATCTTCATCATCCACCAGCTCACTAGCATTGTTATTGTCTTTTTCCACCTGTCTTCCCAAGGCCTTCCTCATATATGGTCCATCCTTAGCCTTTGGCATATTAACTGTAATTGAGACAGTAAACGTTCGTATTAAAATTGTGACCCTTGAAAATACTGTACTCACAAAAACATTCAGAAGATTTTTAAAATAAATGATTGTAATGGTATATGCATGAGTGAATATACGCATAAAAATGTATCACTCTATTCAATGTGTATGACAGACATACACGATTAATGTCAATATAAGAACGACTAGATCAACCTACCCACCCACCCAGCCATTCAAATGTGTGTCATTGTTTTACAGTAAGCCTAATCGTTTCATTTATGTTTTATAAAAAATCTCTGACAGTGTGTAGTAAATATAATTCCTTACCTCATTATTTCTAAAACCTTTATATCACTTTATAAGTAATCATTATTAATATTTATCAACAAATCAGCACGCAAAATCCCAAGATGACCGTGCGATGCCACCGGGCGCCGTAAGATAATCGTACGATGACCGGACGGGACACGGCCGGGTAGGTACCGATGAGTTTGGTTGAGAAAAAATCGCCAAGACATCGGCAACTTTTATCTCCGCGATAAAACTCTGCCGGCGCCCGTACGATGTCTAAAAATCGGCCGATGAGTGGCGATCATCGCCCGGCGCCCGTACGATGCCCGGGCTCGCCGGCCGATTTTGAACAAAATACTCATCGGCCGGGCGCCGTAGTGAAAATCGGAGCCTATGTGACCAAGGCATTAAAGTGCTGTATTGCGACTATCAGTCCAATGTTCATGAAATAATACAGTCTAGTATGAAATTGAATGATGTACATGTGTGCCAAATATCAGGGCAAAATTTCCAAAAATGACAAAGATATGAGGAAAAATTAGGGTTGCCGTTTTTTTACCACCCTGTATTATTGACGATTGTGATATTGTTAAATGTGCATACTTTTTGAGCTACGTGAACGAAATCGAGACGCTAAACGTTTTTCCATCAATCGAACAAACATAGAGATACTAAAAGCTAGTGAGAGAAAAGGTCATACATGAACCTTCTATCGAATAACTTTTGTTGATTGTGATGAGCCTCTCTAAATATAAATACGTATTTTGGGCATACAAGGCCATTCAATATAACTTTTAATGGTGCCATACACCTGTTTTTGTTGCAGACAACCTTCAGTCAATGATAAAGCTATACGTCTTAAACACAACGAAGGTGACAGACCAGTGGTTTGGTTCAGTAAAACAAAAGGTTGGTATGCATAAGATCCCCTTCGCACAGAGTCTAGTTACAAATATGAAGACATAGCTCTCATTTAAGAAGCAAAGTCGAACGAATGCAAAGAGTAAATTAAAAAGAGGATCAGATCTATCGAGCAAGCTAAACAAAATATTATTTCAATTTTTGAATATTTTTGGCTCATATCATCCCTTACCATATTTTCTGAAAACTACCAAAGTGCATATTTCACTTTAGTCCCACACTAAGGATTTTTACTGTAATAACTACTTATATTAAATATTTCCCCCAATTTTTTGCACATTGAATCCCAATGACTCCACCAATTAGTACATGGTGGACCTTTAATAGAAAATATTGTACTTGAAATTGTAAGGAATAGATTGGTAGGTCAATTAAACATTTTGCTTGCAAATTTTTCACCCCCTATATACTATACTTATTTTCCATGTAGCTATGGCAGTTTTTCTATCTTCAAAATGGAAATCATAAAATTACTCTCCAAATAAATGATGGGACTGCGTATTTAGAACTTTATTTTCCTGGACATATCAAAGATGAAAATGACGTGATACAAATTCTGAAGGACCCAGACACACACGCATCCTTGCTGGCGATGGGACTTCAATCTGAAAATTTCTCGTTGCATTATGAGCCAGGTAAAACATTGTACTATGAATATGTTAATAAAGGCTATGTATCAATTCTGATTTTCGATGCATCATCATGTTTCAGTGGAAACATGCTCTGATATTATGATGTCATTGTTTATCATGATTATCATGATCATATGGCATGTATTTATTAATGCGATATGCTTCCCATCCAATGTCGCTTGGTACCCGTGAAATAAATAAATTAATATTTTGTATTCAGTTATTGCCTTTGAAATAACGTTGACATGTTAAATACACTCCAAACAAACCTTTCAAGCATGACCTTTCTTCGATCTTGTTCAAAGGACCAGGAATGGTAACATTTCTCTTTAAAATGTTTTCCTCAAGAAGGTCCTCTTGGAAATAAGTCAAAGTCCAAATGTGTCAATATTTGGTCTTAAACAATGATTTTTCGGACAGATGAATTGATATTTTATTATTATTCTATTTAAATTATTTTTTTATTTTACCCGCCCTTTTTAAACGCGTCACGAAATACTCAGTTTGCTAGCCTGGTGCTTAAAAATATTTTGGTCTGCTGGATTTATGACATGCCATTGACATATGTGACCACTTGTACTCAAATGCAAACATGTTACCCAACATGATCATTAAGGTGCTAAGGAAGTTACAGGAAATGACAAAACAAAAAATGTCAAAACCATGTTGGATTTTGAAATTTCTTTGATCCAAGATAACAGAGTTCTGTTTGGACCTCCAGTCAGTTTAACTAGTTCCACATATCATTTACATGACTGGGAACACAATGGAAATGGTCAGAATGACCATAAACATGATGAAATAACCTTTTCAGCCCTCTGAAAATGTGACTGAAAAATAGCTAAGAGTAGGTGCTCAGGAAAGGTCACTGAACAGAATCTTTTGACTTTTTCAGAAAATGCGCCCAATATATTGCTTTCAAAATCCAGCATGGTTTTGACATTTTTTGTTTTGTCATTTTCTGTTAACTTCCATAGCACCTTAACTGTTAACTAATCGTTTCAGCATTCTCATTTGTTGGGCTCTCCAATCAGGATCCCAATCCAGTGATACAGGGAAATATACTTACACTCATGTGCGAGTCAAGGGGCTCAAAAGACTTAACATTTACTTGGTACAAGGATGGATCGAGAGTGGATGTGCATAGGGCAAGCAGAGACATGTACATTACCAGAATGCCTATGACAGAAGGAGGACTCCATGCGTCTGTGCTCAGTATTCACAGTGCAACACCATATGAAGAAGGTTATAAGACTCTTCGTCCACTTCTTATACCTTAATACAGTAATAACCAAACAGTGCTACAGATGTTATAAACGTCAGAGAAAACTTACTCATAGTACACATACAGTTTAATTAGGATTTCGTAATACTGTCACCTTGTGCAAATTATGTCTACTTAAAATTCCAAAGACATAAGCTAGGTGACAGACGCCAGAACTTATGTGGATACTATATATACCTGTGTGTTTGTTGCAGGAGACTTTACTTGCCAAGTGGAAGATTGGTTGGACAGAGAAAATAAAACTCTCCACGTGTATGTCATCACACCGCCAGATGTCAGCATTAATCCTTCTCATAAAATTGTTCCAATCGGAAGTAGATTGAGTATAACATGCCTGTCACGTGATGATAATTTTGGTAAATTCAAATACCATTGGCTAAGGAATAACAAGCCAGTAAATAAAGATATGGTTGAAGAGTTGCTGCCCACTGGATCTCGTCTTCATATCCAGTATATTCGCATGTCTGTCGTCTACACTTGTGTTGTTAGAAATGAGGCAGGTATCTCTAGTGAGGAGAGTAGGATTGATGTTCTCAATCACACATCTCTAACAACAGGTAAGATAAAACCATAAAGCAACCTTCATGAGTTCCTAGCTTTAAGAGAAGCAAGATGATGTAAACGAAGTTCCTAATATTCACATTTTAGTACAGAAACCAGTTTATTGTCATAAACTAGGCGCCTTTTAGCACAGAAACTCTTATTGTTTTTTTCACAGAATTTTTGAAAAATGTTAGGTTAATGTTCCAAAATATATTGAAAAGTCAAAATTTTTAAACAATGTCGTTTTGAATATTCAGAAGAAGGCTACAAAGAAAAACGAAATTCTGATGAGATTCGAATAAAACAATGAGTAAATAGTGAAAATTATTAGATTTTACCTAAAATGAATTTCTTTACAATTTCATGCGCCACATTTGTTGTCAAGGTACCCCACGATGGATGTGCAAATAGTGTTTTATTTTCCAGAGTTAGGACAAAATATATGCCAATCTGAGGCCTATAAAGACGTCAAGTGGGATCCCTCATATAGCAATTCATCCAGTGTTAGAAGCTGTCCTGCTGGATCAAAAGGTAGTATCGTCTTCTACTTACGTTTTCTTACGGCCTGATTTTGTTGCGTTATTGCGCCACCCTCTTTCCAAGTTCCATACCATCTTCTTATAATTCGCTTATAATAGACGCTTTAGTTATACAACGATCACACTTAATCTTACAAATGTTAAGGAATTATCCTCTTCAGGGAACAGGCATTGTTGTCGTTAACGTCTCTAAATTCAAAACATGCTTTTCCTGTTCTCAAAAATGTTTCTGCTCTGATGTAACTGTTTTTAAAATACCTTTAAGGGTTATGCTGGTATTTAGCGATTCATATCAGTCAATTTCGGATTTTAAGCTCCTATTTCTGATTTTGAACTATTGTTTTTTTACTTTAAAAGGGAAGGCAACGCGAGCCTGTGTTTGTGGGGGAACGGGATGTTATTGGGAAGAGCCTATCTTTACAACATGCATATCAAACAGAGTAAATGACATATCATGTTTGGTAAGTTCTTCCGTCTATTTTAATAATTTTTCAATGATAAATCAGGTACAATTCGTGTAAAGTGGAAAGTAACGATTTCTAGATCGAAAGAAATTGACACATACCCTATGCTCTCCTACGAAGGCTTGGTAACATCAATTCCTCTATTGGATGACGTGTTAATGCTTTTTAAGATTGGTGATTTAAAAACTTATCCTTTTCATAATCTTCCAATCCAATTAAACACATTAATATTTTCATGCATAAACAGACATTAACAGGGTATCCGATTGGTAGTGAATGTTGTCCTTTAGAGGGGAATGTACAGCTAGATAACCTTGACAACAGCTTTACTTAATTCTTCTTTCTTATAATATTCAGTTTGAAAATTTAAAAAATGGCTATATGGTGACTCGGGAATACAGCATCCTCCAGCAAATGAACATGTTCCTGTCTCGTCAGTTATATTGGGGCTACAATATATACGCCGGTGATTTGATAAAACTGACGGAACTACTTCAAGATGTCTACTCATATTCTGATAAATTCATGGACGACCATATGATGCAGCAGATCTTCAAGGTATTGTTACAGAACTTTTATTGTAATAAAAGTGTTTCCTTATTGCAATTAAATGATAACATCTAAGGGCAAAACCAGTTATACTGAATGAAAACAAACCCCCAATAACCCAAACTTTGATCAAACACACAAAAACAATGTTTAATACGTCTCCCCACCATTCACTGATTCAGGATTCAATATCAAAACCAAAAAGACCACGGGCGGGGCATTTCAATCATACTAGAGTAATTTAGTCATCGTTAACTAATAAATAATTGTTTATCACAGCTACTAGATTTAGAATAAGATTCTACCACATTTACATCGAACAATTCAAGTGCCATACTTTTGACAATTCACGTATCCATTTTGTTCCAGGAGACCCTTGAAGTCACTAGTCAAATTCTTACTAAATCTAGAGTTTTGACAAATTATGAGAAAAAGGTAAGTTATTCATATATTTAATGATTATTGAAGGTTATCAAACGCACATTCATTTTATCAATTTATTTGTAGTATAATATGATACCATGTACATCTCGTATTGTTCACGTTCTTGATGTAATTTCACGTTTAGGGATCATTCCATCTCGGGGTGCAGGTATTGGAGGTAGTAGAGGTCGTCATGGCATCTTTTATAGAGAAACAACAAAATATTCTGAATAAAATGCCTTCCGATCAGCTTTCCATCAAAGTAGACAATTTAGGTAAGTACGGCCTAAAATATATTCAATTTATAAAGATTCAAGATTGTTTTGTGTTTCAAGCCAAAACAATTGACTTTCTCACAAAATCAATGAAAAGACCCCGTGGAAACAATATGGAAACAAAAAATGACAAAGCATAAAATGCATCATAATAAAATACAAGTAATGAGAAGAAAGCATTTTTCAAAGTAGATCTAATAATGACTCAGCAAATCAAGCTTTAACTTTCGTTCAAATGATTTGATGTTTAGACTTTTTGAGATCAAGTGAAATAATATTGTAAAGTAATGGACCACTTTATTCAATTGATTTTCTTCAATTTCTGTTCTGAAGGAAATTCTGGAGGTTCAGAAACTGTTTTCTGAACAGCGGTTTGTAGTTTATTGATGTCAAATATATTCAATATTTTCAGTTTTGAAAAGAGAGGTCCTGAAGGAGCTAGACGATCAGTATAATAATAACTTCAGCATTTCTTTTGCAGAACATACAATTTTTTCAAGAGTTTTAATGGCATTTCCCCATAAAAGGTTACAAAAGCTTAAGTAGGAATAATTCTAAAATTCTAGAGCTGATTAACTTTTTGGCAGCCATCTTGCATTCTGATGGCCATCTTGGAAGTTTTAAGATAAACATTATCATCGCCATTCCAAGAAAACCACCCAACGGATTTACTTCAAATTTTAACACATGTTACATGGTAAGAAGGTCTAGAACTGATTAACTTTTGGGTGGCCATCTTGCTTTTTGAGTCACCAAGCCCACACTGCTATGTTTTAGGTACAATATTGTCCACCATGTGCCTTGTAAATTTTCAGAAGTGAATTTTACAAAAGTGGCAAGAACAGATGTCAGATACAAGCGACATGAAGACGAGATCTTGAATGAGTCGCCCTTAAGTGTAATAGGAGGTACAAATATAAGAAAATCATAAATTATATTAATGCCAATTTCGACCGCCATTAGACTAATTAATTGTTTTGTCTATATTATTCTTTTTGTTCCAAGTAAATCTTTTATCCTTCTAGTTATTACACTTATCAGCTTTTCCCAGCAGCTAGTAGGTTTTTGTCCTTTCTAAGTAGCTTGTGTTACATTCCAATGTCATATTCTATAGTAATTTTCTTCATCTTTTATAGATACTGATGTTTACGATGAGATGTACTTTTCTGCAGTCGTGAAATACAAAAACATTTGGCAAATTATGGCAAATGAGTCAATAGGGTAAGTAAAATTGGTTTACTAAATGTTGCCAACAAGTGCATAATACAGTAACTTAATCTGCTGTAATAATAAGATGTTTTGCAGCTTTCATAAAGTTGAGTTTGAGTATCACATTGAGGTAATTCGATAAAAAAATGTTTGAAGTCTCTTGTCTGTATGTAAAGATGAACTGATAAAGAAAATTTGACGTTTCAGAGAGAACACAGTGAATTCAAAAATATACTCACTATATATCCCGTCATCTCTGGGCGAAGAATACTCACCATCACTAGTTAGATTGGAGCACTTAGACAAGGTAACTATCCCGACAGGTTTACTCTCACAAATCTTGGGTCAAGTCCAAATCGACCTTTCATGTCTTGTATAATAAACGAGTCCTAGAAATTGTTTGAATGCAAAATCGATATCACAAAATCTTGTCTGTATATTTGTTGCTAAACCTGAAATAAAAGTGTATTGATAATATTCAATCGCCTGATTAATGATTTTTGATTCATTATATTTTCCTAAATATTTGTACTGGGAAATCAATAGTATACTTTTGAAGCACGAGACTACAAACTCACGTCTTCTTTGAGTTTCAGTCTCAAGAAAAGAAGTTGCGTATAAGATGTGCTCAATGGAAATCGAGGTAACCATATTTTAATATTATAATACATAATCAAATTGTGGACGATTTATACAGATATACTCTCATACTTTAATTAAACAGCCATGAATATAGATTAAAAAACATTGTTTTATGTTTAGTATAGTAAGGCTTGACTATTTTACTACTGATTTACTTTATGTTGTAGAGTTTAGAGGTTCAACCCTAGGAGCCTTACAATTATGATTGACAATTGTAGAGTTATAAGCGCCTAATACAATGTTATATATTTTATAGGTTATTTCCAAATGGATATTGGGACCTTGATGGATGTAATGTTGTTGGCTGGTCCATCAACTACACAACATGTAGATGTAACAATTCTGGTCATATTTCTCTGTTGCTGGTTTCAACATCATCTGTAAGTTTATCATGTGTACCGGTATGTTCGTGTGGGTAACTTGTAAATTCAACCCAAAGTCAAGCAAAGGTTTATCAACAATTGTTTCTAACAAATCAAAGCTAACAGTACTTAATAAATGAACATACTGTTAATGGAATGTTGTTGTATATTTTCACTTACAAAAGGGTTACTTATTACTATTGTTAATACAACTCTGTGTGTAAGTTACATCAAATGTGTAGATAATATGGACCTCTTTACGATGAATTACTGATTTTCTGATTTTAGGATAACGTTGAATTAGAAGTCAACCATGTTACGCCATTAATAGTTACAGTGGGTTACATCACATCACTAGTCAGCTTCTGTATAACCTTCTTTATATATACGATATTTCGTAGGTACGTATCTGAAGCAAATGTGAAGAATAATGCAATGGTGTCGACTCGGAACATTGTAATACTTTAGAGGCTAATTGATATTTTGACTTGACATTTTCTTTGGATAATACTCGTACATTGGTTCAAAACGTTATATAATTAAGATTGGTAAATAAACACAATCCAATATATGACCGTCTAGTGAGAATCCTTATTAGTTATAATAACTGCGTGTTTATTTTGATGAAATGCTGTTCTACTTCAAGGCACTACAAGCACAATCGGCCAATCTCAGTTATCTTCATGTGCATCGTGATGATTATACTCTCTTCTCTCCTTCTAGCTGGCATGGATAGATATAATATGAAGGTTAGTGTAAAATATGCCACTACTTTCCTTGGTTCTTAAAAGGTAAATATGTACATGCATGTTAACATCATCGCAATCGCTGCTGTAATATAAGATGCTAAAACTAAGCAAAATTGTCATCTCGTTTTGTCATCTCATTTCAGATGGTGTGTAAGAGTGTATATATTTTACTTTATTGTTTCTACATCATGACATTGAGCATCCAGCTTACTACATCCACTGATCTCTACTTGAATTTACTGGATAAAATTCAGTCAAAATTCAATATTTTGTGGAAGGCTGGACTTATTCTAGGTAAAGTACTCTGGTTTATCTCATTATTTGGTTGAATTTTTAAAAATGTGTTGTATACGTAATTAGCATTATATTAATTGTTTAAATTATTTAAGATATTTCCGTACGTTTAAAATCTTTCATTGCCTTCATGATTGGAGCCCCGTGCTAACACATAACTCATACTCCATACATGGTCTACACCTTGTTGTAATGTTGTTGATGTAATAAAGTCAACCTTCGTGAAGAAACTTCAAATATAATGTAATAAAACATGATCTTTTATTTTTCAGGTGTGCCATTTATATTCAGTCTACCTGTTGTCATAGCCTCAATTTTAGACGACATGCCTTATAGTCAGAGACATTTGTGAGTACATTATTCTTAGTTATAGACATGTCAGCGTGAATCGTAGAAATCGTAGTTAAGATTAATGGATGAGCAGTGTGTACAGTATGCTTTGCATTTCGTTCAATGTCTTCAGTTGCTTCATATATCAGCTGCAATATGTGTGTCTTTCTTGCTTATTTTAGTTGCTGGGTGTCCGTTCAATCATGGCAGTTTTATTTATTCAGCATTGCTATGCTTTTAATGCTTGTGGTAAGAATGATGCTTAATGCTTACTTTTATCTCTTCGTAAGAATACTCTTTGTCAATCGAACACATTTATATACATATACCAGATATAGATATATGATATGTTTTATTAAGTCTGTTAAATTATTGCATGAGAACATCTATATTGACTGTCTCAATATTTGACCCCCTATCACATACAAGCATGTACACTTAAGCCGTTGGAGGGGAATGTACACGGGGCGTTGAACTAAATAGTCGCATATGTTTTCTAGACCCAAGTTATATATTAAAGCTACAATTTCTATGAGTATGACAACACATCACGTTTCTCTTTGTAGATATGGCAGGTTTTCAATATACTTGTCTTAAATAATATACACAAATTGGATTATGTGAAAAATAGGGAGAAGTTAGAAATCATAAGGTAGGTACAGATTGATTTGTATAATCATAGTTTGACATGTCCCAAGGGGTAAAATCCTATTTTTGTGGTCCTGGCACTTCAATCCATTATATCGTAACATTGTGGTGGTTTATAAATTGCTGAGAGGATTCTGTACCGTTTAGTACTATTTAATTCACATTTTTGTGTCCAATTACGGCGGAACATTTATACGAACATTTATTTACATCCAACATTATTTCAAACAGTTGTAAATTATTCCATGAATCATTATTACCGGGGACATTTTATGTTTTAGATGGATATTGAAGAAGTCTCTAGTAACAGCAGTTTTCTTGTTTCTATCGTGCGTGTGCATCATACTACGTGTCAATGTGGATCATACTGGAATTGACTACCTTACTGGTATCTCCAACATTGTATTGGTAAGCTGTTTTTTGAAAGTTACACATGACATGACATGCAAACAAGATGGTACACATCGGTCAAGCAAGGCATGAAGCAAGGCCAACATTTTTTCAAAAATATTATTTCAGACGTGCTTTTTATTCTTTTAAACTGAAAGTGAAGGCTTATATATATAATGGTAGTATTATTTACTCTCAAATTGACCTCACTTATTCAAAGTTCCATGTGCAGTATGGCAAGTGATTTTAGACGGTCATATCTTTCACCATGAGTACTTTCTGGCCATAAACACAGTGGTTTTTATAAAAACAACATGTTTTATTCCAAGTGAAGTTCCCGTGATAGTAAAATATCCATCCAACTCTCTGAAAAATTATTGTTTAGGACCCCATCTGAGCACTTTTTAAAAAATGTTAGGCTTATTTTCTAAAAAAGGATCTTGTTTTCCTTGATTTAACCATAGCAAACGTTTCTTCTACACTATATTTACAACTTCTGAAAAGGGGATTGGTTTTGAAATCCGTTAAAGTTAAAAACCACATATCCCATGTTATTTTCCCATATGGAAAACTCGTGCTATCCATTGTTTTCAGCATAATTTTGGTCATCGAAAATTGATATCTTCAAAACTAGACTTTCAATACCATTCTGCAAAAGTTTTAAACTCCTCTTTGAATAATCTTTTCATGCAATACAAATCAGAAAAAAGGAGATCCTCCATTTAGTAAATAGGTTCAACATTTTGAAAGAATTGTTGACACGGGGTCCCTATTCATAATTTTTCGAAATGTTCGATTGATATTTTTTATCATCATGGGTATTTCACTTGAAACAAAACATATTGTTCTAATAAAAACCACTGTATTTATGACAAGAAAGTACTCATGGTGAAAGATATGACTCTAAAATCACTTGCCATACTGCACATAGACCTTTGCCTTACTTTTTTCTATGCCCTCGGACCTTTACAATTATAAACCAATATTTTGTTTTTATAAATCAAATTTGACATTGAGTTTATTACTCCTGTACATGGTGTTTTTATTTATTTATTTTCAATTTTCAGTGCTCTGGGGAAATGTATTTTCTCTGAGCTAAACATTACGACATTACCATTTTCTCAGAGTGGTTTTTGTATTTCATTTCTGATAACATGTATATGACCCTTTCAATCATGTACTATTTCCACTATCGCTCATTGCCATATTTTATTTGTAGGGTGTATGGTATTTTCTCTCGGAATGCATAATGCGAAAGTGGGTAAGTTTTTGTGTAGAAATTGACCAGTATTATTATACCATTTTGTCCATCACATTAACTTATTTCTAGATCAATAAATGACCAAATCGTGGCATCTTTTGTAACTCTATAAAAACTGTAACATATATTAAGTTAACTTGCAAAAAGGCTTTTTGCACACAAAATTAATATATTTAAGGACTTTGAGTTTGAATAACTTACATGTATTCTTCACTAAAGCATTTTACTAAATTGGACCTTAATTACATTTCCTAGGTGGGCAGTATTGTGCATCGGTTGAAATGTTCCACCGAATCAGCTAAAGAACCCATTTCTCAATGTTCATCTTTACACGTTCAATTCAAGGTAAACAAAGTTTGTAAATATGCATTGTTTGAAATAGAATTATTGTTATACAAGTACATGCTCTTGCCATCATTACTGTCCTAATTACAAGACATATGAGACACTATAATCTATGAGTGAGATACAGTTCATGTTGACTAAATGTTCAGTTAAAAGTAAAACATATTTTTTTGTCAGAATGTTAATGTCATATTACCCTTTGCATTCGTTTGACTTCACTTCTTAAAAGAGAGCTTCGTTTAACTAGACTCTGCACGCAGGGTAATGTCCTATTACATTGAGATTGTAAAAGTTAGCTATACACCATCTCTGCATAAACCGACAGACCGCAACCACTGTATCATTTATTGTTTTTCATTCGAACATTTTATGCCAACTCCAACCAACAATTCTATTTAGACTAAGTTATGCCTTAAATGTGTCTTTCAGAAGAAAAAGAATGTTGAAAAGCAGTCACCGAAAGACGAGGGATTCGTAGGTAATGTATAATGTTGATAAAGTACATGCATAAACGAAATGTTCAGTTAACTATTTCCAAAGGCAGACTCGATATGTTTGAGTGAAGTTTAGATAGTTTCAATAATTCAACATCATCTAATTAATCATTCAAAAGCCTTATATATCAGTTACGGTAGTCATTTGTACTTTAGTGATACATGGTATTTTACAGCATTTGTACGTCCTCATAAGTCCTCCATGTCATCTAATGCCGAAGATATTGATACTCGTGACTTGAAGAGGGTTAAAGAACGAAAGTCGAAACCTAGGGCCAGATTAGATTCTTCCAGAGCATTATTAGAGAGCACAGTATGTTCAGATGACCAGGACTACAGTCGTCGCCAGTCGGTGGCTTCTTATATAACAGGTGTGGCCGAGGAGGACAAAATCTACAGCAGAGTCAATTATGTATCAACGAAGCTTAAGTGCTCTCCAGGAATATCATACATAACCGACGATACAATTAAAGAATTTTTGGACGATGAGGAAAAAAGCTGAGATGAGCTTTTAAGTAGTTCAAAGTATTGAGCTTAGAAACTAAAAGAGATATTACTTCAGTTTGAGGTTTTAGGAAATACCTGTTATCATCGTAACAAGTTTAATTCTAGGAAAGAGTACGACGTTCAGCCAATAAATTCTGAAATAAGTTCCAGAATTGCATTATTGCAGTAATTTTTATTAAATGCATCTATCTTTGTTGTGAACTTCGCCTTATTTCATTTTATTAAAAGTGCTGGATCTAGGGTATAGAATCTCAGGATAATTACACTTTGACTTATCTTTAAGAGCATTATTTTATATTTAGATAGATTTAACGCCGCTTGTGAAGAGGGTATCGGAATGTCAAGAATTTCCATCGAGTGGAAATCGTAAATGATGTCCAAACTGTCAACCTTAATAATTAGAGTCCGTTTACAGAGGAAAAGGTTTTGGATACATAAGCAGTTGACACAGTTCAGCTTATTCAGAAATGTATCAATGAATGAATTTCATATTATCCAAATTGTGCAACATTACGCTTCACAATTTAACGTTTAAGTCTATGATAGATATGCGTTGGCTTATAAGGTCACAACAAATTCGTCTTGTCTTAGAAATCACATATATGGAGAAAGAGTAATTGTATGAATCGTATTAGTGAAAACTCAGGGTATTGGGCGTATCTGTCCAAAGGTTCAATATTAGAAATGTATCTGAATGCCATTTTTACAGAAAGATGCAAATTTACGATATGAATGCATGGTGCGAAACTATGCGAAATGATGAGATCATTATATGTAATATGTAGGCCTACAATGAATTAATGAAATAAATATCTTTTTTAAAGAATAAGAATGATAATATTTTTTGATTGGACCAATGCGTGTAACGTATATGCGTGTATACATGTAACACATTGATTTATTGATATGACAAGCGTGTCATCCTACCATCCTCGATGTGATGGCATGCATGACGTGTGTAACTTGATAGTATTAGTATTAAAAGGGATGTTCCCGTGAGCCTATTTTTTTTGATAGTAGTAGGTATTACCATTTTTCTATTATCCATTTGAAATTATTATTATTGGAAATTATTTTTTAATATCATTTAAAAATGCAGTTCTCATTCCATGTGATCTGCCATAATATTTCCCACAAGAAATACTGTCATCAACTCCTAAGCTTGTATAGTTTACATGAGGAAAAATAAGTAAGAAGTCCAAGCCTCTTTTAATTTTAAGTTGACAAGCCCTGAAATATTTTTGCTGAGAAAGTAATGACTTTTTGTTTAGAGTTGATTTTGTGCTACTTTTATGTGAAGAGGCGATGACATCACTTCCTGTATGAAATCTAAAAAGATGGCAGCCCACAAGGAATGAGCCTTGCATTTCTAACTAATCAATTTGACCATATCAAAACATTTTTTTCATGTTTCACTAAATATTGATAGTACTATAATATTTATATATATAATATCAAGAGAGAAATGGGCTTGCAAGGAATATCCCTTTAAGAATTTATGTTACGACAAGGATTCGTTTCTGTTCTGCCACATGTGATATATTGTTTCAAGAATTATCTATGCCGATACCAACCTATATCCTGAAAAAACTAATATACTACCGAAGTAACCTTTGCAAAGACGACTAGACTTCGCATTTTTAAAAATAAACATTTTTACATAATAAATTTGAGTTCCTTCACATCGTATCTAATCATGGTAATCATGATCTCATGAAGAGCATATGCATAGTACAGTACATGCATAATAATTGCAATCAGTTGTAATTATTTCCAGTCATATCACAAGCGAGCTTCGAAAGAGACCTCGAACAGTTGTCATGCGGAGGAATATGTTAATTAGGCTCCACTCGTGAAGGTAGTTCGCTGTGACAGATGGTAGGTCCAACCGATATCACGTTCTGTGGTATACATATTGTGCATACCGCTACAAGATGATTAAACCACATTTACAGTAGACGTTGTTCATTGTTTTGACGTCATGTTAAGGGGAATCCCCTAGTAGTATTAACCGGTCAATAGCTAAAATTATTCACCGCTCTTTGACCAATCAAAGTTGACTATTTAAAAAGAGGTTTTTATGATAATCTAGTCACTCTATAATATTTATGTTACAGGCCATTTATTGTATCTGTGATATAATTTCCTCTGGACGCGAAGAATTCACGTTTGCTGAACTGAATTTATATCTTTTCTGAGTTATTAAGACAAGCAAAATTTGACGATAATGTCTAGTTAATCGTTACAAGTACTCGCTAAACAATGCATTAGGGAATGACAGTTTTACACAATTAAACATACACAATTGAATAGTCTATGCCCTAAGGCAAGTGTAGAGTCTGTGCTGACTTGTATTCTACATGTACATAATTATGCTTGCCAAAATTCTATTCACTGACCCATGACATCATTCTTTACTTATTATAAAGTAATAAAACAATTATAAAAATACTCAAGTACTTAATACTACAAAGCATATTATTTCACGTCTTGACCTCATCGGGAAGTTGTGCCTAATTGTAAACTATTATTAATCTTATGGACAGTATTTGCTAAAAATCACCACAACGGGATATTCTTGAATAGATCTGACCAAACATGATCACTGGAGGAAGTTGATAGTAAATAAAGTATAATAAAAATGAGCGTTTTCTTAAGGATGGTGCCAAGTGTGACTATAGTATTAATAATTATGCAATGTTTGATCCAAATGACAAAAGGTAAGTGAGAAAGTAAAATGGCAGATGAACTATTAGGCTTCGAATTCGAATAATTGAAAAAGCATCAAAATGTGAGGTTCATAATTAGGCGACATTAACCTAATATAAATAGTAGCTAGAACAGAATTGTTCAATGGTCACTTTTTCTTAAATAACTTTTTTTAATTTTCAGTATTATCACCATTTTGTCTCATATTTGTTCAAAAATGGCGGCATGTTTTGTGGAATTGAATGTAATATCAACAAATTAAGAGATGTTCCTTAAATATTTATTGAATGTCAGAATTTCACTCTGATTTTGATAATACAGAAAATTAAAAAAGTTATTAAAGAAAAAGTGACCATTGAACAATTCTGTCCGGGCTACTATATATTCTACAATATTGTACTTTTATACCAAGCATGTTCACTGATCTCCATCTATTGTAGTTATTTCGAATTCGATGTACCCGCATGGATGTCTTTCGGGTTTTAGGAATTTTGTTTTTTCTCGATTTACACCTACAAATAGATCAAATTACAAGCGAAGCAGTACATGTAGCAGATTTAAGTTTTCACATAAGGCACCACTTTTGTTACCTGACGAATTTTTTGTCGAAATAACATATATGCAAAACGCCAAATTCATTGCCCTAACATAATCAACTGAATGAAAATAATAAGAAAGTATTTCCCAAAACAGTGTCTTCATAGGGTACGTACCAAATTAAGAGTGACAGTTGAACGCGCGGGGTACGGTAAACACGAGGGTGATGAAATGTGTAGCAAACATATGTTTTCATTTAACGGTAAGGTACAACAAATCAACTGTTGCGCTTAATCTGGTACGTACCCTGTGGTCTTCAACTCCGCAACAAATATAATTGTATTTGACATCTGAATAAATTATCAAAATATATAGTCTATAGATATTTTGGATATGTAATACTCCAGAGCACGATATAGCATTATCAATGTGTCAAATGTTTTAATAGGTCAGCACATTCCTAGCTAAAATCGACATTTCAAAATATCTTCGGGAATGCTTAACATTTGCTTTTTGTATCCTGGTCAGAATTTTTTTTGCAATCATGTGTGTGTTAAAGCTTGAGTCACATTTTTCGAAATTTGGGAAATATTTTGACCTTATAAGGTCATCTTTCCTCTTTTGAAGAGGGAACAACTCAGCTTCTATACTACCCTAGATATATGGGGAACGATCAATAATACATCTCTTGTCTATAATGATTAAATGAGATGCCACATTGAGTACAGGACTACGATGATGATAATAATCGTTGGCAGGTTTGGAGTGCTACGACTGTACAGATAAGCTAACTGCGGACCCCGATCTCTGCAAAAGACTAATCAGTGAGGACACGGTTGGAAAATGTAAACCAAAGTCACGGGGGAAGTGCTTCATCAGAATGGATCCAAATAATGGTATATGTTCATTAATGTTAGATAGATGGCATGTTTATTCAAGCAGCACGTACATGTACGATACTAAATAATAGAGTTTCGCTATTTTCAATTTGATTTGGGTAACACTAGGAAATTATGAGAATCAAGTTAATGTACGTATGTACAACACACTGGGAAAACTCTCTGAATAATGTTATAATATAACTTAGCCACATCTCTCGTAAAGATAGGATGATAGGATATGAGATTCAAACGTTGGAGGCTACTATTAGAGGCCATAGAGTAATCACATTACATTGCAAACGCCTTTACATGCCAACTCGATTTTACACGTGACGATTTAGCTTCTAAATCTCACGGGACTCACGACTTGTTTACAATGTCTCATGCAATTAAACACTGATACGAAACAAAAAAGGATTAATAAAGAAAATTAGAAGCTAAGAAAAACAACATACTTTCATTTTCTAATTAAAAACATTCTCCCATCTTCGTCAAATTAATTTTGTCGCATATTTCAGTTTTGTATAGGGGCTGCATGGACTTCACATTTTGGCCTGGCGTAGATTTCTCGTACAATGGCTGTAGGGAGCAAAAACATACAGGATGGGGTGGGAAATCAACTATATGGTGCTTCTGTGAATCCAACTATTGTAACGTCAATCTCATCCATATGAATCAGACTGGTCAGTTGACAACACCACGTCCAATAACGAGGCGCACAACACTCCCCCCAACCAGGCAAACAACTACCCCAACCACAACTTATAGAACAACAAAATCTCAACCAATTCAACCACCGACACAACCTACAACAGTCGCCTCGTCAACAGACAAAGTCCCTGTTGCTACTACGAGTGGTAAATATCTTTTATAGGATATCCTATGATTTTGAGGAATATCATTTTTATCTCCGAGGTGAGCGAGAGAGCAAAGCGACATGTACAGATATCAATATCACAGAGTAGATGAAAATGATATTTTGAAAAAATCATAGTATGTTCTTATTATCCTACATTTTAGTGTACTACATGTAAATGTATAAAAACATATCATTTCGTCACAATATCCTCCGCATATTGGTTTTCCGGAGTATATCGTGGCGATATCCTCCGCATATTAGTTTCCGGAGTATATCGTGGCGATATCGTCCGCATTTTTGTTTTCCCGTGTATATCGTGGTGATATCCTCCAGTTATTCATTTTGCCAATAAATATCAATTTTTTAAAATGTTATTATACATTTACGTGTAGGATAATTATAGGATATCCTATGATTTTGAGGAATATCATTTTTATCTACGAGGTGAAATTGATATCTGCACGAGAGAGCGAAGCGAACGAGTGCATATATCAATATCACCGAGTAGATTAAAATGATATTCTGAAAAAAATCATAGGATGTTCTTATTATCCTACACTTACAAGGAGTGTACTGAATGTATAATATCATTGTAAAATGAATTTCATGCCAAATAGAGTCAGTTTGGCGGGAAATCAACTAGCGGAGTATATCGTCACAATATCCTCCGTATATTGGGTTTTCCGGAGGATATCGTCACGATATCCTCCGCCCGGAGTATATCGTAACGATATCCTCCGGATATTCATTTTGCCAATAAATATCAAATTTATTTTTTCATGTTATTATACATTTAGTACACTAAGTGTAGGATAATCCTATTTATCGTATTATTGTGTTATCCGTACAAAAGCATCTAGTGGTATATCTGATATTATTCACTTCGCTCACTCGTATATTGATATCTGATATCAACTCGTTGGATAAAAGTAATACCAATAAAATTAATATACTATTCTGTACATGATGCCTAACTATATCTCGTTTATGTGAATGAGAAGGCATTTCAAATTGTTGTTGTAATTATCCCATTGAATAAACACCCAGTTTAAATTCGACGAGAGTAGAATATTGTATTGTATTGTATTGTATTGTACAAGTATTGTATTGTATTGAATGTGTGAGCCGTTCAATAGATGACCATAAATGTAAACTAAAGATATTTTAGGTTTTTTACTCAGATCTTGTACCTTTATACCAAAGTGATCTTAAAGATGTACTAAAACCGTTTTACTCGGTTTAGATTGTATTTATGCTATGCGCTACCTCGCCTTATGACGGCTACACTTTACGATGGTGAACGTACCACCAACACTTCCAAAAGTTCATTTTATTTTGTTTTTTAGACCATGGTATTTGGGATTTAAAGTCAGCACATACTGATGACCTTGCTTCAACAGCGATCGCGTATATAAATCAATGTTGAAAAAAGTTTTATTATTCAAAGAGAAAGCATTGAAATGGGGCATTACATTTGCAACTTTTCTCACAAACAATACTTCTAAGCATTTACATACCTGGGGGATTTCCGTAAAAACATATTAAGACATTGTTTCGTACTAGTTATGACACAAGTAACCATATAAATGGAATGGAATGTTATAAATAACAATAGAAACTAATGCGTTCATTACAAATGCCAATCTGATATGAATTACCAGAACCCTTTCAGTGGTCGGAGTTGAGTAATAAGAAGAGGCGTGATTATCACGGGGTATGAATGCGGACGGAAAATACCATACATGCTGAAAAGTAATAGGTTGAATGACCACAATGAATATTTCGCTATTTCAGAATATGCGATAGTGGATGGCTTCTGTAAAGGACGTGACAAGCCTTGCGAACACAATTGTCGTTACGTAGATGGGAAGGTCACGTGTACTTGTAATGAGGGATTCACACTTAATAGTGATGGAAAGACATGTCGAGGTTTGTCCATCACATCATTTTGTCGTCTTTACGACACGTTATATTGTATTGTCAAATGCGCATGCGCGTCCTTAGGAGTAGAGAAGGAGATATGTTCTCCACAGCTCTTTCATTGTCCAATAATGTTTCACCAATTATATTCCTTATGATATCCTATAATCTTAAATCTGTCCAATGCACACACTATGATAAGTGCTAAGTTGTACGTAGGTAAACAAGAGTCAATTTAGTAATCTGATTCACAAAGGCCATTGGAAGGGTTTTAGTCATGCAATAATGTGCGAAGTATAATTCCGTAATTTTTTTTCTTTTTACTTATCAGTATACAAAATATTTTTACAATGTGTGAAAATGTGTGAGTTTAAGCACATGAATTAGGTGTGGTTAATGCACAAATGGATATTCTGTATTATCCTACACTTAGTGTACTAAATGTATAATAACATGAAAAAATAAATTTGATATTTATTGGCAAAATGAATATCCGGAGGATATCGTAACGATATACTCCGGGCGGAGGATATCGTGACGATATACTCCGGAAAACCCAATATGCGGAGGATATTGTGACGATATACTCCGCTTGTTGATTTCCCGCCAAATTGACTCTATTTGGCATGAAATATCATTTTACAATGATATTATACATTCAGTACACTCCTTGTAAGTGTAGGATAATAAGAACATCCTATGATTTTTTTCAGAATATCATTTTAATCTACTCTGTGATATTGATATATGCACTCGTTCGCTTCGCTCTCTCGTGCAAATATCAATATCACCTCGTAGATAAAAATGATATTCCTCAAAATCATAGGATATCCTATAATTATTATATACCCAATATGTAACACTAATCCTGATTGGTCAATACCTAGTCACGTGTTCCGAAATAGATTTACTATTTCCCTCGGAAAGTTATATTCCCTCAAATGTGACGTCAGCGGGAATATACATTTGAACTATTGCCCGCTGACCAGTGGCGTAGGAACAATGTACGCCAAAACGCCAGTGCGTAGTGTTGAAAAGTGAGAATAAAAAAGAATTTTCCTATGTTCTTTAGTCATATTTTCTCATCAGTGTTCATAATCTCGAGCACACTAGCCTAAAGAAATGTTTTGTGGATACCATATCATTATTGGTCTGTCTGGAAAATATCATTTAACAGATTGAATTCTCTTACCAACATGCTTTATTTCATGAAAATCGAGCCACTATTGAATGTCTTATGAATACAATTTTGCCAAATATTCGTGAATCGCGTTCTCTTCACGAATTTGAGAGGAAAACAGTTTTTTTTCAAAAAATACTTGATGAATACTTTGACATTTTTTCTGCATTTTCCGTAATGCTTATGCAAACTATGGTATCATATAATTATAATGATGAACCTCTTTAAATTTAGATGTACATTTTTTATTCTCCCCTACCCAAATTTTTCAATTTCACTATCGATTTATATTCCGTTGCTATACAAAATCATAAGACACGAAATTATAGTTAAGTCAACAAGTATCTATTTTCTTACTAAATCACTAATTGTTATTGGTAGTACTTTTTGAAATATGGATGTTAAAGACAAAAACAACGTGAAAATGCTGATTATTCAATTACACGTTCCATTGATTTCAGTTCTAGAAAAGCGATTACCTATTTTTTTTCATTTGAAAAATAATAGATTCTTGTTTTATAACATTTTTGGCACCCCCTAAGTCACGTTGACCTCGATTTGACCTTTGTGGTGGGTGTGTTTATTTGTTTTATTGATCACGAATGCGTTTCTTTATATCAATTGATCAAACTAGTTTCTTTAATTTGTACGTATTGTATTGCACGGTACACGATGGAATCAGACAATACTATATATCTTAATTCAATTATTCGAAAATGATTAAAAAATCTCTAATTGTTTTTTGGAAATTGGTTGTCTCAATCGTTCGAGACATTTGCAAAGTGAGAATGATTTGTGTCGAGATTTAAAAGATAGGCTTTCCAAGGTGATTTTAAATGATGAAAATCATTCGAACATTTTAAAGCACATTAAAAAGGTATCAGGGATTTAAAGCTTGCATATAAAATCGAAACGCCAACCTATACGTATGACCAATCGCCCATATTAATGCATCGCTTAAGTATTTCCGTTCACATTTAGGTTGTGAAAAACATTGCAAGCTTAAAATCGGTTACCATAAAATGACGTTTTACAAGCATAAAATAGGCGTTTTGATATAGAATATTGACACAATTGTTTCATATTTTTTTGGCGGGATTTTTGGCGTAGTGTTGCATTTACACCTTCCTACGCCCCTGCTGACGTCACAATTGCAAGTTCTATTACCCTTGGAAACGTCTGCGCATCATCACTGCGCAGACGAAAAACAGAAGGAGGATGAGCACAAACACAAATCAACTCCGTTCACCATGACAGACGTGCGTGAACGATACAATATAAGCAACGTGTATAAAGTTCCCTAAGCTCAATACGTCTGTGTAATTTCAAGTGTTATGATGATCTATTCCGCGTGTTAAACGCGATTGAATTTGTCAAGTGAGAGTCTCAGAGGCAAAAATTTCTGTTGAGCATCTGATGACGTCACAGCTTATAATGCTAACAATGGACCCGGGGACGGGGGCTTTCTAAGCCTTTTTGGCCTTCGCAGAGGAAACGGGACAAGAGTCAGTATAGGGTATATAATAAAACAAATAGTGACTGCCTAATTTCGAGCAATAGTGTAAATGATTTTCCCTTGGGAATATCCTCTACAATGTACTATTCCCTCAGCCTGCGGCTTCGGGAATAGTACATTGTAGAGGATATTCCCTCAGCCTGCGGCTTCGGGAATAGTACATTGTAGAGGATATTCCCTCGGGGAAATAATTTACACTACTGCCCTCAATGGCAGTCACTATTTGTATACTATAGCCCTCGGATTCGGGCTACCGCTCTCATTCAAAATATTGAAACAAGACATTGGTAATTTAAACCATCCACAATTCATTGAGCCATGGGCTTAAATCCCTTAACATATGTTTTACCTAGATGTCGACGAGTGTCTAATCTATAATGGAGGATGTGCTTTACAATGCATAAATGTCCCTGGGTCTTTTTTCTGTGGATGTTTGCCAGGTTACCAGCTGTCATTTGATGGCAGGTCGTGTGTAGGTAGGTTCACGCAAATATAGTATGGTGAGCAACCGAGGTCTTATGTTCAACACTAAATTTAATAAAATTAACATTGTTCAACAACTTCAGTCTCGCAATATATGACCATTTTAAGGAATCTATCTGCAGTATTACCTTTGCCATCTTTTATTACGTTGACATACATGTATTTCAGACAAGAATGAGTGTAGCGAATATAATGGAGGGTGTAGCTTTAGGTGCGTCAACGCTCCTGGATCGTTCTATTGCGAGTGTCCCAAAGGCTTTGAGTTGGACGTTGGGCGACGTAACTGCATCGACTATAACGAGTGCCAGAATGAAAAAACAGAATGCGCTGGCAGGCAAGTTATATTACAGGGGTTTGTCCAGTGTCGTTAAGTGGGTATTAGGTATAGTATCATTAATTGTCTTTACTCAGGAATGATTGTGTTGCAATTACACCAGAGCTCACCAGCTATATGATCTTAACTTCCATATTTCATGATATCAAATGATTGCATGTACTGTATATCATTTATTAATTGCTTAATAATCCAAACTATAGCTTTGTTGGAATTATTTTTTCACTTTCATATTTTATGTCACTGCCAAAATATGGAGTTTTGTTAAAAACACCATTTTTAAAACCGACGTTCATCGTCGGCGGTTGCAGGTCGTTGTTGTTAGGCGTCTATGATGTATGTGGTACACTTTTGTATTGACCATACGCAATATGACTTAACTACCATATGTAACACAATACCTTGTGATAATAGGTGTATCAACACGGCTGGTTCTTACCATTGTGAGTGTGAAGGTGGTTTTCAACTCAACCCAGACTCGAGAACATGTGATGGTAATCAATTAAAGTTTATTTGAAGCTAAAATTGCAAATGTATCTTTATGTAAACAATTATGATCCTGGATAACTTCTGTTTTTGGGTCACTTAAAATGATACATTTTGGGAGAAGATTTCACGTGTGCTAATGAAGAATTTATTCTGATAAAAGATGTCAACGAGTGCTCTGTGAACAATGGAGGATGTGCTCATGCCTGTACAAACCTCCCCGGATCGTTTGAATGTGGTTGCGAGAGTGGCTATTCTCTTGGAAAAAACAGTGCCACTTGTGATGGTAAGGTTTTTGGTGTTTTTGGTGTATTTTTACTTAATGATGGACAGGAAGGGGTAATAAATGTGATAGAAGTATGTAGGATTTACCTTTTTAGAACAAAAAACCGTGTGTAAATACCTTTCCTAGATTTAAATTGGAGAAAGGAAATATCAAAAATGGGGGAGGGGAGACTAGATATGGATAAATTGTTTTGCGGACATACCAAGATAGGTATCTTTTACATAAAAACAGACTATTTTCAGATATAAACGAGTGTCTCTACCACAATGGAGAATGTGAGCAATCGTGTGTGAACACTGCAGGAAGTTACTATTGTGTTTGCAAACCAGGTTATCATATCAACGCTGACGCAAAGCATTGTGATGGTAAAAGGATATGTTTTTACTAAGCTAAGTTCACACCAACGACGCTTTAATGGCGCTTTAAAGCGCCATCAAAGCGCCGTTGGTGTAAACTTACCCTACTATCACACCTAACTAGTTTTCACTACGTTCTCGAAAACGGGCTTCAACTGTGAACGAACGGACAGGACGTACTTAAAACCGTTTTGGGTCTTTTTACAAACTTCATCGAACGTACTCGAACGGGTAGGTCCTCTAGAACTTAGAACATGCTCAAAATGTCCTCGTGGTCGATACGTTCTACAATAAGAACGAGTGACAACGTACTAACGACGAGCTGGACGTATAACGAACGGAATCGTCGTACTTCAATCCTACTAGGGACGTTTTAACAACGAGTTGCACTGTTTTAGGACGTATTGAGAACGAGGTAGAACTAATTGCAAACGGATTTAAACTGATTAAGAACGTATTTAAGACTGCTTATGAACGAGTTAGCAAAAATATAGCTATCACACCAAACAAGTTGCCACTGCGTTCTTCAAAACTGGTTTTAAACTGTGTGCGAACGGAATGAACGGAGCTACAACGTTCTACGGTCTGTTTACGAACTTCATGGACTTTCCCGGACGGGGAATGTGATTTAGAATTTTGAATCGATTCAACATTCGATGGCGACCATACCGTTCTGTAATCAGGTCATGATGACCTTCTAGACTAAGGGAGTTATACGACGTTGCACACCGACGTGGTGCGACCTGAACGAACTGCGAATGAGATGGACGTATCGGAGACTGTTTATGAACGAAGTAGCTAATTATTTTAAACATATTTCCCGACCACAGCCAGATTGAGCCCGTTTTACGACGTTTTCGTAGGACTGGCAAGAACGGGTAAGAACTAGTTTGGTGTGATAGGGGGGGGGTTAGCTTTAAATATAATTCGTTACAAAATTATATTGTTTGTTCTATATGAAGAAAATATACGTGCTTTTATATTGATATTACATGTAGACTAAAAACAAATCTCCCTGTCCTCATCGTTAGACTGTTAGCGCTTGTTCTTTTACAGATGTGGATGAGTGCTTATTTGCAAATGGTGGCTGCTCCAATATGTGCGTCAACAGGCGAGGCTCATTTTCTTGTGAATGCCCTCCTGGGCTGATGATCGCTAGAAACAACAAACAATGCATCGGTAATTCATTCAACATCTCAAAAACTAACAATAATAAATGAAATCATGGGCTTTCAACAAGATAATTAAACGCCCATGATGAAATACACTGCGTCCATAGGTTTGCAACAACTTACGTTTAGGCATACCCATTTGTTGCAAATCGTGGTGATACTTGACATGAAGTCATATTACTATCACCATTACTATTACTGATCCACCATATCACAACACGAAAATTGGAGGAAAATATAATTCATTCTAGGTGAAAAAACACACATTAGAATTGATCGATGAAATAATATATATTTCTGTACTTATAAGTACACATTTTTGCGAGACGCAAATTTTCAATTTACTAACCCCCCTATCACACCAAACTCGTTCTTACCCGTTCTTGCCAGTCCTACGAAAACGTCGTAAAACGGGCTCAATCTGGCTGTGGTCGGGAAATATGTCTGAAATAATTAGCTTCTTCGTTCTTAAACAGTCTTCAATACGTCCATCTCGTTCGCAGTTCGTTCAGGTCGCACCACGTCGGTGTGCAACGCCGTAGAACGCGTCCCTTAGTCTAGAAGGTCATCATGACCTGATAACAGAACGGTATGGTCGCAATCGAATTTTGAATCGATTCAAAATTCTAAAATCACATTCCCGTCTGAGAACGTTCATAAAGTTCGTAAATAGACCTTAGAAAGTTGCAGCTACGTTCATTCCGTTCGCACATAGTTTAGAACCAGTTTTGCAGAACGCAGTGGCAACTTGTTTGGTGTGATAGCTATATTTTTGCTAACTCGTTCATAAGCAGTGTTAAATACGTTCTTAATCAGTTTAAACCCGTTTGCAATGAGTTCTACCTCGTTCTCAACACGTCCTCAGACAGTTCAACTCGTTGTTAAAACGTCCCTAGTAGGATTGAAGTACGACGGTTCCGTTCGTAGTACGTCCAGCTCGTCGTTAGTACGTTGTCACTCGTTCTAATTGTAGAACGTGACGACCACGAGAACATTGTCTAAGTTCTAGAGGACCTACCCGTTCGAGTACGTTCGATGAAGTTTGTAAATAGATCCCAAACGGTTCTTAGTACGTCCAGCCCGTTCGTACACAGTTGAAGCCCGTTTTGGAGAACGTAGTGAGAACTAGTTTGGTGTGATAGTAGGGTTATAGAATATGGCTATTAGTATAAGAATAGTATAATGCGTATGTTGTGCTTTCACTTATAAGTTAAATCTCTCTTTTATTGTTATGTTTAATGTAATACATCAGTTCAGCATCATATGAGGTTAAGCTTTTAATCAGCTCGAGGGTACTGGTTTTGATGTTTTGACAGACGAGTACAATTGAATTACAGATATCAATGAATGCTTGGATCGCAATGGGGGATGTGAACACAAGTGCGTAAATAGCCTTTCTTCGTATAGTTGTAAATGCCCTAATGGATTCTCTTTAAACGTCGACGGAAAGAGTTGTGATGGTAAGCAACAATGACATTTTCGATTATGAGACAATAGTATATTGTCCTTTATGAGAAACTATCCTATATCACTATACATATGTCACATGTTTATCAGTATAACAATGATATTCATCAACATTGTTGTGTTGAAGATGTTGACGACTGTTCATTGAACAATGGCGGGTGTGAACAGATCTGTGACAATATCGCCGGGAGGGGTAGGTGCAGATGTAAGCCTGGCTATCTTTTAAATAGTGATGAAAGAACCTGTAGTGGTAAGTTGTTCAGATTATTCAGCTTAAACAAGATCATTTGGCTTTGGATGACCTTTCTATCGTTTAATGTGATTTATCAGGCAATATCTCAACAAGTAACCTAATTCATTGTCATGTAAATTGTGATGTCGTCCCGTTCAGAAAATATTTCAGAAAAAGAATGACGGTTTTTATGATTTAAAGGAGCCCTACATGTGTCAGAATGAAACAATAAAAACAACCTTGTTTTTTATGAATACAACTCCATTTAGAAATGCATCATTTTTAAAATACCTTTTTTTATGTTTGCACAAATATGAGACCCACGCGTGGTAATTGCTCCCTAAATCAGAATGTATCAACGGAAAATTAAACAGGGTTAAAACTAAACCAATCTGCAATATATAGTACAATGTTCTTCAATAAAGTTACGTGCTTTGTGTTGATGTGTTACGTGTAACTAATACGAAAAAGAACGCTCGTCTACAAAGAGTTGTTCAAGGATATGTGGTCAAGGAAGGTCAGTGAGGATAAACATCTGTCATAGTCCATGGTATGACTCCGGAATATGAAGAATCCGTAAGACAATATAGTGCAGCAACATTTGAACCAATATCTAAGGAGGTCCATATGTCTTTATTCTTTAAAGATACCGTTTGCTGAAAAAACGTCGGTCCTTTGGGTTATATGCCTCTCATTACAAGGGGCCAAAAAACGTAAATATTTTCATTCGATTTTTTTTTCAAAACGTCAATGTAAGCATATTTACAATTAATTGGATTTACATTGTGTCAAACCTAATCATAATTCCAATGTAATTCATAGTAGTTAATTAGTGTAATTATATAAATGTGCTTATTTTATTTTGTTTATTTTTTCAAATATTGGTCAAGCAGATTGTGTGAATTATTTAAACGATTTTTCCAACATTTTATTTAAAGAATTTATACCTATCATCGCCAGGAGTCGAACAAGAAATAATTGCTTTGTTTTATAAAACATAAAACAATGACAAATACGTAAAATATATAGCTATTTGGAAGTTATAGAGGTACAAGTATGAGAACGTTTATGATACGACGTCAGATACTGTACATCGCGGCATTTTACTGCATTTTTAATGCGTACTTACTTTTAAAACCGCAATATCTCGACAGCAAAATCATATTTTTCTACAATTTTTCGTCATCAGTTGAACAAGTATGTCCATGAAATATTTTGCCTATCAGAATTCCAAATAACTGATTTGGGACTTTTTAAATGAGAATCACGCAAGCCGTATTATGCGACTTTCTATGCTAAAACCGGGTGTCGACTGTAACATTTTGAAGAAAAGTGATTTTAATTTTAAACGAAAAATGAAGATAACTTTTTCATTTCCCAACGGATCTTTCTCAAATTTTCACAATATTTAAATTCACCATTTTGAAAAAGACAAACAGATTCTGTGTGATGACGTCATAATATAACAATGCTAACTTAACGCTTATATTTATGCAAAAAAGTGTCGACAGGCAGAATTTCGTACCAACAAGATATTTATTTTGATCAATTAAACAATAAATCGTTTGAAAGGTGAATTATTCTTTTTTGATTCCTAAAAGGCATATCATATTCTATATTTTTATCAAAAAACTATATCATTTCGATTAAAATTCAGTCTGTAGGAAGTATAAATTGAAAGAAATATGAAGTGAAGCCATGTGAAAAATACACAAAATTACGTTTCATTTTTTGAGTTCAAATATTTCTAATTAAGGGATAAACATTCAAAACTTTCCAATGTTTCAGCATGTTCTTTTAAGTATACCCCTTACTACATACAATTAATTTCATTTAATTTGAACCAGTATATATTGAGATAGACATCGTTTTATCACCGCAACCCCAAGTGAAGCCTTTACAAAATAAGACGTTACGCCGTTAGCGTATTATATGTTCTCCTTTATTATTCATTGCTTTAAATAAATAAAACTAAATATTCGAGTCAAAATAAATTACAAATAATGCATTTAACAATCCTTAATATCTTCCCGTCTGTGTTTATCAGTTGAATATGACAAGGGGCATTGTGAAAGAGTCTAGAAAGACGGTGCGACAACGAGAGCGCAGGGCCGAAAAGCGCGACAAAGAAGAAAACGGGTAATGTCTACTTTCTGGTGATTCTAATTCTGTATATCGTGACACAACCTTTTTGAATATAGAATTGTATTGAAGCGCACATTAATCTGAACAAAACTTGAAGTTTTTAAGAAGATTCCACGAATATTAAAACGTTTGCAATTACTTGGAGGAGCATTGCGCATATTTATCGCGTAAATCTTTGCATTTTGTCGGTAAAATGAACAATTACAATGTTACGCCGTGATGTACAGTATCTGACGTCGTATCTTATATATTCAGATGGTATGTCTAACAGAAATACATGCAATCAAACGCCTTATATTTTTCTTACGACGCTACTGCTGCATATCATCAGATTTTCTATTGGTGATGTATTCTAAGAGTGAAAACATTTTTTAACTTGAATACATCTCTTGTACCTAAATCTGCAGTGAACTGATCATTTCAGATTTACATGACATTGGGAATGACAAAGTTAACCAATCTTCAGTTATTTCCGAACAATTTCTTTGCAAAACATAGAATTTGAAAAGCTGAAAATGAAGTCAGTTTATACACTCAGTCTAAGATAGTCTTTTGCCCGTAGCCAACTTTTACCAGGAGGGTGAGCTTTTTTCCAGGGGGGGGGGAGCTTTTTCACAATTTTTTCACAAAACTGCATGATTTTGAAAGAATTTCTGGCCAGGGGGGATTAGCTTCCGCTCCCCCAGCTCCCCCTCTGGCTACGGGCCTGAGTCTTCTATACTAAACATAAGGATGGGTCTGTAACCAAAAGGTTAAGTCCGATAGGCCTAACTGTGAATAACTTAAATCATAGCTTCTTAAAGAAATGATGTTTATTGTTATGAAATTCATCCAGAAATATATCAGTGATAAGCCTAATAATAGAAAATTAATAACAAAGTGAAATGACCCATTCCTTTGCAAATGATTTGAATGGTGGACGCATTAATGGAAAGTCTTATTTAGTATTATTGTCTTTATGGTCTCAACACCCTCAGGAACTTTAGCTTTTAGTAAAATAAATACACTTACAAGTTGAATATTTTTCCAATTATTAAACATGATAAAGGATTAATTATTATGCTTTAGAGAGTGTCGATTTGCCATTGAAATGGTGTATAAATAACTTGTTGCTATAAGAAAAGCACATCCATAAAGTCAGGGTTAATTAAACTAGGCATTTTTGAAATATTTTTCAATCTATTTCTTTTATTAATTTTTAATATCTGTATAAGCTCTGATGAACTTTCGGACCGATATAACACGTTAAGTTTTATGTTTTTTCTGCATTTTTAGATGTGAACGAATGTGACAGAAACAACGGTGGATGTCGTGTTACGTGCATCAACACACTTGGTTCATACTCATGCGCTTGTAATACTGGATACCAACTAAATGTGGATGGGAAATCTTGCGATGGTAATTTACTTTAAATATTTCTGCTTTTTCATACACATCATGAGATTCAATAGAAGGGAGTAGATATTCCCATTATTCGTACAAAAGCAATGTCTTGGAATTTCAAAAATACTTCCTGTATATATTCCAAGAAATAAATTATTTTGTACTTTAATAATTTGTACATTACAATCTAAAGCAATACCTCAAAACTATGCTTGCGCCTTGATTTTATGATACAAAGGATGGGTATCGATATGGTGAACTGAATTAAACATTTTTTTTCTTTTAAACCAATTATTGAAAACATTTGTTAAAAACACGGTCCTTTATGTTATGTCGACTGATTGGAAACACTGTAATGCAAAAATTATTTTTATATATTTTTTTATAACTGTTTTTGTTAACATTTGTTTTTTAGTGCAATTGTTTTTCGTTCCTTTCTACCAATTCTTGAGAATGAAATAAAATGTCTTTCCGAACCTTGTTGGAACAAATAGCTTATACAACATTTTCTTAGACCTCTCAATATTATAGTTATACAAAGGAAATTTTGGTTGATTTAACAAAAAGTATGCAAAAACCTAAAACAAAACCCCCCGAAATAGATAAAAATTAAGATAAACCTTTAATATTTCATTAACAAGATACTTTTTTTTTAAATCAACCAAACTATCCTTACACGTTGTTTATGTCGTTTTGTTCCAATGAGGTTCGGATAGATGTTTCATTTCATTCCGAACATATGATACCAAGAACAAAAGAAGTGTCCGATGAGTTTTCTAAAACAGTATAGAGAAAAGAATATATATATTTCAAATTATAATGTTACCATCCAATAGATGACCATTAAATTGACGATGTGTAAAATTTTCAGAATGTATTGATGACTGGTTTAAGAGAAACGCGTGTTCAAAAAGTTCACCATATCGATACCATTCCTTTGATTTCATCATCATTATGGAAGTATGGGTTCTCTCAAAAATTATGATTTTATGGGAATTTTTCCTGAAAAATTATCCTCAATGCAACACTTGATCAAGGATGACATATTGAGACCTCTTCATCTCATTGGCCATTTTTGCTTACTTTGAAATGATCGAGATAATTAAATAATCGTATTCAAAAGATTTTTTCAAGATAATTCTGAGACATACATGTACGTATCTTAATAAGGGAAGCAAGTCAATGCTTATTTCAAAGTTATCATGTTTATTGTTCTCCCGAAAGACCATTTACACATGGAATATTCAATTAAATTGAATGAATAGTAAGATTTGTTCGTCTTCTCCCGATGATAAGATAATCAATGATGCGCTGACAATTTAGATACTGAATTACAACAGTTACACTTACCAATCGAATTTATCTAAAATGCAGATGTTAACGAGTGTAACGTTATCAATGGTGGATGCAGCCAGACGTGTGTTAATACTGCAGGAGGTTATATGTGTGACTGTCGCTCTGGATACAATCTAAATTTCGATGGCACTTCATGCGATGGTAAGTCTGACAGCTTAAAATGACATTTGTGGACGCCCAAATGTTCTGGGCTATCCAAGTGTTCTGATTCTTGCCCAAACTCTTCTGACAACCCAAGTATTCCGAGTTCACTTATTTAAACCAGGTCTGAAAATTCACAAGAGAGAGGGTGCGAAGAATAATTTTGCTGGTAAAAACGTTGGCCCCAGAAATATTGAGTATTTTTGAAAGTTTGGATCCAATTTTTGAAAATATGGACATATTTTTCAAAATTGAAGCCCGTATCTCAAAAATGTGGCATATTCCTAATATTGAGAGCTAACTTAAATGTGTTGATATACTCTACAATTAATTAATTAAGCGTATGTGGCTGCCTCATAATGTATCATCATAAGTGGTTTAATTAACTTAATTCCAAAAGTCATCTCTGGAAGAAACAATAAAATTGAAAATCAACGTATCGAGTGTATTTGATAAAATGGGTAAACCCAGAACATTTGGATCAAGTAAGAATACTTCGGCAAGAGTCAGAATACTTGGGCAGCCAAAATCACTTGGAGCTTCACAGACGTTCTTAAGCCTTAAAACCCCCCATTTTCAATACCATTGTTTACCAATGTGTGTTTTCACAAGCCCAGCTCCATTTAACATCTAGAAAAAGAGTATATATGTGTCTTTGATTTGTGTTAGTGAGTAACAAAGTTTTACTGTCGTTTCAATGATTTCGATCAAATAGAACCATTCCGTGTCCAGACATGTTGCAATGGTTATGAATGGCAAAGTCGTAACAAACTTATGAATCAAATGAATCACGAATCGTATTTTGCATTCCACATGAGTAGAAATGTAAAATTGTAATTTGTGCAAATGCAATTTGTGATGCGACACAAAAGGTATATTCGATTTCCGAATACCAACCACCTTGTTTTTTATTTGGGCTTTCAAAATATCAGTTTCAGTTTATATATACTGCATGATTGATATATATTGTGAATTCCATTTAGCAGCATTGCCCCAGTAGGAATTGCAGTTTCTACATTTTATTCTTTTTCTGCCAGATATCGATGAATGTCGTTCCAATAATGGTGGTTGTTCGCAGACATGTTCCAACACGGCTGGTTCGTTTGTCTGCGGGTGTAGAAATGAATTGTTTGTACTCGATGGGAACAGGCGAGATTGTATAGGTGAGGAATACGCCGTAGACAACTCCGAGTCAATTTAAAGTTACCAGCCCAAACGAATTTACTCTTTACACTGGTGATCCGCTCGATCACGCTCGTTTCGGTAACAAAATGTTTGAACGTCGAAGGTACGATTTTTCTTTTTTCCTTATTTCACGGGTAGAATCCCAACGACATTTATTCTCACAAACGTGTATCAGTATCTTTAGTTTTAGAAGTGCTGAAAAATAGCTCAGAAGATAACAGAATCGTCGATTTAATTCCTCACTTAAGTTACACAAACGGTATGGGTTAAAAGTGCAGATCTTAACTGTTTTTGAAAAACCGTATATGAAACTTATATTATGTGAGGAATCAAATCGACGATTCTGTTGTCTTATGAACTATGTGTTCACAAATATGTAGATTTTCTTAAACATATGATACTGATATACGTTTGTGATAAAAATGTCGTGGGAATTCTGCCTACAACGTCTGAAATCAGGAAAAAAGGAAAATCGTACCTCCGATGTTCCGACATTTTGTTACCGAAACGAATTGTTTCGGTAACCAGGCGAGCGTAATCGAGTGGATCACCAGTGTCTTCAAGTGTGCAATTCTTTCATTGAAAACGGGATTATTACACATATTGGGCTGTTGAAAAGGTAGAAGAGAAAAATCGAAATTTAAAATTGGGAAGTGCTGATTGAACAGTGCAATGTGAGAATATTACGTCTGGTCTGTCTAACGTTTTTTATTATTTATTATTTGACAAGAACCATTCCATAGAACATTTAGTGTAGTAATTTTACTACTGTTGTTTGTAAATATGTCTTCCGACTTCCAGCTGTATGTCCAGGGGATTTTAAACGAGCAAGGGGCCTGGAATCATGTTATCAAGTCTTCTCCGACACAAATGATGTCAAGACTCAACCCGACGCTGCAGATGCGTGCGAGGCACTCTTCCCAGGAAGCCATCTTGTGACAATCGAAACAAATGCAGAGAAGAACTATCTGGGATCAATTCTCGCAATGGAACCACGTGAGTATTGCCATTTTGATTTTGTTGATAAAGAGGCTTTGTCGCGATTCAAGAGACAAAAGGGAATAAATAATTTCATAATTTTAAGTTAAAATGGGTTATTCTTGATAAAAGAAGCCAAGGAATAACGGAGATATAACATGTCCCTTTGTATTGTGTACAGTTAATGTGTATTGTGTACGTCGTATGTATTGTAATAGGATAGAGTATTGGATATAATTTAAAACATTTTAATTGGGCATTATGAAGAGGTATCATATACCTGGACTTTTTAATTGATACTTAAACCTTTCATTAAGACAATAATATGTGAGAGTAATAGCATACATATTATATCTTGTTATGTCAAAATCGACTTTCATAATCAACCACATTTCCCTCCTACGTAGTTATTTAATTATTTAATGTTATAATATGTTGTGTCTTATTTACATTTTTTTTCAATAATCAAACGCAGATCTGTCCAAAATTTTACAAACTTGAAATTGGGTAACGTGACCAGGGGCCAACGGCCCAACCAAAAAATTCAAGAAAACGATTCACTAAAACACATTTCAGAAAATGAAAGTGCAAAGATGAATTCCAATTTTAGAATCTCCCTGATCTACATTTTGTCTCGGCTATTTCAAGGTTCTGACTACGCCTGTGGTGGTTCATAATTACATTCATCAAACAATCGCATCGTCTTGCTAATGATGTAAATTAATAATTGGAAATTGATTCCATAGATATTACTTGCTGTCGTGCCGGTCCTATTAATACAATTTAAATAAGGGACCATTTCATAAGATCGATGTCATATTATTCGGTTTATTTTTAAAGGAGTAAGCTTTTCCGATTTTCTCCCGGGGATTTTATAAGTACACTTTTCGTCAATGCAACGTAACTCTTTTTTTTCATTTACATTTGACTCAACAACGTTCCAGAAGCTCGGAATTGCTGTCCAAAAATTCCAAATAAGACAACCTACCTGGTATGCAGAACTACACGTACATGTAGGCAGAACTTTTAATTATAATAGGACCGGATTTTTGGTAAACATGTTAATCAACGTGACAGTGCTAGTTTATGTTATGTCGGATATTAATCAAGGATTCCAATATGATGACAAATGATGCAAGAATTTAGAGGTACAGATGTGTATAGCTATCAAGAATGTTCAACGTTAAACCCTAATTGTCCAAGTTGACACAAGGTCTGATATAAAATATTGAAGATGGTTGATTTTCTATAAACTCACAAAATAAGCTAATGAACTTACATTGTACTATAGAAGTGCTCCTCAACCCCCAAAAGTTGGCCAGTGACTTACAGGTAGGCCACAGACCCCAAGAAGAGGGGAATAATCTTATATCAGCCAAACTAGCAACTTAAACTTTTGAATGACGTAAACACCACTGGGAGGTAGGTTTCTCAAAGAAACCAGGAAAGTACATTCCATTAGTTTTTTCCTCGTTTCCTAATCGAGGGAATTGATTTGTGAATATCACAGCCATGGCAGAATTAATTTCATAGTTGTAATTATATTTTGAAATACACCGAAACTCACGAACTACATACTTGCCGAATATTTTGTTGTGATTTGAAGGATGAAAGCACCCTATCTTAATTACCAGATTTCCTCCATGTGTAATCTACCTTTTGGAGGAGAAAAATAATTCATTCTTGGTGAAAGAAACATAAGAATTGATCAATAAGATATACATTTATATACGCACATTTCTATGAGTACATCTTTTTTGCGAAACTCCAAATTTCAATATACATGTACTTACACTTATAACTTATAACATTTTGGAGAGCAACTCCTTCACAAGATTAATGAAGATGTACAATAGGCAGTGGTGTAGCATTGCTTATAAATAGATGCGCTTGACAACTTAAATTTTATCTTAGATAAATCCACATTTTTTCGAACAAAATTTAAGACTCAGTGAATTACATTTTGATGCCATGGGGTAAGACAACAATGGCCAAAGTGGTTTAAACTCTACCCTTTTCTCTGAATTATCTGAAAATGATTTAATGCTGTAGAATTATATACTATTGTATTAATATGTCATGGCCAAGTTAGAGATTGCTATGTACTTAGAAGGAAATTGATATTTGGGGACAAACATTAGCATCCTTGCTAATCAGAAGGCATGCACGATTTAAGAAAAAATGAAATAAGGCATCTGAGTAAATGGATGCAGTTAGTTAGAATCAATATATTTTAATTGAATGAATGCATATTATATTATTTCAAATTGATTTATCTATATGCTTTGTTGTTAATCATAGACCTCTATCGTGGATCTACGCACCTCACAAATCAGTTTCTTACGACTTTCTTATTGAAGTGCAGGTATGGTCGTAGTAAACCAAGTACTGGTAGTCCAAAATATCGTGTATTGAATTACCTTGTTGAGGATAATGAATAATTTATTTTTATTTTTTATTTCAAGTTTACTTTGCGTATTGGTATTTTTGTTATCCTTGTATGAAAACAAACTATAAATGTCATTCCAGAGCTCCTTCAGGGGTGGCAAGGATGGTGGACGTCAGCTAATTTCAGTAGCGGTATCAACGAATTCGCATGGACCACAACAGGCGATGTCATACCATTCAATAGTCCCAATTGGGGATTCAAGAAAACACCTTATGTGGACACTTGTGTATGGATTCTCCAGATATCCGTTTATAACTATACATGGGGAAATTATGACTGTGGGGAGAAAACTGGATACGTATGCGAATTAGAGCTCCCCAGTCCTTAAGGCATCATTTCAAAGTTTTAGTATGAGCATATGCACATTTTACACATTTTGATTATGATTATCGTCATCTCCCCACATACAATACTAGTTCATATAAAATACGACTGTTCCTGTTGGTAAAAGACATGAATATTAATAATACATAATTATTAATTATTAATTTATGCAATAAATATTGGAAAAATATTGATAAGTTTATCGTATAATATATATACGCATATTCTATCATCATGATAAACCAGGACATCTCATTTCTTCTCAGCCCTGAGATGCCATGATATAATGAGCTTGATTTGGCGATCCAAGAGAGCCCAGAATTGGGGATTTTTGAGAACTTTCATCCCAGCTCATATTTCATTTAATTGGGGTCATAAACTTGTGTACCTGTGCCTGTTCTAATATCTACTGTTATATACTATGCCTATGATATAATGTATTGACATTAAGGTATATGATTACATGATAACTATCACACTTATTGACAGTTACAACTCTTCCCATCTGATGTACTCAGATCACAGAATATGCCTCATAATATCAGAGCATGTTTCAGGTGAAACAGAAAGATGCTATGAGTATCAGAATGATATTCTATACATAAATAGAACTGCTGATTGCAATTTAAAATCATGTTGATGGGATATTCATATTTATCTCGTATATACTACTGAAATAATAAGAGCAATCATTTTGAAGTATGCAAATATTTATAAGCTTTTAGCCATACTTCGCAAAATTGTTAGAGCCCATTTGATCGTGCAAAAGCAATATTACCTTCTTAGATATTATTGAAATACGTTTTCATTAAGGACATGTGTACAATATCGGAACTTTCATTCATATCTTGATGACTGATGTTCTGGTGTTGTTTCAAATTTATTTTCCTGCATTTAAACACAACCCCTTCCCTTCTCGTTTTAAAAATTATCTCGCTGTCGTTGTCCTTCGAAAAAGTTATTGCAAGCTTTTTTAGACAGCTCGATCTTACTTAAGTTCTCATAATTATTTGACCACAAAAGCAAATGCGTTTGTTTGGCCAATATGTTATCTTCAAAAAGGGGCAACAGAATGAAAATAAAGTCGATCGGATTATCTCTTAAGCTGTCATCAATCCACCCATCATCACCAATTTTCCCCAATTATGAGCCAATCTTCACCAAAAAATGCAGCATTTTATTCCTAAATTGAAATGTGCTATAAGTCATGATTTCCCCCTGAAACGGGAAAGTGAGTCTCTTGGGATAAGGATAATCAGGAAAACAATGAAAAGTTGACGTAAAATATCTGGCCCAAAAGCAACATTTTTGATATGGTTAATATACAAAAAGACTGGGAGATATTACATAATTGATCCCCTAAAGGAAAGAATAACAAGATAAGACAGAGATTATCCATTTTTCATCATGTTATTTTGTTATAATTGTGGAAAATATGTGATGATGAGTGGATTAATGACAGCTTAAGAGATAATCCGATCCGATGCAAATAAGTTGTTAAAGCTGTATAACATAAATAGAAATACATTTTAAGATATGGTGCATCTCCCGGATCATTGTGCATTTACAGACATAAAATGTGTGTTAAGTCATTAATATGAAAACTAACTAGAATGACAAAAAATCAAAATACCATACAAAAATGGATTCCATCCATGCATACCTTAGTTACAATGCTTACGTATAATCAGCTGAAACACTTTTAAATGCAGTAACGTTTAGTGAGCCTATATCATTCTGTCCATTACTTCTGAGTCACCCCTCGTATGATTCATGAACTATGCCAACGACATAGTTTAAACAATTCCCCACCCTCGCAAAGAAAAGCATTATACAATCAAGGATACATTGCTGAGACTGACATTTTCCATGGTTTAACAGGCATGATATTTGGCTTGTAATAGCTTGATTTTTGCAAACTTTGATAGTCAAAATACCATGTTTGTCCCACATCATTTGACCCTCAATACTCTTCTATCTTGTATGAATACTAGACTGCAACTATTCTTGATATCGAATGTATTGGTTTTCATTTTAAATATATTCTCCAGCATGTAATGTTATATTATGAGATTTTTGGAAAGTTCGACGGTGAAAAAGACAATGGATTATGTTTGTCCCACATCATTTGACCCTCAATACTCTTCTATCTTGTATGAATACTAGACTGCAACTATTCTCGATATCGAATGCATTGGGTTTCATTTTAAATATATTCTCCAACATGTAATGTTATATTATGAGATTTTTGCAAAGTTTGACGGTGAAAAAGACAATGGATTATGTTTGTCCCACATCATTCGGGCCTCAGTACTGTATCTTGCATGAATACTAGACTGCAACTATTTTTGATATTGAAAGTATTGGTTTTCATTTTAAATTTATTCTCCAACATGTATTGTTATGGTATGAGTATGGTTCATGAATGTAATGTGATTGTGATGACTAATGGTGATGAATGGTATTGGAATTAATAGGGGAATGGTGTTAGACATTATTTCTTTACACGTTAAATTATAGTTCTGGATATTTGGGGTTTGCTTTCCTTGTGACTTGTTGTATTTATTTTTTGTTCTGTTTTGACACACTTTCAAAGTTGTGCATACATACATATCTTTTTGATCAGATATATTAATTTATATATTAATTAATTCATTCATATTTTATTAAGATAATTGTAAAATTAGAATTGTAAGAACTGCAAAGCAAGTAGTATTGTTATTGAACATGTACTACTAAACAATTCGCCTGTATATAATCTTGGGCTAATATTCATATACGTTAGTAATTACGTCACCAGTTCTACTGGTATTGTGATAAACAACTTAAACATTGACTCATTTATAAATTCCTAATGATAATGTTCACTGATTCCTACAATACGAATGATATTTATGTATTATGCAATAATGGGCTATTTACATCATTCATGGACCCAGGTGCATTAAACCTATTGTCTTGCAAATATTCTGGTAACTAGTTTCAAAATCCAATCAGTATACGTCGACAATTAGGTTAGCGCCTTCTTACCGTCGCTATATTTGGCTTCAGACTCGTATATTAACACAAATTTCAAACTTGGTTTACTATTATTGTCAGGTTTGTTATGTGTGATATACAATGTAAAGGGGAAGACAAAAGAGAATTATGAGAAAGTGCAAGAAAAATGGCATAATATCTTACGCCCCTCACGATTCTGTTTATTTCTTCAATCAAGATGATAAAATTGATGATAATTAATATCCCATTTGCTTTCAAAAACTACTGATTTTAAATTTTCATTTCCTTCATTGAAATATTAAAATTCTTGAATAAACAAAATATGTATCAGAGTTAAACTTTGATGCCACAACTAACCCCAATCCAATATTTCTAAATTGTATAGATTTTACAGAAAATCTTCGTGTTTTGGCAACAAATGGCAATGATTTCCAAAGTTTGCACAGAACATGCAGTTATGCATACCATGCATCCTTCCGCAACAAATGTCATTTTGGCTCGATATTAAGGTATACTAAAGATTTTCTTTCATGAGGATTCCGACTCATATCCTTTTTATGCTTTTATAATTTTTTTTTAGATTTGCATACAAGTGGCACACCAATTCTTTTCAATTACATGTATTGACTAGAATCGTGTACAACAATTACAAATATGTAAATAAGCAATGTCAAGGGAGGGGATGATTTTCTAGGTTTGCATCACTGCAGGCGAAGCGAGTCTCAAAAGGGGGTTCACCCCTAAAACCTTTTAAGAATTTACATTGTATATGTTACCTTCTTAGCATTTCAAACTATATTTTTTTGACAAATTTTGCAAAATTGTTTTTTTCTTTCTGTACGTGTGTGTGTGGGGGGGGGGTACGATCGCACTCATCGCACCCACTGTCTACGCCCATTAAGTAATAGTCATCTTCCGGGACGGGTAACATCGCAGATTGAAAATTAAATCTATACGTACGTTTTATAATTGTATGCAATATGCTAGCCTAGGACAGTACAGCGAATGCTACAAACAATCGTTGATTCTCATTTATTTTGGTGTAATTGTTTCATTACATGGTGAGTTAAGATTTATATGTAGATTGTTTGAGCAAACATCGTTTAATATATCTCCTATACTAATGTTTGATCTTTGATCGGACTAATTAGGGCAGATCAGTAGGTAGTGGAATATGGTTTCATTTTGATTACCACAGACATTTCAGTTGAATCAATCTTCTCCATATTGAGCAAATTGTGCCTAAGTCTCAATCCCGCATGTTGTATATTTGTATACCTACACATCTGTTTACAATAGGCTACGTCGGGTCAATAGCAAAGACCAGTTTTGAGTTTTGTGAAGTAGCGTATCAGAAGCACGGTGCCCATGTCAAGCTGCGCGCCTAAGTAGGCGCGCAGTTTGTTTCGATCACAAACTGCGTGCCTAACAACATTGCATCATTTAAGTTGGAGTCTGTATTTTGAAACGTAATTAAAATACATTTATCCTGCATTGTTTTCTTGTTCAATGCGTTCATTCTGTGGCGAATGTACGAATCTTGCAAATACTAGCAAAAACTATGTGCAAATGAATCTAAGTTTTAAAACATAAGCAGATTAATGGCATTTTCGTCACTGATTTAACGGGAATTTATACGTAAATCGATCTAGCACTTTAAACATAAATGACAAATACTTTAGACTCGTTTTATATTTAATTCCTTACGCATTTATCATGTATAATTCAAAATATTTCGAGATAAAACAGATAATCAGGAGATTAAAAAGAAATAAACCACAAACTGCGCGCTTATTTTAGCCAGAAATTACAAATTGTGCGCATACACTATTAAAACTACATATTATCATAGGAATTTCTACAGAGGCACGTGTAGATGTTTTTCATATAGCTTTGGAAATTTTGTTTTATTGTCAGATTTTATGACATTTTCATATTGAAAGTCAAAATGTATAATAGAAGTGACAATTAAGTTGGGAACGAAAGAATCTTTTATTTTCAGATCACCATCTTGGTGGATGGACTGTCATAGTGTTTCAATTTTGGGGTTCTACTATTAGACACATATGTACCTTACATATGGCGCTTACGTTTTCTAATAATACAAAACAAGCTTGGATAGGCAAGTTTGGAAATAATAGGCACGCAGTTTGGGAAATACATGTGAATATAGGCGCGCAGTTTGACAAGAAAAATGTTTAAATCACGTTTATGGCGTATTATCGTTTTG